GGGGGGGGGGGTGTTCACCCCGGACCAAAAAATAATTTTTTTTGGCCCCCCCCCCCCTTGGATTGGGGCCCGCAAAACCAAGGGAGGAGCCCCGGTTTTGGTTTCCCCCTTGAAAAAGTTGCCGGGGCCGGGAAAAACCCGGGCAATTGTTTCCCCCCGGGCTTCGGGGGGGGGGGGGTTAACGGTTTTAAGGATTCCGCCAGGGTTTTCCAGGGGACCCCCCCCCCCCCCCCCCCCCCCCCCCGACTGTCACCGGCGTCTCCGCCCCCTCCGAAGTGCCGCAGGTCTCGGCGGTGCACGACCTCTCCGCCACGGTGAAGAGCCCGTGCCCCTTGACGACGAACCTCGACACCTCCTCCTGGGTCTCCTTGTTGAGGGCCAGCACGAGGGTGGTCTTGTAGCTCAGCATCCAGTTCTCCGTCCCTGGCGTAAGCCTGACGATGGTGGTGGTGGTGGTGGTGTTATTCGTGGTTTGAGCAAAGTTGAAGTTTGTGCCTTAGGCTGTCTGCCATGTGGCAAGAGGTTCGCGGTGTGTACCTGTACGTGACAGCGGCAGCATCTCAATGTCTCTACAGCAGCACTAGTTGAAGCAGCGCCTCTAATTTCCTTACAAGAACGACATGGGCGCATCTCCAATCACAACAGTCCACACACAACGAAAACCCCGTCCCTGACACGCGGAACAAGGCTGATTTCTATTCCTTGCGCCACTGCTCTTGCTGAAAGTGTATATTCTTCTTATCCTTAAAATAGCACGGTATCGACAACAAGCATCTCTTTCGTCTCTTCTCACGTCCTGATGTGCGTGGGCTTGACCGGTTCGTCCCACCACTGGTAGTGGATGTCCAGGTCGAAGCCCATCTCGTTCACGATGCCCACGGAAACCTGCTGGGTCTTGACGGTGTTGAGATGGTAGCTTCCCCTTTCGTTGGATACGAGAGAGCAAAGAATAAATCAGATAGAGAGAGAGAGAGAGAGGTGAGGGGAGGGAGAGGGAGAGGACGAGGGGAGAGAGAGCGAAGATATGAGAGAGACAACGAGACAGAGAAGAGAGAAATGGAGAAGAAAGAGAGCATAAAAAGAGGGAGATTCAGCGAGACACAACAGGTCAAACAACAATCAAACGGGGGGCCCCGAAAAAAAAAAAAACTCCAAGCCAAAAAAAGAACAAAAAGAAAAAAAAAACACCAAGGGAGAAAACAGGCGACGTTACTCCTTGACAGAAGGGGAGCAGCGAGTAACCCGAGTACAGGAAAACAGCAGTCAGGTCACCTCTTGTCGAGTGTGGGCAAAATGACCGCCGGAGCTGCTACGGTGGAGCGCCTCGGCACGACACTCAGCGAGGGACATTTCTTCGGTTCGGAGAGGATGGCAGGATCGACACCCAGCTTGTCCAGCAGCTCCTGCCACCAACGACAACAAACACAAAAAAACATCGGGGTTTAGCACAAAGAGCTCCAAAGGCAGCAAAGTCGCGTCGTTCAATCGCACGCTTGTGCATATTGTACCAACCTCTATCCTGTGTGACCACGAATAGGAGGTCGTACATGGCAACAAGAGCTGTGGTACTACGTGAGCGCTGATTCTCTACATAGTGATGGGAAAAAAAAAAAAACTTCCCCGGCAACGAATTCGTTCCTTCCGTCCTCTCTCTCTCTATTGTACTTACAACTTGTAAGCCTCTCCATCATCCCTGCCCTCTTCGTCCGCCTCTCCCCCCTCACCATGGCGGCCTCTCTCTCTCTGTACAAAAACCATTCGACCCCTTTTGTCCTACGGTATGCGTACGTACCTTGTCCGCGTGGTCGGCATCCACAGACACGAGCGAGTACATGTCTGGGTACTTGCCGAAGACCGACAGGCCGAGGGTGTCGAAGTCCGGGGCGCAGCTCTCATCTCCCTTGTGCACAAGCACCATCCCTTCCCTGCGTGATTTGATCCATACACGTAATGGGGTTATTTTTCAGGCTCACGGCCACATCTTGCACCAATGGCAAGGCCGCCGTTGTACATGAACAAACAAAAAACAGAAACTGCACAGAGGTTGTTTACTAAATAGTACACCACCAAATATATGCATACATACAATCAAAGAGAGACTGCCCGTTCGAGATACAACGACAGCAGTAGTCGAAGGGGATGGGTTGGAGCTACTTGTGTGTTATCCATAGTACGGGCCGGGCGTTTTGGTGGGCACGAGGGTTGCGCCGCCTCGGGGTTTGCACAATTAAAAGCGGGCGGGTCGTGGACCGGGAGTGCGAAACGCTCTTAGCTCTTGCTTGTTAGAGTGGAGTGAAAACATCGAAAATCAAGAGGTGGCAAGCGCGTTGCACAGCAGTCATGAGAAGAAAAAAAGAGGAAGGAAGTGACTACTGCTATACTGTCAAGCCTTGTGGCCGGGATAAAATTGATGCCAAGCACCGCAGGGGGAGGAAAAATGACAATAATACAAAAAAAGAACAGAATTACCTCCGTGTAACCTCAACTGCCGCGTCAAAACATACATCCAACAGGTAGGTTCAGACTGGCGCGCCCGGACTACAGCAGTAGATGGGACGAAGAAGAAAAAAAACAGCAGCAGCAGTGGTTCCCGCGTTATTTCCGAACTGTTCATTTTTCGCCTGGGGAGTCATTCTTGAGGAGGCAACCGATCACGCGAGCCGGCGGCCCGCGAGCCGCACTGCAAGTGGTTGCGTCGGAATGCGGACATTTGATTGGCGCGGACCTTTGCGGCGGTTGACACGTGTATCAACCGCTCCAATGGACCAGTCCTGTATCCACTTTTGAACTTTTGAACCACCGAAAGTAGGACCAACACTCCAACGGGAAGGGGATATGCATAGGCATGTGAAGGAAGTCTTTGCAGCAGTAGTGAGTGTTGGGGAAAAATCAGCTGGACACCGGGTTTGAGCCTGTCTAACCCTATGCACCGAAAGATCCGTGACCACATACAGCACCAAAACTATGTACCAATTGGTATGCGTATGTACACTTCAAGGGGACCAGGGACAGAAAAGTCGGTACTCGTTGCCCAATCTTCCTCTGTAACCCATCCAGCTGTAACAATCCAATCGCCCTTCCACAAACGGACGGGGATTCAATTTGTCGCGGGTATGTACGCGAACCTCCGCTGGGTAACTGTACGGCGGTTCCACGGCATCACGAGCACTACACTATATGCTAGCTGGTTAGATACTGCAGCCACATCGTTTGAATCTCCCTCACACTCTTGACAGAATGCAGGCCAACCAGGTCCAAGACTCAAGGGAAGAACCAAATCAACCTGCATATCTTCATATTGTTTCGTTTTGCAGCGCCGAACGCACAGCTCTAACACGATCGCGAGTCTGTACCCCGCACAAGCCCCCGAAAACTAACGCGGACTCCTGTTTTTTCTGGTCGTAAGAATAGCTGCATTCACTTCTCATTCCTCCTGACCTGTATGCATACAGAGACTACCCATGTTCGGGAGCAAAACCAAAACCGTTCCTAAAAGAGTCGTTCAGAGCGGGCGCTGGCAAAACTGGCTGGCGCCGAACCGCCCGCAAGCCACACAAAACGACAGCGGTTGCGCGCGTCTGGCAACTTCACGCAACTTCACGCCCCAGGAGACTCCAAACGCGAGGAAATCCTGGGCGTCTACCCTATGTCTCCCCCCCGCCCCTCCCCGCTCCCGCCCGGCCACAACGGACGGAGAGAGAGGAGGGAGATCGGACTATGTAAGAGATGTGAGAGACGAGAAATTGCGGTTGGGAAAGAAACTTGAAGGAGCGACGGAAAGCGAAGTAATGTGGGAAGCGAATACATTGCTGCTTGTGCACGGAAAATACAAACGCAGCGTAGCAGACGCCCACCCAGCCCCACGCTCTCACACACCACCATCCAAGGGAGGGGGCTACTCACTAAGGGAAATTCTTCGTGCATACTGCTGTTGTCAGCCTACCTGGCGAAGCGCTCGCCCGTGTCGTAGTCGTTGTTTGAACCGATCGTTCCAACAAGCTGCTTGTAGTCGGTGACAACCACGGGGGCGCCGGAGACGACGGGGGACGACGTGCTCAGCAGCAAGGCCGCCGAGGCCAACGCCGCCGCCACGGGGGTAAGGGAGCTTTGTCGCGGTCGGACGATCATTTTGGTTGTTCTTCGCCAGCGGTGTCTCTCTGCCTTCTACTGGGTGGCACTGTTGCTGCTGCTGCGAGCGGAAGAGCGCAGGTTTCCTCTGATAACAACAGAAAAATGAGTAATTCAGAGGCGTTGGGTATAGAACTCCCGATTTTGGCAGGCCTCTCTCTGTGGCGGTGAGGGGGCCTCTCTCTTCACACTTAGCTCAGATCAGCGTCTAACCAGCGCTGCCTCGCCAACCCCCACGTCATCATGGTGAGTGCGGTGGTGCATTTCAACAGGTATGGGCGGTAAGAAGTTGTGCCCCGGAGTCTCCCGCTGCTTTTTGCGCAAACGTGGCGAGTGTGTGGGCAGCAGCAAGAGAGAGACGAAGATGCGTCGATTCCTCTCGCATGTCTTTTTTCTAGGGCCGCGGCTGCCCTAGAAGGGGCACCTCACGTGTCTGTCGTGTGTTAAGCAGGAAGGCGGCTGGCATTTTCTGCGATGAAAGGAATGAGGCCATTCAAGAGGAGCGTTTACTACTGCTGTAGGTGGTGCATTGTCTGTTGTTGGTGGCGCACAACGCTCGGTGCACGAACACCTTTCAGATTCTGAAAAGGAGGCTGCCACACACGAGCAAAAGCAGCAGCAGGCACCACTGCTGCACAGCTTCTATATACCCATAAGCAGTAGTGACCTTGTCCTCATTTTAGTCCTCCCCTCTCTCTCTATCGAAACAAATGCCTGGGTTACTGCCGTAGTTGGTGTAGATGCGTGTCACACGTTATCTCCGTGCAAAGAAGGATATCCCGCGGTGCTCCAAAAAACCAAGTGATTCAAAACGGCGAACGCGTGCCGTGTGCGCTGTGGGATGGATGGTGTTTTTGTGGTGCAACGCTGCTGTGTACCATGGTTAGCAAACGAACACCCGCAGCGAACCCCATTCAGCAGCTATTTGCTATTTCGAAGTGCCGTGTTATGTCATGCGCTTCATAAACGCGATACACGTAGGCAGATGGTGAAACGGTGCGCTACTTCTGCTGTACAAACGCCGATCCCTAAGTGTACACTCCTTTGGATATATGCGTACGATGGACCAATGTTCCCCCCCCTGTCGTGTACATCAGTCAGATGACATCTGCTGCTCGTGCTGTCCGAATGAACAGGAAGCCCGGCGGTTGGACACGATCCATTTTTATTTTTTATATTGTTGTCGTGGTTGCAGCTGTTGTCCTTACGCTAGATAGCCGTTCAGGTCGCCGCTCAGTACCTTCTACTTCTGTCCGTACTGGTCCAACGTCCAACATCTCGGATGCCTTCCGTGGTCACAAGCCAAACTACTTTTCTAAAAAACGGAGGCAAAGTAGATACTGCTGTCGATTTATCAACTTGGCCATCACTCCGCACTGCTTGCACAAGATGAGAGTTGTTGCGGTTGTAGCATAATAAGAAGGTGCGCCTTCTTTTGAGCATAGGATTGTGGTGTGGCCGGGATGTAAACTCGAATGGTCTATCCCGCACGAGGCTGTCCGCGCGCTCGCTGGTTTGAGTCTTTCTTCTGGCGTAGAAGCAAGACTCAACCAGGGAGGACGCGGATAGCTTGGTGTGGGATAGGTCCTTTGAGGTTTACCTCCCTGCTACGCCACATCCTGTGTCCAGTAGGCGCACCCTATTCGCATAGTCAATAGAAGGTGTGCCTTCCTTTGAGCATAGGATTGTGGTGTGGCCGGGAGGTAAACTCGAATGGTCTATCCCGCACCAGGCTATCTGCGCGCTCCCTGGTTGAGTCTCTCTTCTGGTGTAGAAGCAAGACTCTACCAGGGAGGACGCAGATAGCCTGGTGTGGGATGGGTCCTTCGAGGTTTACCTCCCTGCCACGCCACATCCTCATGTTCAATAGGCGCAACCTACTTATGATTGTTGCAGTTGTAGCATTTTTAATAGAAGGTGTGCCTTCTGAGCATAGGATTGTGGTGTGGCCGGGAGGTATAACTCGAATGGTCTACCCCGCACCAGGCTGTCCGCGCGCTCCCTGGTTCAGTCTTTCTTCTGGCGTAGAAGCAAGACTCTACCAGGGAGGACGCGAAAAGCCTGGTGTGGGATGGGTCCTTTGAGGTTTACCTCCCTGCCACGCCACATCCTGTGTTCTATGGGCGCACCCTAATCATGATTGTTGCAGTTGTAGCATTTTAAATAGAAGGTGTGCCTTCCGAGCATAGGATTGTGGTGTGGCCGGGAGGTATAACTCGAATGGTCTATCTCGCACCAGGCTGTCCGCGCGCTCCCTGGTTGAGTCTTTCTCCTGGTGTAGAAGCAAGGCTCAACCAGGGAGGACGCAGATAGCCTGGTGTGGGATGGGTCCTTCGAGGTTCACCTCCCTGCCACACCATATCATATGCTCAATAAGGCTCACCATAATCATGTTACAACAGGGACGAAAACGGTCCACAAGGGATGAAGTCCGGACTGGAGTGGTATCCACCGTAGAACGTTAGCCGCGGTGGGGGAGTTCCTGGCCGTTCCTTCGACTCTGTTGTTAGTAACAAGCCCACAATGACGCTTCCTCTCGTGCCGAAAGCAGCTTTCCTCAGGATGCCTCCTGTAGAGCTAGCTCATCACGTTCTTACACGGCATCGATTGCGTGGCCGCTGACAGCTGGCGTGTGCGTGTCAGGGAGGTAGGTCTATCTGCCTTCCCCCCATCTTGGTGCGGCCGGAAGTTGATTGTGGCATCCGATGTGCCGGTGTCTGGTTCAGGCTTTTGTCTCATTCGTGACCCCCCCCCCCCAAACCGTTGATTTGGGAACGAACGACCCTAAACAGGCGTTCGTTAAGGTCCAGAAGACGAAGGCGTACTTCAAGCGGTACCAGGTGAAGTTCCGCCGCAGGCGCGAGGGCAAGACCGACTACCGGGCCCGCAAGAGGCTCATCTGCCAGGACAAGAACAAGTACAACTCGCCCAAGTACAGGCTCGTCGTGCGCTTCACCAACAAGTTCGTGCTGGCGCAGATCATCTACGCCACCATCCAGGGGGACGTGTGCATGTGCCAGGCCTCCTCCACCGAGCTCCCCCGGTACGGCTGCAAGGTCGGGCTCAAGAACTACGCCGCGGCGTACTGCACCGGGCTCCTGGTTGCCCGCCGCCTGCTCCGTCAGCTGGTGAGTGGAGAGAACTTTTTTTTTCATGTTTCCGTGTGGAAGCGTGACGCGAAGTAGTGTCGTGCGTTTTTGTTTTTGGGTTTTTCCAGGAGCGGGAAACCTCGGAGCGGTGTCTGCGTGGATTCTCTTTGTCGAAGGGTGGTGCGGCGTTGCAACCCGAGGTTTCCGTTCATGTTCATCCCTGAAGAATTTACGACCGCCTCCCCCCCCCCCCATTATTGATATTTTGTCCGCAGGGCCTCGACGAGGCAGACGACGAGAAGAAAATGGAAAACCTCTACACCGGTCAGGGAGTTGGCGTGGAGGAGGACGGCGACGACGACGAGGACGAGGTCGACGGAAACGTGAGGGGACGTTCCGCGTGCTGCGATACAAGTATCAAAGTCGCAAGCGTGTGTTCTACTTCTATGTATGCAAGATTTATTCACTTGCTTCCTCTTCCCGCGAATTGATTGGCCGTTAATTTTTAGAGCCAATTGCGTCTTTTGGGGCAAATGTAGCACCCTAGTGATACTTGGATCTTGGTACTCAACGCGGAGGATGTATCGTGCTTCTCAGACGGCCAAACAACGGGCGAATCTAAACTCAGTACCCGCGGGTAGCCGGTGCGCCCGTTTCTATATTCCACCGCATTTCGGCGTTCCTGGATCTCAGTAACTTGTCGCCTATTACAGTCAAGCTGGGAAGTGGGACTGAACCGACGGGGTTAGGTTTGTTTGCGGTGTCCATACAATTGATGGAAAACGTTTGGTATGAATGCGTTTTTGCGGCTTAACCCCTTTAGGGCTGGATCGCCTTTTGGGGACACTTTTTGTCCCCATCATCTTCACCTGCTTTACCTCGCGAAGATCGGCATGATTGTCTCCTCCTTTGCACTACTCGACCAGGGGGGTGCCAGGGTACACAGGGACCGACTCTAGTCTAGTATGGATGCTTTGTAGAGTGGAGGAGTATGAGGGCAATGAACAGGTCGAATCGCGGGGCGATTACGCCGCCGGTTCAACAGCGAAGTTGCGCCGCGTCTGTTTACCCTTGGGTGGAAAGCGCTAGTAGGGGCAAGCGCGGAAGAAGTACCTAGACCACCGTTGATAGGAGGCACCGAGCAACCTAGGGCTTGAGTTAGAAGGTCTCGCTTTCCCTCTAGAGAAATATCTTGAAAACCTCCTTTTCGTGCTCCGTTTACCACGCTCCCGCCAGTTGCTGTCTATAATCCCTATCAATTGTCCCCTCGTGTCCCCTCGTATCGAGGGGACAATTGATAGGGATTTAGACAAGAGACGGCTCAAGTGGGAAGGCAGCTTTGCACTTGCACCCAGGGATGGAACTGTCTGCACCATCCAATCAGCAGGCGTCGTTCGCTCTTTTTCTTACATTTCAGAAATTTCGCAAGACCCCCGAATTTTCTGTGCGTGGTGAGGGGGTTAAGAAGAGCCGTCTTTGCTGGCGGTGATGATGACGACGTTAAGGCAAAAACATATTCGTGCATTATGCTACGAGTGTCTCACGAACACACCAAGAGAGGCGTGTACGGTTTTGGTCGGGCGGCACATTGAAGTATTTCGTCTGGTCGCACACTCAAATCACGCACGCACTCGACGCTCACAAAAATTGCGACTGGGTTGGCTGGATTTTGACAGGTGGTCAAGTCCGAGTCTAACGGACGCACGTACTACGTCGACGAGGTGGACGAGGAGAAGCGGCCGTTCAAGGCCCTCCTTGACGTCGGCATCCGGTCTACCTCCACCGGGTGTGTGTGTGTGTGCATTACCGTAAGACTAGTCTTGTGTCTGTCGTTTTTTTTTCTATGTTACGTCTGTCGTTTTTTCCAGAATTTGTGTATTGCTTGCGTAGCGTAAATAGTGTGTTCCAAATGTGTTTGGCGTCTTTCGCGTATGTGGTTGGAAAATCTCACGCGTGTTTGACGCGTGCACGTGCGCGTTCGTTAGGTTTTTCCGGTTTTCGTGGGCGTTTCTTGAATGTTCTGGGTCTGGGTCTGTTACTCGATGGTCTGGCTCTTGGTGTGTGAAAGGAAAGCGTTTCGCGACAATGGTCCGGCTTCCCGGCGGTGAGCTGTGGCTACCGCAACTGCAACCACTGATGTGAACACCTCTCTTTGTTGGATGAAACGCTCTTGTCAGTTGTTTCTCTGTTCGTCCAAGATTGCACCCCTACTTGTTGATGCCGCTGCTGATGATGATGATGATGATTGTACTCCGTTCCGCCGCCTTCCCCGTCAAAATCCTCCTCGTGTGCTGCACCTCTTGTGTCTTTTTTTATACTTCTACTTTTCCTTGGTGCCCTCCTCCCCCGCCCGTCCCGTCCCTGTATCCAGCAACCGCGTGTTCGGCTGCATGAAGGGCGCCGCCGACGGTGGTCTGGACGTGCCCCACAACGAGAAGCGTTTCCCCGGCTACGACCGCGACACCAAGCAGTACGATGTGCGTGCAATATCCGTGTATCTCTTTGGAGTATTGTTTGTTATCAGACAAAAAATTACTTCGAAGTGCATATCTGGGGTGGTCGTGATTTTGTGGAGTACTTGTCGACGGTCTAGTATCTTCCATGGTGCCGCTGACTTTCTGTATTTTTTCACGGCTTTCGGTGGTATACAGAGTCGCATACGATGTTCTTATGTGTCCCAAATGTTAATGTCGTGCACACACGGCTCTCCTGGTGGCCAATGGTATGGTATTCGCCGCAGCGATTGTTGTCTCGTACACATGGCCTTGTTATTGCTTACTCAGAAGTTTTCTCCAGTACCCTCGGTGCATGTTTTGGATGTGCGCTTGTCATCACTTCGGCATCCTTCGGTGTTTCCTGCCTGCTGTCGCCGCTCGCTCACCCTGTCGCCGAAAACTTGTGACCGTACCAATCCTCCCCCCGGTTTCATAGGCCGAGCTGCACCGCGACCGCATCTACGGCGCTCACGTGGCGGAGTACATGGAGTACCTGACGGAGGAAGACGAGGCCAAGTACAAGGAGCACTTCGCGTCGTACATCGAGAACGAGCTCACGTTCGAAGACGTCGAGGACATGTACAAGGAGACCCACAAGGCCATCCGCGAGGACCCCTCCCCGGCGGCGAAGACGGCCTACACGCCGGACAAGTCCTTCAAGAACGCGGTAAGGGCTTTGTTTGTCTCGTTTCTACATAGCGTCCTTTTCTTTGTCGCAACACTTGAGGCGTCGAGTCTCCCCTGTGAGGCTCGTTGCCCTGTGGCGGGAAGTACAGAGTTGTGTTCACAAGAAAATGCGGGAATGTAGTCGGTGTACAACATGGCCATTGACAGTTCGGGCTATTTGCTCTCGTCCGGTGGAAACAACTACCAGTATTGAGGTAATTTTAGAATACAGTAGTTGGTGGCGAAGACGCCCACCACCCGTCACTGAGACTGAGAAACGAGTACAGGTGTACCGCCCCACATACAAGTGACAACAATTTGGGAGGTTGTGATGTTTTGCACGACATACGTGTGTTGATTCTGAAAAGCACTTGACTGCTTGGTATTTTCCACGGAAATCCGCCTCGCGACGCGACGAGACCTGTGCTCGCACCGTTGGCTTCTCCCTCTCTCTCCAGGGCTCGTCCGCCGCTCCTTATACGAACACCTGCCGTTACCCCCCCCCCCCCATTGTTGTTGTTTTCGGGGTTTGGTTTTGTCCTTTTTCGTGCTGTTGTTCGCCCCCGATCCATCGATCGACCTCGATCGACCACCACCGCCGCCGCAGGTCAAGCTCACCTACGCCCAGCGCAAGGAGAGGGTCGCCGCCAAGAAGGAAGAGATCCGCGCGGCCCGCGCTGCGGAGGACGAGTAGACGATATACGCCCGCCGCCGCCGTCTGTCTCTTCGGGCCATACCTTTCCGCGCCCCTATCATGTGGTCGGTTGCAGTAGCACCTCGTCGGTCGTGTTTCTTTTTTGGTGCGCGTTCGTGTGGGCCGCCTGTGGCTGTTCGCCGGGGGGGGGGCGTGACTTGCCGTTGTCCTGTGGTGGGACCTCGGCCTGTGCTGCTTATGGCGGCGAAAGAATTGTGGGGATGGTTCATGGGGATGTTGTGTTGTCGTTGTCCCAGGAGGACTTGACAAACGCATCAACGGCTGAAAATTAACGATCTGAGCTAAAACGAATGCGGAGTTGGTGAGCTCCATAGTTTTTTTTTCCCGAGGTGTACACACAGCAAAAATCCGTTCATCATTACGCCGGTGTTTGATTTCGTTCATCATGAAGCACCAGCTGTGCGTTCGTTCCTCACAGAAGCACAGCACCCCCTACGACGCTGCGGGCGTCAAGGCAAAAAAGAAGGCCTGCGTAGTTCGCTTTGAAGCACGCGTGCATGTAGACACCGCGTTGTCCTGTTGTCCCCACACGTGACGCGAACCTCGTCTCTTGGGAGTGTCACACCTTTCGCAACGACCCCCTGCCGCACAGACACGACACCTCTGGAGTCCGGGGATCTGACCCCCTGGCGCTGAAAACCGCGCGCACGGAGAGTCTCTTATCTATTGTCCCATATTATTCACGTCTTGTGGTCTGCAGTTTGGGGAAGTCGTCGAAACTAGTGCGCTGGTTTTGGGTAGTGTGCATCTATCGCGGACGGCAAGCGTATTGAGATAATAGTTCGTCCGTGGTGCTATGTAGTCATGTTCTTTTAGTTCTCACTTCCTACCACAAGATAGTCCACAGTTCGCACACGGCGACTATATTTTTTTTTGTTGTGTTTGTTTGTTGTTGCTGAGCCGACATCGGATATCACCGTTCGATACACAACGTGACATCATGTCTGACAGCCTGCGTGAGCCAGAGGGACGAGAGTGAGTGTCTTCTCGAGAGTTAATGCCTTGTCTTCTCTCCGCTCTCTTCTTTTAGTCTACCTCTCTCTCTCTCGCCTTTCGCCGGTGGGGTCCCAACAACATCGAACGTCAACCAACTGCAGTCGTTTTGCTTCTTGCTCAGCAAAAGGCTACCCGTGCATCCGGCTGCTGCATGTGAAGCGATGGGCGTTATGCCAAGCAATCGACTTGGGCCCTACCCAACGTTTGCTGCATATGCAGTGCTATGTGAGAGTTTCCGGCGGTCCAGAGAGAGCGGCGACCGTGGTTTTTTCTTTTTCCATGCTCTCTTTTGCCTCCTTCCTGAAGCCTGTCGCGTCTGGCTCTTGTGTTCTCGCTTCTTTCTTTCTTATATTTTCCATGCTTTGTTTTTTTGGGGTCCCCCGGTTCCTGTGTGCTCATCGGGCGTCTTCTTGGTGTCTACGTTGATTGTTACCAGCTGAAAAAATCGAGAGCTTCAGACACGCAACGCGACGATACTCGTCGAGTCGCGATACACAATTAATTTGGGGAAGTCGTCGAAAGTAGTGCGCTGGTTTTGGGCATTGATTTTCGTTTGCTTGGACAGACCCGTGAGCGTTGTTTCGAAAAAACCCCAATGTTGCGGTACCCATGTTAGACAACACAAGAAAGAATATGAGCAAAATACAAGTGCCGTGGGGGGGCGTCAACAACGCCGGCTGATTAGCGCCGGTGAATTGCTGGGCACAGCCTAAATCACGAAGTTATTCTGTACATTGAACGGTGGCGGTCGATGCGCCGGGCACATCACCGGCGTTATTGAGGGCCTCCCACTGGAGTGTAAATCAAACACGCGTGGAGATGTTGGGAGTACATCTGGCTGGACGAAGATGAACTTTGTGAGACCATCTCCTGTGTAGTCGTTCCGTGCGCCACAAAGAGAAGATAGGTACCACCTAATCAAGGGCTGATTTGTTGAGGGGAAGCAGCCTTCTAAAGAGTCGTGGTAATTGCTAACCACGAAAACATCCACGCTGCCTCGCGTGCCGCGACAGGACACAACCAGACGGCGGGAACACTCGTCCCCTTCACACCTCTCTTAATCTGTATGTCACCCATCTCCAGAAAAGCTTGCGAAAGTTCACCACCACGGCGTTCTCGTCTCGACGTAATTTATGCTGAGCATTTGCAACTCTGGCTCGGGAGAAAGTCACACCACGACCACCGCAAGACGTGGATTCGACCACACGGCGAAAAGTGGGTTGGAAAAGTGCCAACGACCCCCCCCCAGGAGGAGTTCTACATGGACCAATGGATGCAGGGACAAAGCTTAAGGTCAAATTCAGGACCGGGGACACAGGCCTTCGAGAAAGTCGACGAAGACATAGGACGGTAGACGACGAAGACGACAAGTTCAAACGTGATTGCGGCTTCGAATGCGAAGACCGTGTTCATGTAGTCGCGGAATGTCCGTGGTACAAAGAGGAGAGGGAAGTGTACATGACTGAGCTGGGAAAAATACAAGGGACGTACAGGGAGATGTTTGAGGCATGGAATAGAAGAGAGGAGAGGACGCTAGCTGTACTGGGGAGTAGGAAGTGGTTTGAAAAGGCGGGAAGGGATATCGTTAGGATATACAGAGTAGGGAAGGCATTTTTGAGCCACCTTTGGCAAAGTAGGAAGGAACGATTGGCCATCGGTGATCGGTCCTATGGGAACAATGCTCCGTCCTCTCGAGGACGCGTGGTCAATGGTCTAACCGCTAAGGCATGCAAAACATAAGAGTACGCCCACCCCCCCCTCCCCCCAGAGACGTTCTCTGAAAAGTTTGTCTCCGGGATCAGCCGCCACATGTTAGATCGTAGCTGAAACAATAGAATCTGCATTCCAGGCTTGCCTGGGCGTTCATTGCCTTGCTCTGTCGGGAACGAAGGGCCCACGAAGTGGGTGCTTTTAGGCAATTTTTGTTCCCGTGACGATGATGATGTTGTCATGACATGTTTTCTGATATCTGCAGAGCAGTACCTTCCACGAAACGATCGAAATCAATCCACCCCGTGTCACATGCTGCACACAAACTACGGTAGGTCTCACTATCTACATGACCATGCTCCAGATAAACCACTCGCAAGCTTAGACCATGGTCCATGCATACACGTAGACGAGCAACAAACATAAATCAACGACGCGCCTACGAAACGTAAAAACTTTATCTACAGGAGGGCGATCGATCGCAGTTTTTCTCCACTCGGAAACGGGGTCACCAGCAAAACATACTCCACGGATACATCAATAGACTTGCCCTCCATACGGGGCCATTACCAACCTTGAAGATGTCACCCAAGCACCCGTACGAAAAATGCGTGAAAACAGCGTACCGTACAACAAGTGCGAGTCATCGTATCCCCAACCCCCCTAGACGGACCGATGCTCCCCCAGGGAGGATGTCAATATGTCAATGCCGACAAGGAGGATGTGCTTGAGAAGATAAACATCTCGAGCGTTTCCCCCCTGTTGCACGAATCGGTAGGTTTTCGTACCCTCCCGGTTGCGTGGAGCAATCGACCTTTGAAAGTCAGCCGAGGGTGTGTGTGTGTGTGTACTCATAGTCGTGCATGCTGTAGTCGTTAGACAATTGACCTCTCATCCCTACAAAGCCGGACGGAGCACGCCGGGTTCTCACCGGACCAGGCTCTCACATCACCAAGCGTCAGCCTAGGGGGGGAAATGTTTTACGCCGGTAGCGGCAGCGACTACAGCATGCACTAGTTTACTGTACGTGAGCAGATCAAGAACAACGACATCCACGTCGTGGTTCACTCCAAACAAAGCTAGCCGTCATCTGAGGCTGAACAGTGAAAGGAAGAAAGAAAGAAGGAAAGAGCAAGCCTGTCGTGGACCACCACCAGGGTGGCGCTATTCTCGTGTTGTTGAGTTGGACGGTCCAATATTTGCCGGTTGTTGTAAGACTTCCCGCAGGCGTTTCTCCACTTCCGCCATGCTGGGCCGCTCCCTCAGATCGGCCGACCAGCATCTGAGGAAAAGAGCGGTGGCAGAAAGGAAGAAAGAGAAAGTCCGGGAGGAGGGAAAAAAAAACCCCATCAAGTCTGGTCGTGAGTGTAACGTATACGACACAAGATGAAAAAAAATAACACCCCGTTGACCGATTTTCATGGCTCGATTTGTCAACAGCAAAAAGAATCGCAGCGCCGAAAACGCCGGCATTGAAGCCGTCTGGTCGAGAGCTCTCCCGAAAACGCATCGTTTCGCTCACGTATCCTCTTCGCCGTGCAGTAATCGAGAGTTGAAAATCAGTCCAGTCCAGGGTGTGTGTTATCTTGTGTGTGTCGTATACGGTAGTACGCAACCAGAGCCCAAGCAGAACGCAAGGGTCGCGGCAAAGGGATAATGAGGCGAATGCATAGGAGAGTGTTGTGCCGGTACATTACGCCAAGCAAGTTTCGAACACGAAATGCTCGGCCCGCGATGCACGGTTACGCATGCCCGCCTCTCTGCGGGTCAAGTCTTGCGCTGTGCTCACACGCGACGCATGAATAAGTTCAGGCAGCCGACAAGGTGCCCACGAGGCACTGAATACTAAGTAGAGAGGGGCAATCAATCATGGCCCGTACCGCGTCGCACATTCACCCCGCACCTGCCTATCGTGCCCACTCATGAAGCACACGACTCATGTCTCCCGCGTGGCAGTGCGCCAAGAGACGGGCGCGAGCGCAGTTCTTACTCCAAAACTGTGGTGGTTGCATGCGTATCGTGGTGCTGTAGCTTCAAGATGGTTTCGGGCGGCATTTCGTCTAGAAATACGCCGCCGCCGTGTATCGGTGAATGCGTGCAGCCGGCTACTCTTTAGGCACGGTCGGTCCACACTGTACCTGGTGAGGAGGTCTGTGAAGCCCGCCGGCCAGTCGGGCGCCAGCCGTGGTCTGGCTCCACCCAAAATCACCCTTAACGAACGCGGGCAGGCAAAGCAGGCAGGCAGGCAGGCAGGCAGGCAGGCAGGCAGGCGCTGTCATCAGCTAGGTAGCCAGGCAAAAGAGAACGGACACGAGAGAGGGGGAGAGGTACCGTGGGGCGGCGAGGCGGCAACCACGGAAGGGGGAGGATAGTATGAAAGGTTCGTAGAGATCGGACACCATCCGTTCCCAACACCGAAAAAATAGGTGATCGTGGCGCGGAAAAAACAAAAAGTGCTGCGCGTCGTGCGCACGCACCCGGGTGAACCTTGCCTCGCCATCTCGGCCTTTTCTCAGGAGGAGGAGCAGCAGCAGCAGCAGCAGCAGCAGTGCCAGTGCCACCACCACCGACGCACACGAACGCGTGTCCATCGTCTCTTCGCGCATCTAAACGAAACGAACACACACTCACAGGAGAGGAAAAACGCCCGCCTTCTCTCCGCCCTCCTCCTCCGATTCCCTCTTCACACGCGTGGAACTACAAGAAGAGCACGGCAATAAATCGATCTTCCGTTCTATGAAGCTGGTAGTATTCTCTCTCTCGGGAAGGACGGAAGTGGCCATTGGCCTTTCCTTCCGTTCCCACTGGCTCACCGTTCGGTCAGCTGATTCACCCCGTAGAACTGGAAAGGCAGCTCCAGGCTGACCATCTCCCACAAGACGATCGCAAAGCTGTAGACGTCGGCGGTTTCGTTGGCCGGCAAGTTCCTCGCCACCTCGGGCGCCATGTATCTGTTCAAAAGAGAGAGGGAGAGAGGGAGAGAGGGAGAGAGGGAGACAGAGCGAGGGAGAACGAGAAGAGAGGTCCAGGAACTGCTGCCTCACCGAAACCACAGGACAGGTTGTTGTCGTTGTTGTTGTTGTTGTAGTCGGCGGTATTCGCGTTTACAGTGCCAGAGGTTGTCTCGCCGGTTTCACTTGATCGGCCATAACTTTTGACTCGGGGGTCCAATGAAAAGAAACAAATCATTCCCATGACGCCCATGAGATCGCCCACAAGATTGGATACTTTTTTTTGGTGTTTGGTCGAAAAAAATCTTTTTACATTTTTCAAGAATTGTTTTTTGACAAATTACAAAAAAGTGCTGATGGCTGGACTCGACCACATCACTTGGAGTCTGGACGTCCGATCACGTAGTAGCCTCTTGGTCGCTCGGCCATGAAAATTGATAAAATTGCACCGGGAAACATGCACATCTATAGAGGGAGAGCGTACGAGCATTTCGCCGTGTTTTTTTCGAAAATCGGAGAAGCACGCGTTGAGGTATCTCAATAACACGATCGCCAATTTGATTTTCTAGGCTTTTCAGGGGTTATTATTATGTTTTTCTTTTCCAGAATACAGGGTTTTAATTTTTCGGCACGTGGCCTGAAAGGTTCGGATATGGAACCAATGCCATAAATAGAACAGGAAGAAGGCTCCAATTATCTGCATTTTTTTTTGGTCGCAACGCCGTAGTTGTCGAGATATGGAGGATTTTGTGGGGTGAAGTACCTTCGGTGGCGATGGTAATAGGTCCATAACTTTTGACCCAGAGCGTTGCGACCCATTTTGAAAGGCTCATTCGAACGCCGCTGGCGAGGGCTTTCCAACGCACATTTGTTTGTCACCCAATTCGTTAGGCAACCCTTTTGTTTTTTTTACCCCGTCCGAATATTGTGGAACAACCTCTGGCACTGTAGTGTTTGTTGATTCCGTTTTGCGTCTCCACTATTCCTCCGTTCCCGTACTCTTGGGAGCAACAAAGATAATGAGATTCCGTCGTCACGGGGAGCGTTGGCAACAGGCAGCAGCTTGAACGTCAACAATAACCAAACGCCTCAGGGACAGGGCAATTCGGTCTCATTGTAGCTACCTCAGAGGTGAGGGCATTCGTGCCTTGCTTCGCCGGCAAGCTCATTGAATCATCATCGTCACCCCAGCTTGAACAACTCCAGCAGACATACACGCCTTTCGAGTAATCGTTAAGAAAAGAAAACTTCCGTCTGCCGAAAGAAGCGGAGCAACAAAAACCCTCTTGCAGCAGGTTAATGCCTCTCGCTCTGTTGTCCCGGTGGCTCACTTCCCGTGTGCATACCCGCGGGGTAACTTATGTGTGCACGGTTCTTGCACGTGAAGGCAATGGTTATCTCATCAAATCGCGGCCAAGTGCAAGCAAAAGCATTGTGCCTACGGCAGAAGAAAATGGGCACGGCAGAGGCACCGCGGACTACAACAGACACACACCTCATCGAGCCGGTGTTGCCCGTCATGTTGTACAAGTTGTCGCCGATCGAGTCGTCCGGTCTCAACATCTTGGCCAGGCCGAAATCTTGTCTCGAGAGAGCCGGGAGTGAAGGGGGGGTGGGGGGGGGGGGTACAGGAGGAGACGTGGATGTGAGGGAAGAGTGCTGTATGCTTGTGGGTAGAACGCCCGACGGGTAAGGGTGAGACGAGTCACGCGCTAGGAGGATAGATATAGCGTTAGGCAGACCACAACATAGATGGGGTAGAGAAGAAAGTAGCCATCACAATATTCTAGTCGGGCGCGCGCAACTATAGACGCGCAAACCAAGACCACAACGACAGAAAACGACACGTTTCAAGCAAGCCGTGCACCCACCGAAAAGCTTGAGCGTGCGAAAGTCCGCGGTGAAGGCTAAGTTGTTGGGCTTGATGTCTCGATGCAAAACCTTCGCCCCCTGGTTTTCAGTGCACAGAAAGGGAGGGTGTGTCTATGGTCGAGGAGGGGGGCAGGGATGCCCCCTCCGGAGGGGTTGGCGCGCGCGCAGGCCGGGTTTGAGCCTGGGTTGCCGAAGACCTCTTTCTACCGTGAAAATGAATGACAGGCGTGGGCACGGTAGACGGAGAGAAAGGTAGACAGAGCAGCAACACCGCGGTACGCATGAACTCACCTTCACAACCGAAATTCCGTGCTGCGGATAAGTGCCTCCGCGGAAAGGGTGTGGTACGCTTGTTTTGAGGAGGACCCCAAGAACGGACATGTTTTGGTTTTTTCCTTCCCTTCCCTTTCGGGCCAACGGACCCCAAGAAGAACCGGGCGTGTCGCCCCGCCGTCCCGGCGTTGTAGGGATGCGATCTTCATGGTCTACGGACTACGGCATGTATTTACATGAGTACACCCCCCCCCCCCACCCCCCCACCCCCTGGCTTCAGAATCTGTGCTGTCAACCCCCGCCCCCCTCGGCTAAAGCTTTGCCGGGTTGTAGGTCTACCTTGGTGTTATGCATATCATTCGAGGCAAAAATGATCCCCTAAAATGGGCGCAAACTACGCCGTCTAGGTCTAAAACGAACTTGGCTTGTTCTTCAGGCAGGAGGGGGGAGTACAGCAAAATGCACGACGCGATTGGTACCTCCCGTGGGGGGTGGGGCCGACCGACTGAGTCTACCTCTGCCTGCACTCCCGCAAGGCGGGGGTGTACAACTACCTGCGACCGGGGACTGTGCGGGCTTCGGGACGTCACACCAAGGAAACTACTGTATGCCGAAAAAAGGCAACATGGACCACCATCACTATGCATACCCCACTGCTGCCGTGCGAAGGAACTCACCGGCACCGCCTCGTCGTGCAGGTAGGCGAGCGCCGAAGCCACCCCCGCGGCTTGCCGGAGAGCCTCTTCCATCGGAAACCACGTCCGCACGCGGAAGCGCTGGAACCAGCCCGTTCCCTCCGGGCGGTCCTGCGTTCCGATCGCGGCGGAGAGGGTTCCTCCCGAGAGGAGCTCCGTGACGACGAACTGCCCCCCCTGCTTAAAATTTTGGGCGGTGCCCCCCCCCCCCCCCATTCCGGTGGCGATTGGTGTAGACATTCGTCACGATCTTGCGGATGTCAGCTTCGAAAGAAGGATCAAATACATCGTCAGCAAATACGATCGAAAACGCTATGTTCCAACGTTCCTTCCGATCCCAGTAGCAGTGTGAGTTGAATCATACGCAAAACCAATATCGTGCAGCCATCTTCAAGTTTGGCGTAATATCTGTCGAAAAACTGCTTGACGTGCTGCGCTCGCCCATTCGCCCCTCTCTCGTCACATTGGGGTGTCACCGTGTGCACCAAAACGAATCTAAGTGGTAGTTGTTGTCCAACTAACGTAGGATACTGGTAAAAGAAGTGAAAGCTAAACCTTCGGCACGTCGTTGTTGTGTCGAATGCAAGCAAAGCAAAAGCGGAGGCGGGGGCAGCAGCAGCAGCAGCAGCCGCAGAAACAGTGCTGCTGCCGCCGCAGAAACAGAAACAGAAACAGACCCGCGGTTTTGGAAAGACCTGCAGTACTCCCGTACCGTTCAGCAATGTTCACTTCTGGAGGACTTCTGTGTTTTCGGGAGGAGGAAAAACGGCTTGCAAGCTCTCGCCGGTCCGATACCGTCCCGCGAGTGACGAGGGGTCGGCACCAGAACCTATCGGCATCGACGATCGCCGGCGGAGGGATATGCTACTCTTCTTCAGCTGTTGTCGGCACTACTCCCAGGCAAACGGCGCCCGTGCGGCAGACAATGTGTACACTTGGGCAGCTACCACCGTATCCACGCGATGGTTGGTTGTCCGTGTGTCACCTCCGGGGTCTGACCAGCCCCGGCGAGCCTGACGACGTTCGGGTGCCGCAGATGCTGTAGGATGCTCAGCTCTCTGTCCAGGTCCTCCGCGTCGGAGTCTGAGGTGCTGTTGGAGGCCTTGAGCGTCTTGATCGCCACTCTTTTGTTGCCTTCGTTGTTGCCGCCCAGTGTGCCCTGCCAGCAGCTAAAAACGTAGGCGGCGTGTGAGGAAGTAAGGGTGATCGCCTTCAAAGAAGAGTAGAGAGCACGACACAGCTGCAGACGTCAAGTGTGGTACAAAGCTATAGGCAACAGTCGTTGTGGTGGTGCGGTGGAACGTACCCCGACGAGTTCAAGTCACTGCTGTACGCACAAGTTTCTGTTTCGGCACAGGATTCAGTTCGTGAACTCCAGGCGTAGATATAGAGCTGCGTCTCGCTTCCGGAGTCCCCCCCTCACGCTTGCGTAAACGCGGCAAACAAGAACACCTATTGCACCACGGGAGAAAGCGTTCCCGCTTAAGAACACTTTGCATTGCTCGAGGCTCGCTCTGTGTTTCCTCAGGTGGGGTCGGGTTCATTCACATTCGTTGTTTCGATTGTTGAAGCGCTAAATTTTTGTAGATCCGTACACTGCAAGCACTACTGCTGTTGTTGATAACTTTAGGAACAACGACGAATTGATTGAGTACACGTGGAAATCGAATGATCCAGGGTCTTCCCCCTACGACGCACATACGTCACCGCAGAGTACCGATACCACGTAGACAACAGTCGGTAAAGTCGAAAACATGTTGTACAGTCAGTACATCAAGTTACATGTTTGCTCTCTCTCTCTCTCTCTCTCTCTCTCTCTCTCTCTCTCTCTCTCTCTCTCTCTCTCTCTCTCTCTCTCGTCTCACGTGCACCCCGTTCCATCTGCAAGAGGGCGAATGTCGATTATCTCTTCGAAGGGGATAGAGAGGTCCACTCCCCATGGCCCACCGTCATCTTGCTCTTGTTGGTCAACAGCGGTAGCCTGTTTTCCGGCTTCCCCGCTACCGGTAGCTGGGGAAGAGGTAGCCGTGCCCATGATGACCGTAGTCTAGGCAGCTATTTAGCTTTCGAGCTTGCCACACCTCACTTGAGAGCAACAGGCGTTCGGCAAGGGGACGAAAACACGCGAGGAGAACGACGAAATTTTCCTTTTTCATCGACCTCTACACCTGTAACAAAAGCTTGGGCGGAGGTTCTACACTCAACACGTCACGTGCCTGGGTCTTTCTTGGTCCGCCAGAACCAGTAGTACCAGCGTCACTGAATCTACGGTAAGTACAACGCTTCGCCGTATGCTCCGTGGCCTACAGCAGTAGACTAGTGCCTCCCAGAAGGGATTGATTCTGGTGTCATGTATTTTTCAAATATTAGAGGTGCATAACTACGCCGTGGATGATGAGTCGCTGGCACATGACGAGTGGTAGCCCGACAGCAGTGGGAAGGCGTCCTGGGCAATGCCCAAGGACCGTTGTTTGGTGCTGTGTAGCCAGACAGAGTCGCAGTACTGCTACTACTGTAGATGAAATGATGAAAAGTTCCGCGATGTGACGTAACTTTGGGCACGGGCGCATTTACTCACCGTGCTCGAATGTCCCGCTTCAATGAATCGCACGTTGAGGATTCAGTCGCTTGGCCTTCTGTTTTCTACAGTAGGTATGCTCGGTGTTCTCGAGACCGATCCACTCGTTGCTATCAGCGGCCATCGGCTGCTTGGCCGGAGGCAGTTCCGGTCCGCCAAGCAGCATCAACTTGCAGCTGGCGGCCCGGAACTGGTTCTAATATCTCTTCGGCAAAACTATTGCGCCGCATCTCTCGAGAGCACGGGGCTTGCGTATGGCGTAGCTGAGCCCCACTGCGCCTGCGCCCAGTACACACACCTCGCGGTTACCTACTAGTCACCCGCGTTCTCTAAGCTTCGCAGTGGGTATGAGTGTTGGGTCTACCGTTTTTGCCATAGGTTTTAGATAACGGGAGCGGCATCATCATCCAAGCAGCAGAGCACCACCGGCGGTGTTGCACATGGCCGAGGGACTGGTCACTCAACCCCGCGCGGCGACAATCAAGGGATGGTCGGTAGGTCGCATTGTTCACTACAGTGTCCTGTGCATCTGTGTCGATTCGATGCACCGCAGGTGGGTAGCAGACATCCTAGTGACAGGAACGCACGCGCATGTTCAACGGGGCAAGAGGTAACAATAGTCACGATCAACCTCTGTGTATGGTTCCCGACCCAATCGGAGAATTCCCGCCATGACTATGTTGAGGTCCCTCGGCTTGTGTAGATGGGTGGGTGGACTACGGACAGACAGATGGAGTGTAGGTACCTATGCACGACCTTGAACAAGACACAAGGAGAACGTAGATAGTTGTTTGGTGCATATATCAGAGAAAGGAGTATTAGTTAAACTGCCGAACCTTTGTTACCAGTTGTATTTGAAAGGACTTCAAAAACATCTAATAATGTACAATCATCTGACGATACTTTGTTTGATTCCGCGATTGTTTGTTCGTGCCTCGTCACCAGGTATTGACTAACCAGCCGGTAGAGAAAGCGGCGGTCGTCGGACGAGCCGCGCCGCTCCTCGTGCACCAAACGCTGGCCAACAGGGAGCAGGTGCTGGTGTGCGCGTGTTGTCACCGCTTCGTGGGCACTCCGGCAACCCAGCTCGCCATGCTCGAAGGTTTCTCTCGCGCCGATACTACCACCGCTTCAACAAGCACCACCAAGTCCAAAAAACGGGGTCGGAGCAGCGACTCGCCGACGGCAAACACAACACCGTCTCGACGAAGCGCTGTCGCCAGCGCACCCCCCTCTCACCTTCCCGACCTCCCGACCCCAAAAGGGCAGGAGGAGGGGAAAGAGCAAGGGCGAGGAGAGATTTGGAGGTGCACGGGCGGCGCGCCTTGCGACGACGTGTATTGCTCTTCCGGGTGCCAGGAGGCGGCGCTAGCCGCTGGACACGGTCTGATTTGCATCGGCGGCAGCGGGGAGGGCAGGCGAGTCGTCGGTTCGGTGACGAAGAGCACCCGTGTAGCCCCAGCGCCTCCTCGTCGTGCCGAACCACCTTGTCCTGCCCCCCTCCCACCCTCATAGCTTTCCCCAATGCTTTGGTTACGTCTCTGAGTCCCAATTCGACCTAACCGAACCCAACCCGCCCATGGCCTTTGTATAACCTCACGCACACAGCCCGCTCTTCGAGTTCCACCGATACGCACTCCGCACGAGTGAGACGTACCTCATCGCTGCTGCGGCTGTGGCGTCGGTGCTTTCCACATCTCTCTCCTCCACCGAGGGAGTTGGTGAAGACTCAGATGACGGCATCCGGCCTTTTGAAGCCCTGGAAGGCTGGTCCGAGCCCTACATGTCTCCATCGTGGGATGATGATGACGACGACGAGGAAATTGTTGATGAGGGCGGGGGTCGCCGCACGATGAAAGGAACAACAGGGAAAGGAGAGGGAGGGGGAAGGGGAGGAGGAGAGGGCGGCACTATTGGATTCACGGCCGTGAAAGATATTGGCGTTTCAATGGAAGAGGTGTGACGCCAAAACGGAACCCGCTGTTGTCGCTGGAGGTTTTGGAGACCCCAGTGCCGCTGTTTATTGTAAGCTCTTTTGGACGCGTCTACTCGCAAGCTGCCTTCATTCAAACTAGGAAGTCGGATTCTCGATCGATAGCGACGCCACCGCTGAAACCCCCACCGCTCTCCCAAACAGGCGGAAGAGGCGTGGTCCTTGCTCACAGCGGGGTTGGTACACGGTCGCGGCGTGCTTGACTCCTTGCACCGCGCGGCGACGGCAACACCTACTGCAAGAGACGGGGGGGTGGGCGGGCGCAGGAGCGTCGAACGCGCTCTGTCGTTGGATTTCTTTCTCCGGGTGGTGAGAGCCCTCGGGAGACACCTCGCGCCGATATCGGTCTCCTCTCCACTGGTCAGGTGCAGTACTTGGTCACACAAGAGAGAGGGCAGAGGTGACACGAATGTGTCGGGTCAAGGTCAAGGAGCCAGAGGGCGGGGGGCGGAAGAGAGGGGGTCCTCGCTAGACACGAGCACGCGCAGGGTGATTATTTTGTCGGAAAGAAGAGCGAGTGCATCAATTTCATGGTGCCGCAGGGGCCCGCGGGTTCTCGGGTAGGACCCGTTGCCCGTTGTACCTTACATACCGTTTGAAGTTAGTTTGGATTTTGGTTCTGCTAAGCTCCTCCTGGGACCAAGTCAGTATCGCCAAGGCTGCATCTTTCCTCCTTCCTGTCATGTCCGCGCTTTTATGTACCGCCGTTGCGACTATCTGTAGCTGCTTCAGCAGCAATACCGTCTCCAGAGTTGTTCACGTTGTCATTCTCATCGGTGTTGTTTGTCCGCGTAGCTATTGCGCGCGCTTGGTGCAAGCCAGCCCTGAGAGAAAGGCGCGTGCCTTGCCCTGGCTAGCGCTGGCGGTGGAAAGGGCTGGTCCGTTTGCAGGCGCCGATGGGGCAGACGAAGCTGGCATCGACAAACCCTGCCAACCAAGCTCCACAGCAGAAGGCCGCGGAACAGCAACAGCAGAGCTCCGAAAACGTGGCGGGGAGGTTAACGGCCTTGGGCAAAAGCATGAAGAAGACGACGCAGTCATCGTGGGCGAGAGAGGGCTGTGTAGGCTCGTCCAGGCGTCGGCAGCGGCGGCCGCGGACACGGCGGCTAGGTGAGCGAGTGACTTCCATAGTGCGGCCGCACTTCTCTCGTGTGTACATACATGCCTGGAACAAGGTGATGTTGCGTCTTGGTGAAATTATCGTCGTCCTTATTGCTCTTGTTGCTAGACTCTCGGAAATATTCATCTACGATGCCTGACCCGCGCCTGTTAACTCGTTTTCTTCTCCCCCCACGTTTTTTTGGATGCTCCCTTGTTCTTTCCCCTCCGTCCCAGCCCTTTCCCGCCTCTCTCGGTCGTCGGACTACTCCCTACTCATTGTAACCCCCAGCACAGCTGCGTGCCTAACGTGCAACTCGAGGCTTCCCTTCTTCCGGCGACGAAGTCAGCCGATGAAAAAGGTGAATGAGGGGGTGGGCGCAGCACGGTAAACGGGGGCAGCTGCAGACTGGTCCTGTGTGCTCAACAAATGCAAGGGTGTGGACGGGTCGGTGCGTTAGCGCAATATACGAATGACAAGAGTTCTTTGTACACGCAGACAGGCCGTGGATGTCACGTGCTCCGGTCCACACGACAGATCTCACGCCCCGCATGCCTATCATCGCTGTCCGTGTGTCTGTAGTCATTTCCTGATCATGAATCAATCTCCCGCCCACAACCCATTCCCCCTACCCGTCAAGATCACGCCCTTACAACGAAATGTTTTTGGACAACCCTTGAAATGTGTTGTTTGGAATGTGCCTGGCGCTTTACGCCTGACCTTGCCTTTCGTTCACCATGAGCTCCCGCGCAGACATCTTTTTTGCACGGGGGTGGATGTGTACTCTCTAGGGAGGTGTGCCCAGTTCATTTTTCATGGCGAAGTCGGCGATTGCGATGTTACAGAGGCGCCGCGAGGCCACCAAAGCACTTTGGACGCTTTGGCATTAGGCCCCGCCCCCCTCGCAAACAACGTGTCTGCTGCGTGCAACCACAACCGGCAGACGGTGTGCTTGAAGCAGAGAAACAAGTGTCGTCGTCGTCGGCTCTCCGCGTCGGGTTGGTAGCTCTCCGGCGGGTACAAGCAGGGGAAGAGCTGTTCGCTCCGTACATCGCCCTCGGCCAGCCCATGCAGGCACGCCAGCGAGAGCTGTCTTCGAGGTTCTTCGCTGGTCGTTCTGCTAGTGGTGGCTTCGCTGCGGCTTCCGCTACTGGTGCTGGTGCCGCTGTTTCCGCGGCGGCGGTGGCGGCGGAGGTGCCAGACACAGCGCCGACCGGGTCTTGTTCTTTGCCGGGTTTGTCTTCGCTACAGCGGCAGCCGCCGCAGCTGGTGTGCAACTGCCCGCGCTGCCTTCTTGAGGCCGGGGGTGATCATCGCTTGTGCGGGCGGGAAATACTCAAGGTTCGTACAACTTTCGTGCGCAACCTCAGGTCACGGTACGGGCACGATGAGCACGACGCGGTGCTGGGATCGCGTTGTGCAGGACCGAGCAAGCTTAGTGTGCCCTTCTCGCATAAAATGGTAGAGATCAAAAAGTAGGTTGCTTTAGATATAGTGAGGCCCGAAGCTGGGATGTCTGCCTATAGCTTCTTCGGCGGCCCCCATCAGCACCTTCCAGTCCCGGCCTATCGAACCTGCACGCCTCTCTTCCTAGCCATCCGTCCTGCTTCTTCAGCTGTAGCTGTTTCTGCTCTCTTTTCTTCATTTTCTCATCTGCCATGCATGCTCCCTCGTTATCGTGCCAGGTCCTTGCGGACCAAGCTCTCGAGGAGGGACGACACGAGGCCGCGCTTGGGCTGTACCGAGCGTCGCTCGCCGTTCCGCCCCCACCCCCCTCTCCTTCTTCCAAGGCCTCCTCGTGCACCCCGGCCCGATTCGCGGCCGACATTCAAGCCCCTTCTGGAGCGAACAACAGCTGTACTACCGACCGAGAGGGAGGAGATTTGACAGCCTGCGATGCATCGTCCTCGATAGCAGCGGCCGCGGGCGCGGCAGCAGCAGCACCTGGAAACGGTCAAGGAGAAGAGGGAAACGAAACCTCCGGGGCACGGACGGCTACAGTCGCGGAAGAAGAATCTGGCGGATCGGAACCAGCAGCGGTAGAACCAGCCGAACATCCAGAGCAAGAAGCGGCGGCAGCCGTGTTGAATGGTGACGCCCTCCACGGCATAGGGGTGGCACTCTTGGCGGCTGGGAAATTCAGGGAAGCGTGTCGAGCGTGGGAAAGGTGCGTTGCCGGCCTGGTTGCGACAACAGCGTCAATCGGCAGTCCCACATCAAAGATTAAGTGGACTGAGTAAGTTAGGCCTAAATAGGGTGTGCATGTGCACACGATTCACTATGGGATAGGTGTATACTTGTCGATCGGAAAGCAACACGTGTGAAGATACCGTTCGGGGAGCCTCGGCGGTTATTATCATGGTTTTTCACATCCTGCGGATGCGCGGGAGAACCGGTATTGGAGGTGGGGTGGGGGTGCTGGCGGGGGGGCGGATTGTGACAAATATTTAGGATTTTCGCAATTTCACAACTGCGATATTACAAGTCCTGTAACGTGTCAACATGGGACGTGTTGCTTCCGTAAACGAAACCAGGGGATTCCGCGACGCGCCAAATCACCCGGTGCTTCGGGCGCAAGCGGAAAAGGAGGCAGCTTACCGCCCTAAAGCCGGGGAGGGCGCCAACTCTGGGGTATGCGGAGGTGCGGAGGGCCCATCGCCGGAGAAGCAGGGGAAGAGGATAATTAGCACTCCTCACGCGGAAGGTTTACTCGGCGGTAGCAGCGACGACGACACCCATCTATGCTTTGCGGTGAGAATGGAGGAATGTTCCCCCTCACTTTTTATCAACGTCCCTCAAGTCAGAAAACCTGTTCAAACCACCGGCAGGTGGGACTCGACGTTCGATGGAGAAAGACAGCAGAACGCAGCACGCGGAACCTATTGTTCAGGGCCGCTTTTCCTCCGCTGATTAGTGGTTCTTGTCATGATTGTAGATCACGCGCGCAGTTGGTGCTCGCCATGCGTGCGAAAGCATCCTGTTCAGCCTACTATCATTTACGGTGTCGTTGCGCTGCTACGCTACTCCCGATCCACTCGGTCACCCGACTATTATCATAACTCTCTGAACAAGCCGTGCTCTGCTCTTGTGAGCCGCTCCCCCGCCGCTATGTCCCCTCCTATCCCGGCGTTGGTGACACATTCTGCCCCCCCCCCATCTGGCTTCAACTCACGCGCGCCTTCCTGTAGTTTGTGCTAGTCGGTGCCGACTCGGATTGACGGAAACGGCAAAGGAAACAAAACAAAACCCTTGGATCACATCGGAGAGAAACAAGTAACACTCATTATATTAATCGAATCGGAACCTTTTTCTGCCGCACCCGTTCTTTGCATCAAAGTCGATCCCGGGAAGGGCTTCTGACATCTTCCTCAGCCGAGAGCGGGTACTGTCGCCGGAGGAATGTCGTGGTGTCATCCAAGCGGCCGAGGACTATTCACAGGTATATTGAAAATATGCAGACGCCTTTTCCCTGTAGGAGACAGAGAGAAAGCGAGAGAGGCAGAGAGTGAGAAGTATTTCAACAACAACCACGTTCGTTGACCAACCCAGAACAATTTCCCCGCTTCCCCAACAGGAACGTGCTTCTCAACTGACTCGTGGTGTCGTTTTCAAGTGTATACCTCGCCACTTTTGCTGTCGGCGAACAACAGCAGTTACGCACAACGTGCACGCCAACCAAACCCGCACGCGAAATACCCAGGCAAACGGGGGCTGGACCACGTCTCGACACTATGCCGTACCCACGACCGACCTACCTGTGCACGCCCTGAAGTCCACGCTGCCGTGGTTCCGCTCCCTCGTCAGGTATGTGGAGTCAGCGGGCCCGTTCGCGCATCGCCAGTGAGCGCAGTGCGTACGATAGCCGGCAGCACGTGTTTGTTTGTGTGTTTCATTAAGAGGCGTCGACCGCGCTAACCTGCTGACTATTGGGAAGACATCAACCTTATTCCACGCTAACAAGCTTAAGCATTTCATCGTCGTATGTGCGGGCCGGACGTGCTGTCGCTGCCTTGGCGTAACGTGGTCTCCATTTCCGCTGTATATATTGCTGTTGCCGTGTTTTTGTGGAGGTACGCAACAGTTTGCGTGTGGTACAAAGTTCTTCGAGGGCGCGGACCTTTTTCTTGATTTGTTTTCATGTCTCACTTACATGCCGCCGTAGCGGAGAGGGAGGCCGGGAAGGAGAGGAAAAGCATATTGCGGAAGGTAGTGAACCGTCTTCACCTATTTAGCGAGTACAAGCACATGATCCATACAATCACATCTGGAAGTGCACATTCAATGTCCCCCTTGACGAACTCCCCAGGCCCGTCAGCGCAAACCCTGCTGCAAAACGACATAGTGAAGATCCCTCCCCCCGTCCCTCTTTGTTTCTCCCTTTTCTTTGGTCTGAAGATTACGGCCGTGCATGATTGCGTGTACCCCCCCTCCGCGCCCCTTCGCCCGTTTGTTCCCCTGCACCCCCCCCTGGTACCAAATCCGTTGTATGGGGTGTCGAAGGGAGCGTTTGTTTCCGGCCCTGGCAAAGCGGTTCAACCTCGCCGCCGGCCCTCGGAGAGTTTTCGTTCACGACGCATTCGTCGTGCGTTACGAAGAAGGGAAGCAGCGCCACCTTCCCCTCCACCGCGACCAGTCCACTCACTCCTTCACGGTGCGTGCACAACTCCAAGGCTATCGTTATTTGTTTGTCTCGGTGACGGTGCTCAGTTTGTGTTTGTTACGTGATGGGGCTTGTTTACGCGCTTCGTGATTGCCACGCCTCGCCTCCTGACGTCGTTCTTGTCAATTACCGAGGCAAGTTACAAGCGAGCACCCCGTTTTTTTCTCCATCCCCCGACGTGTTTCCTACTGAGACCAGATAGCCCTCAACGGCCTGGATCAGTACACGGGTGGGGGTACCTTCTTTCCGTCCCTTGGTAGGTCCCTCCGCCCCGCCGAGGGCCACGCCTTGTCGTTTCGAGGAGGCATTCTTCACGGCGGGGATCCTCTCCTCAAGGGCGTGCGCTACATAATCGCCTGCTTTTGTTACTACGACGACGGTGGTGACAGTGACGAAGAAGTGGCTCGTGAGGGAGGAGAGCTAGGTTCCGCAGACTCAAGGCTAGAAGCAAAGGGTCGAGAAAACTGCAAGAATATTGAGGGGGAAACGCTCGGAGGCAACAGCGGCGCAGTCAACAGCAGCAGCGCTGGAAGCGGCAGTACTAGTCCCGCCGAGAGAAGCGTTGGCGAGAACGGTAGGGCCGGCGGGGGTGGCGCCACAAGAGAGGTTAAAGGGGCTTCCATCGAATTCCGTAGCGACAAAGCGTTCTCCTTTGGTTTTGGCTTTGGATGAACCGACCCCGGGGACACTGTCGGAGTACCCTCGCACGGAGTGGTGGTAGAAAGATCTAGCACGAGTTGCGATATTGTTTGAGAATACTTGAAAACCAAACTACCTGCGTTCATCAGATGGCGATATTTATTTTTCCTGAAGGGGTCTGCGTTCATTGAAGGTCGGTTTGATGGCACTGGTCCTGTCTCGCCACACCCTCCTCGCGGTGTAGAGAGCTAGGTACGGCGAGAAAACGTTCTGTTCCGCGTACAACACAATTTCACGCGCTGGTGAGAGATATTGTTGGCGGTCCATGTACATTTGCCAACTCCTCTACGTAGCCCCGGTCTAACTCCGACCGAAATAAAAAATGCGGTATAGACTATGCTGCGTGTGTGTGCCGACGTGACGGCGAGTCACCTAAAACGCTGCTGGCTGGCCATGCCTAACACCCGCTCGTCACAACTTGGAAACCACGCCAAACATCCAAATCTACAGCTAGGGCCCACCTACTGTTGTTCTTGACACCGTTGGTCGATCACTTGATGTAAGTTGCGATTGGATGAAGCCTCCTGCCGCCCGGCAGGGGGTCCTCACCCGGGGTATTTCGCCGCAGCGTACAACGTTGACGCCGCGGCGACATGTCTAGGCAAATGATCATTGTGGTGAAAAGGAAAGGATAACCAAACAGGAAGTATTTTTGACACCGTTGGTCGATCACTTGATGTAAGCGTTGGATTGGATGAGGCCTCCTGCCGCCCGGTTGGCGGACCTACCCAAACTTCCGTTGTATCTAGTACCTCTGCTTCGACGCCAAGCCGGTAACAGAACCAACCCCATTACTTGCTTGAAATTACCCCCGGGCACACGCCGAAACCGCTGCGCAAAAGCCGGGTCATACGTTAGTCAATGCGTAATCGCTACCTTGTTTATGCGTCGTTTTCCAACCGCCTGTAGTTTCATGACTTCATCTACCGCGGTACCCTACAACGATTGGGTAAGGGAGCTCTCCACCCGGAAGGAGTGCAAGGTGAACTTGTCCGACAGGTTCGCCGCCCGCAGATGTCCTTGCAGGCCGGCCGTCATGCGGGGACCCGTAAGAGGCAACGCCCCTATGCTGCCGTCGGACTTGACCTCCGTAAACAGGTGCCCCGCCTGTAGGTCCCATGCTGCCTCGTGGGCAGCCGCGATGTACTCCGTAACGGCGAGACCCGGGAAATCGGGAGGGACGACCACCACGTCAGTGGACGATCGCAGACACTTCCCAAACATGACGTAAAGACCAAACCCGGAGAAGCGAATCGGGGCCCAGCGCAGGCGCCAGCATGGGCGCCCCGAACGGAAAGGAGCGCCAAGCAGCCTTCAATGGCCTGGGCTTTGATGCCATGCAACGGCTCTTGAGCGCATTTATGCTGGCGCAGCGCGAGGTAGCGGCCGGGTACGCGAGAGATTGGGCGATGGAGTAGCTCAGCCAGTAGCCGCTCCCGCACGGAACCGTGCGAATGAAGAGAACGATGCCTTGTGCACCCAGCCTACGCGCAACAGGCAGGCGAGATCTTGCTTGTTGTTCGAAGAATATAGATTTGTTCTTTTGCTCTCTGGTCGTAGCCAAGGAAAAAAATTATATTCTTCAAACAGCCTGCAAGATCTCACCTCACTGTTGCGCGTAGGCTGGGTGCACAACGCATCGTCCTCGTCATTCTCACGGTTCCGTGCGGGAGCGGCTACTAGCTGAGTTGCCCCACCGCCCCATCTCTCGCGTGCCCGGCCGCTACCTCGCGCTGCTCCAGCATAAATGCGCTCAAGAGCCGTTGCATGGCATCAAACCCCAGGCCATTGAAGGCTGCTTGGCGCTCCTCTCCGTTCGGGGCGCCCATGCTGGCGCCTGCGCTGGGCCCCGATTCCCTCCCGCGCGCCTCCAGCTTCCCCACTGTAGGCAGGTTGACACATCCATCCCCCTTCTTGAGGAGCCCTGCGCTGTGGGCCAAGCGGACGACACACTCCGCCACTACACGCTCCCCCAGGTGAGCACGGAACTCACTCGAGGCATCCCCGTCTGTGCCGTGCTCGATGGCATCGTCGGGGGTCAAAGCCGCGTAAAACAATTCAGCGTTTGGGACCGGCGGGACGGTTGTAGCCAAAAGCGCAAGGACCGTGCCCGCCGCTCCCTAGCCCGGGGGCTGCAGCGGGCGGGCTGGGTGCGGGAATCGACGACGAACGCGTGCTAGGCATCTAGATCCCTCTCCAGTTTTCCTGTCCTGTGCGTCCGTTTGAGAGGTTTTTGCTTTCCGAAGAGAGACGTGCCAACGGGGGTGCAATTTCAAGGAACTCGGGGGACCCTGCAGTTCGTAGTGTTCCGTGCCGGAACTGGATTCATCTGACTGGTCCCCAATTATAGTTACGATAGACCCTCGCCAAAAAGCCTCGCCGCCGCCACGGGCGGGACAATCTCCTCCAGCCTGACTTTTCGGAACCGCAGCTGCGGCAGCGACTGTCCGCGTTCGGACGCGTGTGCATCAGAGATCACTCCGGCCTCCTGGCCCGAGGGGGAGCACGCGGACGGAGGTCCCCTCGCCACGCACGCGGCGTAGCCGTCCGGCAGGGAGAACACCTTGAACGACCAGTCCGGTCGCAGCACGTTGTCGACCTTTTTCGTCATGAAGGTGGTTGGAACGGTGGTGCGGGGGGATGGGTTCAAGCGCTGGTGTCGTGAACGCACGCAAAAAAATCAACTTCAGTCTCATCCTAGAACTATTACTTTTAACAGTTCAGTGTACCCATGTCATTCCGACATCCATCCCTTGCCCGACCGGGTCTAAAAGCCGATCTCGACCTACGGCCCACGTCTCGCGACATCTGGAGTATGCCTTCGTAGGGCATCGCAAATCATGACCCCTCGCCAAGTTTCATCAACTTTCGCGCGCAGTAGCAGGAAAGAGCCGAATCTCTTGGTTCTGCCCGTCCGGAGAGCGATTTTCTGGCGTGCGTGCAACAGCTCATGGTGCCGTGCGCAGCAACAGCAGTATTAAACAATTGTCAATTCATTGTTTTAACGAGCGGGTGTCTTTGGTCTCGGCGCCGCAATCGTGCAAATACACAGAATCGCAGCAGCAGCAGCAGCAGCAGCAGCTTGCCCGCATCTCAAAAGGAACGAGGGGTCTCGCTTGCCTAAGCATCTGGTGCTATATGTTCGCTGCCATGGGGGTGCTACATGTACGCAACATGCTGTTTTTGCGTACTGTACAAGTAGTGGTAGCCTTATTCCTTTTCTTTCAACGATTGCTCGCGGGAGAGGGTTTTTCTGGTATTAGCCGGAGGGCCTTCTATTGCTAAAAAAAATAACCGGTTGTTTGCTGCCTCCTGCATATTCTGTTTTGTGTCCTCACGCGCCGCCGCTGCTGCCGCTGCTGCTGCGGTACGTGTGTGACTACTCTAAACCCTAGCTGGGTCAAGGCTGTATCCAACGTTTTGTGTTCATTTCAAAGTTCAGTATATTCCAGGGTCGGCTGAGTGAGTTTCCAACGCGACCTAGCACCAATACGCCATGATATGACGCAAGCGCATACATGTACGGTGCGCCAAGGTCCAGGCATGCTGCATACACCAGTGTGCGACCATGCGTGCTGTTTTTCGCCTCTGGCTCGACGTTTTCTGTCTTCATCGCTCTTTGTGTCTTCTCGAACAATTTCGGAAGAAAGGGAATCTCAGGGTCCGCTCGGCAGTAACCGCATTCTCACCAGCAGCAGACAGATTTTGCTGTGCACATCATGCACATATAACTTCATGCACACACGCGTACACGTAGTGTTGGATGTCGATTCGACAAATCGATTCGATACGATATCGGTAGGCCAAGCCCTTACAGTGAGAGAAAACAAAGACTGGATAATTAGCTGCAGCTGCTATCTATACCGCTGCTTCGGTTCTCGCTATTCGCAAAATAGCACGAAACTTGTCACCTCCTTCACGGCGTTCACAAAAATACGACCCACCAAGAAATATGAAGAAACTGATGCAGCTTCGGGGGTTCCGTGGCAATCTATTGACTTATCGATATTGACATCGAAATATCGAAATATCGAGCCAAATTTCTTCGATATGATATCCAACACACGTGTTATTCAGAGATCGGATGATATTCGTATTCCGTGTGTGCGAGCATGCTAGCTGTTTCTCTCCTCCGCGCCGGCTTGCCGTCTTTCCTGTCTCCTCTCCGAGTAATATTCTCGCTCGGAGGAACAAACTCCCTACGGTCCGTGTCCGACCCTGATGGTGGCGATCCGTACAGAAATTTCCGTCCGGGTCAAACGCGATAGCCTGCTGTTTGTCTTGCAGAACCTTGTGGAAGTCCGGACGCAGCACAAGAACGCCTAGACGACAACATGGTTCTGCAACACAAACAGCAGGCTATTACGTTTGACCCGAACGGCAACGTGTGCAAAGATCGAAACCAACAGGGTCGGACGCCGCACCACCATCACAAGGTAGAATGTCACGGTCCGCTGGCAGCCAGAACTGCATCAGCAGCCGAATGGTGTGATTGTTTCATGCACATCTAACTTCGTGCACACATGCACACGGGTAATTCGTCCAGGGATGGATGAGATTCACGTTCCGCTAGGCACAGGTGGTGGGCGGGTGAGCTGCGACTTGCTGAGAAGTTTGAAGCGCGGGGCACTGAGCATATTGCAACGCATGTGTACTTTGTTTTTTCGTCCGGTTGGTGTGTGGGAACCAACACCCCTCAGGCCGCAGGCAGCAGTTCAGCGGAGGATATCTACAGAATGCGCGGATATGCTCTTTACGGTCCATTTTGTGGTGGAGATGTGCGAAGTTAGTGTTTGCGATTTTTTTTTCGGAGGCAAGGTGCGGATATGATTCTTCCATTGTCGTCTGTCGGGTCTGCGGGCTTTTTCAGATAAAAAAAGCCTCGTATTTTGTTGCGCTGTCGCATCCTACTGAATGTCAAATCTTCTTGTTTCTTGCTAACGATACAACAAACAAAGCACTCATACGGCACTTACCCAAAACCTCGGTGCGCCAAGCATTGGGGGTTCTCGCCCTCCTGGAACTTCTTGACGTTAATGTGTTTTACTAAACGTGCATACACCCTTTTGGGGTATTTCCCTTTCCGCACGATTTCTGTTTTGCCATGTACTTTGTTGGTACTTGGCCAGTGGCCGGAAGGTGTCCGTGTCAATTCGACCGGTACGGGTGTTAGGAGGTACTGAGTAGAGACCGGAACGGACCGGAAGAAAAACAACAACAACAACAAGGACGCGTGACCGGTGAATTTCTCTAGAGCCAACAAATCTCCTGCTTCTTTTCGTCTCGCACCTTTGACATGTGCATGCCGGTTCCGCGATATCCGCCGTTGGGTGGTGGTCTTTCAATAGGAATGCCGTCACCCTACACACCTTTCACTCGAATATATACTCAGCTATTTATTTATTTCCAGCCTGCAGTAACACCTACAAAAAATCAAATTCAGACGGGCAACACTGATACTCGTCGCGTTGATATATCACGATAATGATTCGGAAGACAGAGACCGAAAAAATAACTAGCGCGGGCAACAATCACCAACATCCAGTAGCTGCAGCAGCAGCAGCAGCACAGCAGCAGCACAGCAGCTGCAGAAGCACCGTTGGCGTCAACAACATGTCAAAAAAAGAGCTCACCTTAACCGTAACAACACCCACTGCGCAGGTGCACCCCAAGCTGCCCTCCCGTCCCCAGAAGCCGCCTCCCCCACCTTCTGCTGCACCTCTATCTGCACCACTCGAAGCATGCCCTTCGCATCCAACGACGTCGCCTTTGTTTCTCCTGTGCGCCCACACTTTCTCTGCCTCGATGCCCTTGTCCTCCGCGCTATGCACCTTACTATCACCTCCGCAGGACCGATCTACACCGCCAATACCGCCGGTGCCGCCGCCACGGGCGCCGCCGCGGCCGCAGTCATCGCCGCTGTCTGCATCAGCACCACTATCGGTGCCGTCCACGGCACCACAACCGCCAACCTGTTGTCCGCCAGAGGTGGCAGGGTCAAGGGCAGCGAGAGATCGTGGGCAAGGACACCTTCGCGGCCGTCGCTGCTTCTCCTGCAGGCTAAACCAGCAGTCGACCCAGTCACCCGGCAGGAAGGAGACTCGCCGCAGGTCGTATCCTAGGCCCTGGCCGATGGCCTTGACGTAGGCCTCCTTTAGCCCCCAGTGGAGGTAGAACCGCCGCAATTTTTTCATATCGTCGGCCGGACTGCGGCAACAAGAAAGAAAAGCAAAATGGAAGACCTTTCGAGTGTATTTTTGTAGTCAGTAGTGCGGTACGGAGCGTTAATATGTGTGGAGGTTTGCGCCGAAACTGTCCTCCCTAGGACGCTCCAACGCATGATAGAGAGAAATAAAGACAAATACTGACAAGAAGGTACAAGTAAAGGAGGCGGAGGGGTACGAGAACAATGTTTGAATCTACTACACAAACTCGCTTGGTCACAGTGGGGGGGCGATGCAACAAACAGCGATGTACTTGGGGAAAGTTTCCAACAATAAACGCAACGTGTCGTTTGGTGAACGGCGCAGTGTGTGCGGTATATATATTATGTACAAGCTCATGAGAGGAGACAAAACTTCCAAGGCGGTTGCGCAAGATTTTCATCGTTCCCTCCATTTTTGCGGCACAGAGAGGGACCAGGGGGGGGTTACGCCAGTCGACCACCGCTTCCGCAAAGCACGCGCGGACTTCCCCGCGGTGACCACAGGCATGGGAGAGACGCCGCACTCTCGCCTTTCTTCAAATGTTAAAATTCTTCGCACACCTAGCGTTGGCGTGCGCTGAAACCGAAAAAGCCGTCAGTGTCCCTTGGTCTTTCGTCGCACACGATGCCGCGACTCCGATTCGAGCCAGAACACGTTCGGATCTCGACAACCTCGCGAAAAACTCTTCCCAGACGAGCTACTCCGCATAATTAATAATGAGCCGCGGAGCGCGAAGCGCGACATTTTTTCCCTTCATCCCCAGGAGGGAAAAAAGGCTCTAAATATCGGGCTCTTTCAACCATCGACCCTTTCGCAAAACCCCCCGGGGAACCGTACGTCAAAATTTTCCCTTTGTTCGACGAGAACGAGGTCAATAGAGCACCGATTTACGATGTGCTGGGTTGTGAGGAGGAATCTATTTAGGGCACTCTCCGTTACACCGGTTTCATCGCGCTCTGACAACAGATGGCCGTGCTTGAGTCGCATTTGCTACCAAAATCATCGAACGTCCCCGGGAGTTCGACGAGAGGTAAAGGAACCCCAAAGCGGAGAGCTGTACACACACACGCAGGTAGTTGGTCGGTTTCCAACCCGGGGGACACAGAGGAAGCACTCAGTAAGGTAAATAAACACGCAACACCGCTGGGGGGGCAAGAGCGCATTGACTAGGGAAGGGAGCCACACACACAGTTCGTGGCGGATGTCATCGCCACTGCTGTGCTGTTGCCTTGGCGCGTGGGGAGAGGGACCATCGGAAAACGAAACCTTCGCGCCTGGGGCAAAAAAACTACGGACGCTGATGATCCCAGCAGAGACAGACTCGGCGTTTTTTTTTTTTGCATACTGTGCCAAACGCTCGCGTTTCTGAGCGTACTACAGCCTCCTCGTCGGTGTTAATCTCCACACAAGACAGAGCATGGACACAGCTCGTGGCGGATACTTTTGTTATCCCTGTTACTTTCGTGTGTCAGGAGGGGTCACCGGGAAATAAAACTGCTGATGTCCAAGGGGCAAAAAAACAGAGAGTCTTTTTGGTGCCCAACGCCATCCATGGCGTTTTTCCCGCATGCATGCACTGCCGGATAGAAGTAAGTAAGAGAGATGGGAGTCATTACCATTACAGCAAGCAGCAGCATTACAAGTGCATTTGTGTAAGCTATGCAATACCTATGTTCATTTGTGTCTGTGTCAGTGCTGCTATGTTAGGTGCCGATCGTTGGAGGTACAGCTCGGAGGTACTGCTGTTTGTTGCGAGGCGAGCATGTTCCTCCGCTGTTGATTTGGAGCAACATATTGCCAACAAACTTCCAGCCGGAGCGGATACAAGGTCGTGGAAGATCCGTTCGAATATTATTCCGCAAAGTATATACTGTGAATGCCTGAATTGCGCGTACTGGGTTGCTGCGTTGCTGCCTGGAACGCGGAGTGTCTCGCACCTTTTACAGCATCGCAGATAGACTACTGCAAGGTATTGAGTCGTCACCCGCGGCTCATTACCCCCCCCTATCTAGTACTGTAGTGGGGTTCACGTCCATCCCATCCCACTCACCTTTTGATGGTTGTCCACTCATCGTCCGTGAAGTGGCCTGTGAAGTACTGCAGGTAATCTTCCGCGGGACCTTGTTCATTTGCTCGCCGGTTTGTGTCCACGACGTCCACCCCGCACTGTACAATTTCAAGGGGTACGCGAGGCGAAAAAGAGACAAGGTGGAACCTGAGCGGGTGACGGCACGGACAAGGCGGAAAACCCCCCCGGCGGGATGACTTGTGTTGTTTCCAGCGAACATATGAACTCTTCTCGCATTAAAAATCGAAGGCAAATTACCGCAGGAGGGGAGGGTAGAGAGGGGCTTTTCTTTGTGACCACGGGTTGGAGTAAAACGGCGCTAGTGCTGTGAGCGCTGATTTGAAGTGAAGACAAAAAAAAAGAAAAAAAAATGCGCATCGGGTTTGGGGGTTATCGTTATCGCTGTTGTTGTTGTGCCAATTGTTGTTTTCATTGACAAAGCTGTTATTGGTACCATAACGTGAAAACATAATGTGTTGTTGGTGCTGAAATTGTTCCAGATGCAGAGTATAGCGTTTGTTTTGTACACCGGCCCCGGTGGTCGTTCGGGGAAACTCTCGAACCTGTTATTTAGTGGTAGGTTGTGGGCTCGAATTTCTCTAGGGAGTGAACAACTTATCATGATTCACAATCGTGCAGTGGAGAGCGATAAATTCGTGGGCATACACAACCATACAGAAAGGGACTGCAGGAAGGGACTGTTAAACCCTTCCCGAGCAAATGATCTATGGCAAGCCAGGGGGTCCTGTGTGACTGAACCCGGCTGAAATGTCAAACATGTACCGAAAGGAGTCAGATCGATCTCTGAATCAACTACTAATAATACCACCACATCGGAGGTCAACCCCACAATATTCCATCATCTCTCGCTACATATAACTCAAGGGGGAAAAATAGGTGTGGGGGCGAATCACACAGCAGTGTCATGGTGTACATGAGTACGGCACACACCGTGTATAAAATTACTGTAGCAACCCTCGATATTCGTGGCACAGCCAAATACCCGCGCCTGTTCAACGTCTTCTTCCACTACAGCGCAGCAAGCATTTCGGCAAAAAAAAATACACCCCGCCCCCGCTGATTGTCGTGTGCCCGACCTCCCCCCCCTCCCTTACCAGACACGCGGGTTCCGAAGCGATAGCGACGTACTTCCCGTGGTGAGAGACGTTGAAATTCCAGTTCTTGAGCAGAGGCGACACGGAGCCATCGTTGATAGCCTTCACCACGCCGGCGAAGAAAGGCTTGCTCTTTTTTTTTGTTTCGAGCGCGGCAGACGGTGTGCGGACGAGGCGACGAGGGTCGTTTCAACGTGCGGCGGCGTGGGTGCGAGTACGTACTTGTGGAAGCTCAAGAAGGCGTGGGATGCTACAAAATGTTGGGACGAGGCGAGGGTGCTCGGTGCATCAAACTAAACAAGCATTTTCGTTTGCCGAAAGGATGACGTCAGGGGATAAAGAAGCAGGCGGTATGACACGTACCATGACATGCGCCACAACGCACATACCGAATGCTCCAACCGTGTGTGACAATATGCACCACGCAGTCGAAATATTTCACGCCAACAAGCAACAAAGAGCAACCGAAAACAAGAGGGACGAAGCCTGTTTCGAGCTTGGAGAAGGGCTCTCTCCCCGAATCACTACAACAATACAAATGGCCCGAACGTTCGACGTCGCTGGTACTGCTGGTACTACTGCTGCCGCTGTCGCCGGCGCGCGCGACCAGAACACGACTGGTCTCCACACCCACTGATGAAACACTTCAAGCGGGTCACCCTTCTCTCATGCAGCAGCGAATGTTGTGGTTGACATCTCGTCGTGTATAGATAACTTCTTCAAGACCGTGAGTTCATCCCATTCGTTCCTGATGAATTTTCTCGTTTGCCCCACCTCAGATGTACGCCGGATGTCGATCTCGTGAAATTCCAGGCCGAAAACCTGCGAGTGGAGATTAAGAGAGTGCGAGAAGACGACAGGGGATAAGATACATGTGCACAACACATACGGTAGGTAGAGATAGATACATAGATAATTATGATGGGTAGAGATGGGTAGATTGAAATAGAGAGAGAACCACGTAGACAGAAGACAGAGGCTGAGAAATAGGCAGGACTACAGGAAAAGGATTGAGCACGAATTCTTGGGGCGGTGTGTGGTGCTGTGGCATGCCAAGCAATAGCCGAAGCGAGAGAGAAAACTCAGCCGTCATGTCATCATTGGTGGCCACTGCTCTTGCCGTATTTCTACTTGTTGCTGCTGCATCAACAAACCCTTCGCACCACGGCAGTGAACCAGAAAGGAGAAGCACGATTTCACGTTGCACACACATGTATTGCGAAGATGCCACGATCCATCCCAGAGGGCATACGTAGGCCTGGACTACCTCGCGTATCTTCAGTTCACTTGCTTTGCGTGTAGAGAAGACGTTGTTCTCTTTTTACCTTCGAAACCACCGCTCGCTGCAGCAGGCGGCTCCCCAGCGCAAGCTTCCGGTCGTTCTCCCTCAAGAATGCTCTCACGCGCGCGCTCTCGGTGTTGGGTAGGAGGCCGAGAAGCCCGTCCCACTACAACGCGTTGTTGTTGTTGTTGTTGTTGTTGTTGTTGTTGTTGTTGTTGCGGAGAGGAGACGACGTGAGGAGTAAGCGCGTGCGGTTGGGTGACATGGAACAAGGAGAACCCGAAGGAGCTAACGCGATGTTGGAGGGGGGAAACTTGACAGGTTCTAGAATAGAGACCACAACGACGACTGCTGTAACATCAACGCGGGCTGTGCGAAACGAATCGTTATAAAAAACGGTCTTCTAGGACAAAATTACTTGGTTGTTGCACCTGTCAAGAAGACCAGCAGTGCGCACAGCGCGGAACACAGAATTAACCAGAGGAACAACCAAGTATGCATACAGCGAAAAACAGCAGCGAAGCACAACAACGGCAAAATAGCGGGGTCCCATCGAGCTCGCTTCGAGGTTTGCGCTTGGCACAAGGAGAGAGAGAGCAGGCCCGATGCGGGTTGGGTTTGGTTGGATTCGATTGGGTCGAGAAACTCGTGGTGGGTGATACATCAGTGATTTTGATTTGGCCCTTGGTGGGTTTCAGACACAGCGATGTGCCGCGGTCTATCTGATCTGCTACCATCCCCTCTACCTGGTCGGCAGAAAGCTCCCACTCGCTGACGTCAAGGCACCACCTCTGAACGCCCGATAGCAAAACGCTTCGTGCGGCCCGGGATTCCAGGCCGCCGTCGCCGCCTTCCTCCTCCCCCTCGTCGTCATTATCCGCACTTCCACTCGAGAAAGAACCACCTCCAGCTCCTCGTCCTCCCGCTCGGCTTGCGGCACGTGATGCCGCCGCTACCGGTCTGCTGCTGCGGCCGCTGTCGCCGCCAACGCCCACTGCATCGGCCGCGGAGAGGCACGTGCCCATGGCTGACGCCGCGCCCGCCCGTCTGCCGGGTGACCGACGTGATGTTCGCGTGTGTTTGCTCTGGATGTGGAATATACTCGTGTTTACTGCCCAATTGGATTAAGTAATTGTTCGCAACGTTGGCACATATGGTAGGTCGGCGGGATAGCTTTGGGACTGAACGGGGTCCACGCTACCTGCTGTTTGATGCGGAGGAGAACAGACGTGTGTGTGTGTGTGTGTGTGCGTGTCTTTCCTATTAGCATCGACCGCGCTAACCGGCTGACTCATGAAAAGACGTCAGTCTCAGTGTGTGTTGGAAAACACAAAATGCTTCTATAGGCCACGATCTTGGACCCTGTGACCGAGCGTCATGGGGGAGTCTACGCTACTCTCCGGTTCAAGGACAGACACTGTAGAAATAACAGAATGTGTGTGTATTTCATACTAGCATCGACCGTTTTGTGCGTGCGCGCGCGCGTGTGTGTTTTCAGTCGTGGCGCGGTTTCATCGGCGCCTCCGCACTACGAATAAAAGGTGCACCGTGCTACCTGAGCACCACCAGGTAGAGCTGCAGCGTGACTGCAGCAGTCAATGCGGGAAGCATTGATACGTACGGCACGCGAAGGGTCGCGGGCGGTGACATCCGTGCGGCTCAACAACGACCAAGAGAGCGGTGAAATGTTTGCACAGCGAAGGCGGGGCGAACAACAGGTTATCCACCATTGTGGCGAGGGCGTGAGTGCCTTAGATTCAAATCCGCCCTCACGCGCTTGCGCGTTCACGTGGTATATCGTCTTCGAGACGACTCCTGGGTCTCTGGTTTGACAGCGAGGGAGGGGATACCAAGGAAAAATGTTAGCTCACTTCAGGGTTTCGCTCTTGGCCCGCATCCCGTACCGCCGTCGCCACCCGCGATGACATTGACGCCGCATGCTACTGCATTGTCTACGTTTTGGCTGGTGTGCTCGCTACCCAACTCCTGCAGGTCTACTCCTTCTTCCCTGCCCTGTTGGTCACGTCCCTCTAAACAACATCTCGCACACCTTCCTGCGTGAACATAGCTAGCATGTTTGACTTGAAAATCAATATCTTCGCCAGCTAGTCTTCCCCTTGCTTTTCTATCCCGTCCCACGGTGCTAAGTCTCTTCCTTCCCGTCATTCTCAGCGTGCCTGTGCGATTGGTCAGGACCAAGAGAACAACGTGATTCGAAGCCAGGCGAATTCGACCCTACAACTTGCCGGTCGGAACCAGTTAAGTTAGCTACCGGTGCAACCATCGAGGGATCATTCCGGTAGCTAACCACCCCAACAGCGAGGTTGGGCGTGCTAGGGAGTCAGCTTGCCGCTACTCTCACCACCGACCGGCGCAAGGAGGACGCCCACGTGATGGTTGGGCACAGCCATCATGTAATCGCACAGGCACGCTGAGAATGACGGGAAGGAAGAGACTTAGCACCGTGGGACGGGATAGAAAAGCAAGGGGAAGACTAGCCGGCGAAGATATTGATTTTCAAGTCAAACATGCTAGCTATGTTCACGCAGGAAGGTGTGCGAGATGCTGTTTAGAGGGACGTGACCAACAGGGTAGGGAAGAAGGAGTGGACCTGCAGGAGTTGGGTAGCGAGCACACCAGCCAAAAGATAGACCATGCAGTAGCATGCAGCGTCCATGTCCTGTGGCGACGGGGGTACGGGATGCGAGCCAAGAGCGACACCCTGAAGTAAAAGTCAAGCTACTGAAGCACTGGGGTATTGGATCGAGAAAACCGAATCATGGACACCACGGTTGTCCACACTACACCATCAAAGCCAGAGCCCAAAACATTGGTTGCTCTTTTCGGTTCATCCCAGTTACATACAGAATGCGCCAGCACTTAAGAACCTATAGTTTCGGCCGAGGTTCTTAGTTCCGAAAGAGGGTCATGCTGCGAATGGTTGCTACGTATGAAGTACAGTAGTTTTTTTTGCAGGGGTTCCTAACCGAGCTCACAGATGGTGCTCGACTTCTTGATGTTTTGTTTTTTTGAGGCTCGATTTCCTAACTCCTGGGTAATTGCGAGTGCGGGGGCGTTCTGCACAGCAGCACACCTGTTTACCTCGGTCTTGTTGTGTTCTCTTTTTGAGCGGCATGGCCTGCAAGCCGGAACCTCTTGCGGAGGATCAATATCATTTCGCAGGTTTTACCTATCCTTCCCTGGGTCTGACCGCTCTAACTAAAAGCTCTTGTCCTGGTCATACGCTGCTATCACCCCCCCCCCTGTTCGAAAACAAAAATAGAAGTAGTTCGAAGTTGTTTTTTGATGTTCTTTTTCTGCCAAAAGGGGTTCAGCAGTCTTCAGCGACCAAACATACAGTACCCGTGAGTATTAGGATCAGAGGCGCGAAGAATCACATCGACGTGAACATCTACTGTAACTTCCTTTATCCTCCTGAGTTCTTCCGGAGAGGTTGCCAAGTGGACCACCGCCAGCGACCGGCCAGTTGGGTACAGCAGTGCATCACGAGGTGACGAAAGAAAGTATTTGTGCACGTACACCGATATGCTGCAACAGGTGCCACCATTAGTCTATGGCCTACTGCTATAGGCATACTGTACATTTTAGTCAAATACACACAATCAATTTCTCAATACTCCCGCTGCAGATGTTGGTCGTTGCAGGGAGGTATCCGAAATGAGCTCTGGAGGAACAGAGAGGCGGATACACTGCAGCGGCACTTTAAAAATGGAACATGTTACGCATGCGCCTAACAGCAAGTACGCACACACACCTGGAATTTATGCTCATTAATCTTGGTTGGACTGTATGGTCGGGATGACATGAACTTGTTGGAGTTGTTATCGGCTGCACTCACTGCTTCCACCCCCTTCCGACCAGCAGCCGCACATCTGGCATTGCATGTGATGTCTTGTAGAGCACAGCAGCCGTGCGGCCATGTTGGGGGCTCCGCGGCTTAAAATCTGGTTCGTGGGCGGGGGTCGGTTGTGGTGTACCAGAGGACGGCCAGAGGCGTTCTGCCGTTTCAGATCGTCACAATGAAATCGTCGTGAAAAAACACACACAACGGAGGATCTTTTCTAGAAAGGATCTTTCGGCACATATGTGCACCAACATACCTCTCGCGTGCTGATCTTTCACGTGCTCGCGATGGCCGTCGGCCGGAAGCCACCGCCTTGGCGACGCGGAAGTACGGGGGCTCGAAGATCTCGAGGGGGAAGGGGGCTTCAGCATTCAGGAATTGCCCGGCAACTCTTATTCGCTGCCTCGCCGCTCTTGCTACTCCTCATCGGATACCTACCAAGGTTGACCCTCGGCGTTGCCGCCGTGGAAGTACGTGCAGAGGATGAGGCGGGCGATGATCGGGATGGTCTGGGAGGCGGGAGGTTTGGATGGTTCAGGTCTTCCAACCAACCCTCCGAGGGAGGTGTGAGCAAAAACGCTGCTTTCAGTCGCGTAGGCGCATCTGTCGCCGTCCTTCTTGGTACCTGTTGCGTGTTTCCTACCCACCGTGTTTTCCCTTAAGCTTCGCAAGCTTTCATTCGCGTAATGTATAGCCTTGCTGGTGAGAAATAACGGAAATGATGCATGCAGCACAATTTACCCCTCTGGGACAGTTCGTCTTCCACAATACGAATTGAATGTCTGCACGCTGCCCACTCTCTTATCCTTTCTCAGACTACGAGGTCGCACCACAGCAGCAGCAACGGCGGAAGCTACAAGTGGGCGTTGCGTCCAACGTGGTGCTCTCCGAATCCACGGTGTCCGTCGCCGAAGGCGGAGCCGATGCCACCTACACGGTTTCCCTGGACGCCGACCCGGGCGCCACCGTTGTCGTCACCGTCGACATTTCAACCGCCTCCTCCGATGTCCTACTCTCTGCATCTCAGCTGTTATTTGATGACTCAAATTATGGCGATGCCCAATCAGTTACGATCTCCGCTGTAGAGGACGGAGACGTTGAGTCCTTGGAAGAGGCGACGATCACGCACTCTGTAAGTGTCTCCAGCGGATATGATTGGAACGGCGCCGTTTCTCCAGGGGCTGACCTGACCGCGCGGGTGTACGACAACGACGAGGCTGGCATCGTGGTGTCCACGTCCACGCTGTACGTCGACGAGGGTGGCGTCGCGGGATACGAAGTTAAACTCATGGGCATGCCCTCTCAAGACGTGGTGGTACGTGCGGGCCAGAATAGATATACACCAAACCGTTGAAGTTCATTCTGTGTGTGATACAACGCATGAGACGAGTTCTCTGGAGAAGCAGATATCTTGGAATAACTGGTGTGGGGGGAATCTGTCTTCAACATGAATATTCGGGAGAGAAATACTCGGCAGGGGCAGAACGGTCTTGATCTCACCGCTCAGCACGAGTGCCTTCAGTTTCAGCACAAGCCCGTTTATTCAGCATTGAATGCGAATATTTTCACCCGACTCTTCCCACAAACTTCACAACGAGAAAGCAGGGATCACATACAACCTGTTTTCTCGTACCGCATTACTTTTGCGTCAGGGTGTACGGCGCGTTCCTTTTGTAGCAGTGCTGTGGCCGTCTAGTCAACAGGTTGTTGCCATGGTGACAGAAGATCGTCTGGTTGCATCTGACGTGCACTATTCAGCACCGTCGTAAAACGCCCGCCTGGAATACGACATGAACATTTACCTACATGAGTCTACACGCGCACAATGAACGAGCTTGAACCATGTAGGAGACCGCCTAAACCAGGCCATACACATGTCGCAGAGGCGGCAGTACCAAATCGCCACAGCAACACGCAGAACAGCGCCAAGCAGATAGCACAACACGTCATAGGAACTGGAAGCAGGCCTAGACAACCGTACCCGACGGTCAATAGAAAACATGACAGCGAGCCGAGGAAACTCACCAAACTTCGGTTCTCGCTGTGTGCCGACTCCCTTCCTCACGTCGCTGCGCTTGTACGCAATTTAACACTCAACGCAGGTGGCTGCGGCCGCGTCGAACGCGTATGTGACCGTGACCGCGAGCCGAACCTTCACTTCATTGACTTGGGACGACACTCAGACCTTCACCGTGTCCGGCACCGACGACGCTGTCGAGACGGCGGAGTCTTACCCAGCAACCATTAGCCACACCGTTTCCTCCACCGACCCTCTGTTCGATGGGACAGCGCCGTTGTTCTTTCCCTCCTCTGAGGTATTGCTCGCGATGCTAGAGTTAGTTAAGACTATTCAGCTGTGGCCTTCTTTGACGATATTGGGCGGCTGAGACTGTGCGATGGTTGTGGGAAATAATCCTTCTAAACACTCATGCACAACTGCATCGTACAAACACACAATATATTCACCCCTTTGCCGACTTTTTTCCCCCGCGCCGAACCCGTGTATTCGATCTAACGCCAACCCCATATTAGCTGTCCGTGGTGATCTACGACAACGACGACGGGTGCTACAGAAGTTGCGATCCTGGAGAGTGGGCTTCTCCCTGTGTCGATAGCTACGAGTGCTCCTCCTGCAGCCCTGGGTATTCCTGTGCTGGCGATTGCAACGACCCTGTCGCCTGCCCTGCCGGGACTTCCCTAGCGGCGTACGGTTCGTCTGACCCAAACGACTGCGAGGCATGCCCTGACGGATACTACAGCTCCGAGGAAGGCTCGGCTGCTTGCTCCCCGTGCGAGGCTGGGTACTATTGTAGCTCGGCAGCGGCAGTCCCGGTTGCATGCCCCGCCGGCGAGTTCGCCAGCGCCGGCGCCCTGACCTGCTCGGAATGTGCCGACGGCTACTACAACCCGCTCGAGGCGCAGGGGGCATGCCAGGAATGCCCAGCTGGTTACTCGTGTGCCGACAAGGCCTTGACGCCGACCCAGTGCTCCTCGGGGTCGTACAGCGAAGGTGGCGCCACCGAGTGCTTGTCATGTCCGGCTGGATCCTACTGCTCAAGCACAGGAAGTTCGCCGGAGGTCTGCGCAGATGGCTCGTACTCACTAGAGAACTGGGCGTACTGCGTGGCTTGCCCGGCTGGAGCGTATTGCATCAATACAAATCAGGTCAGTCCGCCTCCACATTTTGTTGCTCATTCCAGAAGAAAAAACCACCCAGCATGTTGACATTCCAGTGTTGAGCGCAACGTTTGCTGCTGTCGACTCCCGACTTTTTGACCCCGGTCGTTCCACCAAACTCCCGCCTTACCCCACCTCTTCCCAAACGCAATGAAACCCCCTCAATGTTACCGCAGGAGCCGACCGCATGCTCGGCGGGCACGTCATCCTTGGGCGGCTCGACAACGTGCACCGCGTGCGCGAGCGGAACGTACTCGTCCGTCGACGGATCCATCGAGTGCACCAACTGCCCCGCTGGTATGTCCTGCACCGACGTCTCTGCAGAGCCGGTAACGTGCTCTAACGGCACTTTCAGTATGCTCGGCGAGGCGATATGCTCTGACTGCGACGCGGGGCTGTACAGCAATGAAGGGGCGTCGTCCTGCTTGGCTTGTCCTGCGGGATACTCGTGCCTCAACCCGGCGACCTCGTCGCCAACTCAGTGCGCTGAAGGCTATTCATCCAATGGGGGCCTGGTGAGAGTCTGAGTCGGTAATTGCTAGTTGTAGTCTCGCTCGTGGGACCTTTCGGTTGTTGAAGTTCCTTGTGTTCGAGGCCCTCTGACGCTCTCGGCGTCTCTCTCAGTATCCCTTCATGTTCGTGGGTCAAACTGAATACCTCACCACCGCGCGATCCTTGCGGTGCTTTGCCAAATAATTTCCATGTTTGCGTGGCACGCAGGCTTGTATCGCCTGCTCCGTTGGGACCTACACGGACTCCTTGCGCGACCGCTGCATCGCTTGCCCCGCCGGGTATAAGTGTTCGGACCCCACATTAGGGCCGGTGTTGTGCAACGAAGGCTTCTATAGCACGGGGAACGCCATCACGTGCACCGAGTGCCCCGCGGGGTCTTTCTGCACCTCGCCGTTCACTGTGGCGGAGGCGTGTGGTGCCGGCACATACTCCACAGCGTAAGTAGAGAGAGAACAGACAAGCAACAATGTATGAGGAAGGACACCAACTCCTGTGTGTGTGACGCCCTGGAAAATGACCCTCTAGATTGCTTAGCGGGCTCTACTCAGTAGGAAGGGATACTAAGGTTAGCTTCGGCCCGTATCACGCGAAACTCGGGCATGCGTAGGGAGCAGAAGGAACGGTTGACACTAAGGAATAGGATAGGTGAAGGGAAGCGTTCATCACAAAATTGTCGTTCAGAAGTACTTGTGTGCAACAGCGTAGTCTTCTCTCCAGGATGTTTTTTGTTGTCCACGCAGATCCTCAAGCTTCAGACAAAGCACCGACCGAACCCCGTTTCTGTCAACCTTCTAAATGTAAACCCAACCGCGACCCTGCTGATGACGTTACGATCCCCGCTCCAGTTGCCACGGGGCAACTCTCATTTCCCACCCTCGCTCGATCCCACGTGACACCACACACCAACCGTTCCCTCTTTCGACTCCGACGTTCTCATCATGCTGCAGTGGATCCGCGAACTGCACGGTGTGTCCCGGCGGCTCCTCCTGCGCGACCCCCTCGGACCTGCCCATCGCCTGCTCTGACGGTTACTACTCCGCCGAGGGTGCCAGCGCGTGCACCGTCTGCCCGGCCGGCTCGTACTGCCCCGGACCTCCCCGTGACGAGGAATCGAAGGCTTCATGCTCGCCGGGGACGTACTCTGAGAGCGGGGCGAGCTTGTGCTCACAGTGCCCGAAGGGCCACTTCTGTCCGGACGCCACCCTGGCCCCCGTGGCGTGCCCCAACGGCTACTACGCTTACGTCGGCAACATGACAGCCTGTGACGAGTAAGTGGAAAGTCTTCTCGTCTTGTGGGCAGCGTCAGACGTCTTCCCGGCGAGGACGCCCGAAAACCGGCTGCCGTGCTCGCGTTGGTTATTCGCGTTTATATGATGGTGCTTTTGACTCAAATTGGACAGCAGTTGATGGTTTGTTTTTTTGCCTGAGGTCCTGGTCGCTGGCGTGGTTTCTGATGTTTTCCAACTGGATTTCCAACCTAGAAAATCCCAAACCATGCCCCCACGTAGCCCCGGCGAGGCGGAGGCGCCCCCACAGAGGCGCGCCTAAACGCCACACCGACAGAATGGGGCATCGTGACAAGTACGACGATACCGTTCAATTCTCGTAGCACCCCCCGAGCGCTAGCCATGCCGACCCCCGCCCTATCCCTTCGGGTGACGCCCTCCTCGGCTCACTGTTCCTCACTGCTCCCATGCTCCCCAACCCCGCTCGCGCCATCGCCCTCAAAATCGGCAGGTGCCCTGCCGGAAGTTACTGCCCTTCCGCGGAAATGCCGCCGCAGGACTGCCCGGGGGGCTACTACAGCGAAGGTGCCACCGTGAGCTGCACCGCGTGCCCGACCGGCGCTGCGTGCCCAACCACCGCCACAGGCTATATTTCCTGCAGCCCTGGAACCTTTTCGGTGGGCCTTGCGACCAACTGCACCTCGTGCCCCCCGGGGTATTACTGCCCGAACACGGAAGCCGCGGAGCTCTACGAATGTCCGGACGGAACCTATTCCACGGGAGATGCCAGCTCGTGCGAGATCTGCCCTCCCGGGTACTATTGCCCCCTCAAAACGGTGGACGCAGAGCTACCGTGCCCCGGCGGTACCTACTCGACCGGCGGGGCGAGGAACTGCACGGCCTGTGACGCGGGTTTTACGTGCGCAGCGGACGGGACTGGCCTCGTGGCGTGCGAGGCGGGATATTACTCGCAGGCCGGGGCGATGGAGTGCGTGGAATGCCCAGCGGGGAGCTACTGCCCATACACGGCGAACGTAAGTCTAGAGCTAGCGAAACGGTAGCAACGACAACGGTAGGCGAGGTGACGGTTTTTGAAGAACGGTAGGCGGTTGTGTCAGTGCTGCCCGTCCGGGGGTGGTAGATGATAAAACAGATAGGGACGACTTGAGATTCTCAACCGACAAATGTTCATCGATTGAGAACCTTGTTCAGAGGGCCAAAAATATTAGCACATGCATCCTCGTCGAAAGAACAATGTTTGAGTCGAGCACAGCGTTTGTGTTTTCTCTGCTACCGTTTCCCTCTTCTTCCACCGCGGCCCTCGTCAGCGAATACGCTGTTAGTCCTTCGAAAATTTGCCGTGCGCCTCTCATTCTATTGTGTCTCTCGCACTCTCTTTCTGCTCCTTCCTTCTGCCACCATCTCCAACCTAGGCGACGGTTTTCGCTTGTCCCGAGGGATCGTACTCGTTGGGGCACTCCCAATCGTGCACGCCGTGCCAGGCCGGATACTACTGCCCCTACCAAGACAGCGCCCAAGATCTCCCGTGCTTGTCCGGGACATTTGCGGTCGGGGGCAAGCACGTATGCACGGATTGCCCCGCTGGGTTCACCTGCAGGTACTTCCGTGCGTACATGTCGCAAAAGGAGCAACCGCACCCTGTAACTTCCACTGGTAGTCATCCTGGGAAGCTCGACCATGACTGCCTTTTCGACCGTTTTGACCGCGACGATGTTGACGGCACCGCGGTAGCACTGCGTGGTTTACAATCTCTATCGAGTACCATTCCGGGCCAATCCAATCGATGTTCAACTCCTTTTTTTCCGTACTGTATTGTTCCTCTACCTGGCCTTGCCTTCCCTTTGTTTGTCCTGTTTGACTCAAGACTGATCTCTTGTTACTGTTGACCTGTTGCTCCTTTTGCTGTTGCTCGGGTGTGGCTTGCCAATGTGGGCGTCTTCGCCAACGAAATCTATCAGTTCTACGTCCACCAACCAAATGGAAGCCTGCGGCCCGGGGTACTACAGCCTTCTCGGAGAGCCTTTGTGCACCACATGTCCGGCGGGCTATCGCTGCCCGCTCGCGAAGGACAGCCCCATCGCCTGCGACCCCGGTTACTATAGGCACGTGGTGTTTGGCTTGTCTCTTGAGGAAAGCGCGAAAACCCGTTGTATGCTTGCGGCTTCTACAATATGTTCGCCAAACGTCCCAACGGCCCCCCTCTCTGCTATCCCGTTCCCCTTCCCTGACCTATTTCTTCACGACGCACGACGCACAATGCGACGGCGCGAGCAGCACCGCCGCCTCAACCAACTGCACGTCCTGCCCTGCGGGTTACTTCTGCGACGACCCTGAGGCCCTCCCCCAGCCGTGCGAGGTCGGATACTACAGCGGAGGCGGCACCGCAGTTTGCTCGGCCTGCCAGCCTGGGTACCGCTGCCCCGAGGCCTCCGTCAGCGCGACTCCCGCCGGTTCGGAGTGTCCTGAGGGCACCTACTGCAACCCTGCGCGTACCCTCCTCGAGTGTCCAGCGGGAACCTACGGTAAGCCGCTCTTCGAAAAGGACGCCGTATCAAAGTTGTTCAAGGTTGCTACGTGTCGTGAATGTTGCGCGGCGAAAGACAAAAAAACGTTGAAGATGTTCAAGCATAACCATGTATGTACAGTTTCGGCAACACGGGGATATAGGGGTATTTCGTGCGTGTACGCGAAGAAAGCAGAAACGCCCATCGGAGGAGACACGAAAGGCATGGTATGCCTTGAAGACAACTACATGCATAAACCTGAAACCATTAAATAGAGATGTGTGCTTGATTCACTATGCCCGCCCTTCTAAGAACTTGAGCAGGCGCGTACCTGCCGGTAGGATATGTGCAACGTTGGTAACGGCGCTATCACGGACGGGTTTGTCGGAGAGGGTGATGTGCGGCGCACAAACCTGCCATGCTGTTTCAGTGAACGAATGATCTGTCATCCTTCTGGTTATATGGTACGGAAAGATCATTTAGCAAATTCTCCTTCTGCAACATGGGGTTCCAAAAGCGAGAGTTGTGCTTTGTCGCCATGTCTGTCCGTCTCGTTTTCAACAGGCAACGTTACCGCCGCCGCAAGCCTGGAAGAGGGTTGCCAGGCTTGCACGGAGGGTTACTACTGCACCGACACGGGGAACACACTGGCGACCCGCACGGTCTGCCCGGCGGGCAACTACTGTCCCGTGGGGTCCTCCTCCCCGTCCGCCTGCGCAGCGGGCATGTACAGCGCCAGCACCGGGGCTTGGTCGAGTAACGTTTGCCAAGGTATGTTCTTTACGTTTGTGCTGTAGGCGAAGCTTTACGATAAACGAAACTGAAAATTATCAGTCATGTCCTTCTCCGTGCATTAACGCGGCCGGGCTGTAACTGCAGAGCCCCGCTTTCCTCCTTGGTGTATTTCCTGGCTCACGCATCACGTGGAAAGGTCACCACATTGTTATTCCTCGAGTGACGAAAATTGCTGATGTACCTGCCTTCTGCGTTCCAAACGAGCTGCTGACCAAGTTTGCTGCTCACGCGAGCAGGTTTCCGAATCGAGCAGAGAAGAAAGCATTCAAGCACACGCCAGCTGTAACCGACACGATAGACGGCTAGATGTTGACATAACGGTGAGAACGTTAGAAGCCATGAATCACCCTTCGCCCTTTCGCCCTCAACTGTCAGAATGCGATGCTGGGTACTACTGCACAAGCGGTTCCAGTTCAGCCACGTCGAAGCCTTGCCCGGCGGGATACTACTGCCCGGTGAACACGCCCTCTTCCACCTCCTACCCCTGTCCCGAGGGTACCTACTCGGGAGCGACGGGCAACACGTTGAGCTCCCAGTGCTCAATTTGCCCGATCGGCACCTACTGTTTGGCGGGCTCCACGTCCCCGACGAACTGCTTGCCGGGGACTTACCAGCCGTCTGAGGCCGCGACAAGTCCCAGTGCGTGCCAGCAGTGCGAGCCTGGGTGGGCGTGCGAGTCGGCCGCCATGTCTGTGATGACCACGCTGTGAGTGTCGGGTTGTAGATAGGAAATGGGATTCGACTTCCAGTGGTTGTTTTCGGAACTATTTAGCCGCTTAGCGTCGATAAATTCACGCGAACCTCTTCAGCGTCAAGGCCTGGCAGCGCTTCCATTTCATGTCTCTCAGCATTTTGTGACGGTAATGTTCTCATTGCAACATTGGCAGGTGTGACCCGGGGCACTATTGCCCTAAGGGGACTTCGTACGCCGACCAGTACCCGTGTCCCGCTGGGACGTACACGGACGAAACAAACCTCACATCTGCGACCCAGTGCAGGTCAGTCACCTCGGGTAACGTTCTCGAGATGCCCTTGAAAGCTAAAACAAACAGGTTACGGCGTTTTGTCGCCAATCCTCCTCGGTTGTAGGTAGATATGTGAACAACGTGACCATGGAACGAAATGTGTAGAATATTGCCGTTAGGGTTGCTTTTCACAAAAGCGTTATGCCCGCCTGGTAACATATACGAACACTCTGTAACGTGATAATGTTTGTGTCGATCCAAATAAGTTTGAAGAATGCTGATCACCGAATGGAAAGATCATGGCACACCGTTCATGTTCTGTGAATTTGTATGCATACCTCAAACAACAACATCGAGGGAAAACCCCAAGACTCTAGTCACTGACAAAGGCGAAGATATCCATCCTACCTACACGGTTGACTTTTTGCCCCATGTGACTGAGCTCTAGCATGCAACAGAACAAGCGCGCAGTAAGCACCCAACTCTATTCGATTGAACACTACAGCGACTGCCCTGAGCGATTCGCGTGCTTCTCCGGATCGACCTCAAACGACTGGTCCCCCTGCGGCGAGGGCCACTGGTGCCCGGAGAACACACCCACCAGGACATCGTACCCTTGCTCCGCCGGGTCTTTCACAAACCGTACGGATCTCGCCGCCGACTCGGAGTGCTACCCGTGCCCTCTTGGCGAGTGGTGCGGTGGCAGCGGCTCACCCGAGCCGGATGGGCCGTGTGAGGTGAGTTGTTGTTGCCGACTCCAATTGTTAGTATACCACTTCTAGCATGGCTAGAAACCCCATCCACGGGTCGCTGGAGAACTAGGAATAACCCCCTCAGGTGTTTGGTCTGCTGGACTGGCTGACGTCAGCAAGTTACACGACATCGCTTGATATCACCCTTGCCAGGCCGGGTACTACTGTCCTCTGCGGACAGCAGCGGCGACGGACTATCCTTGCCCCGCGGGAACTTTCTCAATCTCGACTTCGCTGTACCTCGAGGCACAGTGCGAGGACTGCCCACCTGGGTAAGCGGTCCGCGTCATGCCTAAACATAAGTTAATTAATCTGTTTTGGATTACTGCTGTGGTCTGTTTACATAGTTCGTCAGAAAACACGGCGATAGAGGCTGGAGCCAAATCAAACCGACGCACATCTTTGTCATTGTCTCGTTTTGCCCCATATCGTCTCAACCTTCGCGTCCTGAAGGTACTACTGCCCAGAAGCGTCAACACAGATCGAACCGTGCCCGGCGGGAACTTACAGCCCGTACAACGCCACCGAGGTCAGTCAAATTTGTTCTCAAGCTTAACCTGAAATATCTTTCATTGAGCAAGCAGGGCGTTCGCAGAAATTAGCAGCCACATCAACCCGACGAGCACTTACGTCCGGAGCTTAACACGAAGTTGTAGAGGGCGTGTGAGAAATCAATAATTGTTCGTAAAAAAATACAATAACTTCAGTCAACAGAAGGCATGAAGTCTTACGTACATGACACATACACCAGATAAACATGCATCAATGCACGTAGTTACATCAGTATAGATGTATCGGCGTTTAGGATATATGGATTTGTTGTTGGACATCGTAAGAACGTGTTCCCTTTCACAGACACAATGTGGATACATGCACTATTTACACATATGACATCTACCCCACACAACCGATCATATCGTGTAGGGTGTTTCATCAAGGCCTATGAACAAGTGGTGTTTTACGTAAGGAGTATCTAAAGAGATACTCGTTTGGAACAAATGTGGTCGACGCACCGCTCTGTCGCGAATAATCTCACCACCGCACGCACTATCTCGATGTTGCTTCAAACCAGGACGCGGGTCCGGACTCATTCCCGAGCTGCACAGTCTGTCCTGCTGGAAGCTACTGCGTGGAAGCATCGGTGAATCCTGTAGCGTGTGGGGTTGGTGAGTTTGGGGAGCACAAACACTGCAATCATCCTGCCCCAAAGCGAGCGGTGCATTGGTATTCACCCGCACTGCCGTGTCGAAACTCCAACAGCAATAAACGAGTGCATTGCGACTTTCAAGATATGCATGCTTGCGTGTTTGCTTGTGATGCCGGGTGACGGCTAGGCGAGAACGAGGCTCTGGTTTATTGTCATTGTTGTCGTCGTTGTTGTTGTGACATGCGATTTCGACGGTGAAATCAACGGTGTGCGGTACATTAACATACGCATCCCGCTGACCGCTGTGACGGCCCTATTGAATCACTGTTGTGCCCGCCTTGTTGAGGAGTTCAAGCACACATAATTTTCGTGGGCCCTGCTACGATGGCAGAAATGGTGCAAAATAGTGACGGTTTCGTCCTCACCGCATGGTGTTCGGTCGCTCGCATAGGCGTATATCGCTGTTGGACAACCGTAAGGCTGTTACGTCGTTCTCGACCATTTACGTACTACCATCAACCAGCGACTCGGGTCCTGCGAGGCCCAGCCTCAATGCTTCAATTGCTTTGGCGACCGGAAGGCACCTCCCCTTGAGCCGCTACTTGGTCGTTGTGAATTTCTGAACCGTTGGTCATGCGTTCGTTTTCGCCCAGGTATGTATTCTAGCTCGGGGGCTGACGCGTGCTCGGTATGCGAGGCCGGCCACTACTGTGGCAGCAACGAGACCAGTGCGGTGGACATGCTCACGGGTGTAGGAAGCTGGGACCTGTCGTCCAACAGCTCCGGGATGTGCTTCAATGGAACGTACTGCGCAGCGGGGATGACGCGCGCCCCAGGTACGAAGGCCACCGGTCACGCGTGGAAGCGAGTGCTATTGCGCCGGTCCTTGCAATCGAATAAGAGCCAACGCTGACGTTCGAATGCTTAATCCTCGCGATTTTCCATTCTCGGAGACTCTTTTTGTTCTGTGCTTCTTCTTCTTGACCTCCCTCTGCAACCTTAATTTGTGTTTTTTTCGACCCTTCCGCAACTTGCCTCACCCGGCGGCCGAACGGATGGACGAAACGAAAACGGACAGACCTAGCCCGCGACGCTTGCCCGGCGGGACACTACTGTCCCGCGGGAGTGGCATCCCCATACCCCTGCCCTTCGGGCACGTACAACCCCCACACCGGAAGAGACGACCTGGAAGAGGATTGTCTCATCTCGCTGGAGGGGTACTACACCATAGAGGCGTCCACGAACATGACAGGATCTTGCGATCCGGGATACTATTGTCCGGCTGGATCGACAGGGCCGCAGCAGGTGTGTATAGATAGATAGTAATACACACTTTGAGGCGTTTGTCGACTTGTTGATGCTATGAACGTAGGCACCCTTCCCTGGACGAAAACACGATTGCCGTTGCATGCATGCACGCCGCTTATATTCTGGTCCGGTGTGTGCTAACGCACTATTGTCCGATTGCTACATTTCACCAGGTACCGTGCCCCGAACGATTCTACCGAAGCTCCTCTGGTGCTGGCAGCCAGGATGATTGCGCGTATTGTGTTTCTGGTGGGTACTGCCCATCCGGATCGACAGAGCCCATCGATTGCCCCCGCGGGTTCTACTGTGTGCATGGTGAGCTGTTTCGACTGTTGGGCGGGCACGATGTTTCTAGAGCAGTCACAACGCTCTACTTCCTCTCCCTGGATCAATCACAACGGATAAACCGAAAAAAACGGAGCTAATCCCCCCCCCCCGCCTCGCATGCCTTGAATCACGAAAATGATCCCCTTCGCCCTCGTCGTACAACTCCAGGGGTTGCGGAGCCGGAGCCCTGCCCCTTGGGAACCTACGGGAACACCACCGGCCTGAGAAAAATATCAGATTGCAACGATTGTGATCCGGGTAGCTACTGCGACCAGCGCGGCCTGACTAACCCGGCCGGCCTTTGCGATCCGGGGTACTACTGCCTGGACGGTTCGTACACGAGCGCACCGAATGCGCCAGGGTCTCCGCTGTCTATCGAGGACACCGATATCGGCGGTCTTTGTCCCGGTGAGCTGTGGGGTAGGGCAAAGGGGGGAATTCGGACACACAAGCTAGGTACACATCGAAAAGATGCTAGTGCAGGTTAGTCTGTGTTTCCGGAGGACAACGTTCAACCGTACGTGTCGATATACGGCATATGCCCCGTCGTTTCTACTTTTGTCAGCCATTGCGTAAATGAAGCCCGCACCGGATTGTCTGGTGAGTGCATATCGTACCAAGAGAAAAAAGGAGGCCCCTTGGTGCCGATACTGAAAGTTGATGCGTTTCATTGGGCTATTCCATACCACAGCTCTGCCTTTCGGAAATCCTCTTTTTGAATCTCGCCGCACGTGCCCAGACAGAGGGACAAAGGGCGTGGGCTTACCACGTCAAGCTAATTGTCATCTTACCTGAACCTCGTTGTCGCCGTGCCGTGAATGCCAACCAATGCGGCGCAAACTCGCACAAACTCAACACGATCAAACCAGCTGGGGGGTACTGCCCTATCGGATCGTCGTACCAGCAACCTTGCCCGCACGGCACTTACAACAACTTTTCCGGAGCGGCCGACCCGGCCGACTGTTCCGACTGCCCCCCTGGCTTCTACTGCTCCGGTACGAGTAACCCGGCCCCAACCGGCGGGTGTTACGCGGGCCACTATTGCACGGGAGGTGCCTCGACCCCCACCCAGAACCGGACGGACAGGGGATACTATGCCCCTGTTGGGGCTGCTGTCCAGTATCCGTGTGAGCCTGGAACGTATAACAATGAGGTGAGTTGGATGATTGTACCATGTATTGCTTTGGGTGCCATATATCGACACATTCTGCACTCATTGACCAAGGAAATATCGTGGTATTCAATCGTGACGCTCATCTGCAACACGATGCATAACAGCGCCGCGTTTACAGAGTTTTGTCGATTCGATGTCTACATGAGCATGCCCTTTTAAACCATTGTGCATGTCTCTGCCCCCAATCCCCTTACTACAGGAGTCGCAAGAAAGTTGCCTCGATTGTACAGCGGGCTACTACTGCCCGGACCAGGCCACCATCACGCCGACGGTATGCCCAGTTGGCAGCTATTGTCCGGTTGGAAGCGACGTTGCAATATTGTGTCCTTCCGGAACCTTCTCGAACGAGCTGGCAGTGCAACTCGAGTCGGGATGTGCGACCTGCACGCAGGGAAAGTGAGTCTTGTGACAAACAAGGGAGGAGAGTCGAAGAGAGGAGCGGAAAGGAAGAGAGGAGAAAGACTACAGAAGAGAGAAGAGAGAGAGAGAGAGAGAGAGAGAGAGAGAGAGAGAGAGAGAGAGAGAGAGAGAGAGAGAGAGAGAGAGAGAGAGAGAGACACGCACATACCATTATTCGCATTGCATGGAAAAAAAATTCCGTCGTCGTCGTCATCGTCGTCGCTGTCGCCTGGGTTGGTCGCTGCTGCCTACAGTTGGCTATTGTTGTAAACATTGCCTGAGGTGGATTTTTCAATTTACACACACACGTCGCATGTAGGTACTGCGCCTACAACGGCTTGACGGAGCCCACCGGTGACTGTGAGGCCGGTTATTACTGCAGCGGCGGGGCCATTCTCAGCAACCCGGTAGACCAAGTCTACGGTGACGAGTGTTCTGCTGGGCACTACTGTGAAGAAGGCTCACCTTGGCCGGTGCCTTGTCCCCTTGGAACATACTTCGGAGCACAGGTAGATTTGAAAGTTGAAAAGATACAACCTGTCGAGTCAAACAACAGTCACGGAGTCCAGTAGCCGGCGAACGTTGCACTTTGTCCTAAGCGTAGAAGTCCACCGCAGGGCATCCTCGCGAAGTGGCAAAAGAAGGAGTATTCACTTCGCCTTTCGCCCCCCGCATCCTTTTCGCCTTATATTCCATCCTTACCATCTCCGCACGTTGGCTAAATCCCACCGGGGTGACAGGGCACGAGGGGAGACGACGGTAGCTGCGTCGAGTCCCATCTTGCGATAAAACCATCAAACAAAACAATACGAAGAACAGTTCACCCATGCATGTATGTACATGTGGGTTTCCTCTAAAACTCATATTTCCGTTTCATTCCAGGGAAACGACGGCTACCACTGGGCGAACAACACCATCACCGGCGCTCCATACCAGACGTACTGCACCCTCTGTTCGGCTGGCAAAACCTGCAATTCCACGGGACTCACAAGCCCCGACTTGCTATGCGCGGAGGGCTACTTCTGCAAGCTCGGCGCGTCGGACCCTCTACCGTACTGTGAGGCCGGGGAGGGGCTGTGCACGTTCGGGGTATGCCCGGCGGGCCATTACTGCCCGATGGGAACTTCTGACCCTATTGTGTGTCCACCGGGTAAGGCTTCCTGCGGAAAACATCGAAATTCGCATCGAGATACAGTAGCGTCATGGAAGCCACACATCGATCGCTACGAAGCACAATGATCCTTCAGCGAAAGCGACAGCGGGTATACGATGTGGGCTCTGCAACGCTAGGTCAATGCATGTGCCCTGTCTCACCCCCCCAACTCTCACCTCTGGCTTATCGTGTCTGTCCCTTCCGGTTTCCCCCTTACCTTTGCGACTTTTCTCTTCATGAACCAACATGCGCTCTCTTCTCTCCTCTCAATCACCCTTGCCTTGGTTAGGAACATACATGAACAACACTGGTGCCGCTGAGTGCTTTGACTGCCCCGAGCGGTATTACTGTGACGGTAGCCTCCCCCGGGGATATGAAGAGTGTCCGATCGGCCGATATTGCGAGACTGGCACAGACGTCCCGACCAACTGCCCCGTGGGTAAGCAAATCACCATGTAGAAGGCTACCATGTTCATAGACGAACACCCCAGCAAAGACTGGCGAAAAAACCCAGAGGGTCTATCAGGCTGGACAGCGACGGGGGGAGTGGCGTCAAGTACACCACACTTGGAAATCGTTCGAGATGCCGCACGAACCCGAGCACGAGCAAAAGCCTTCATATTTCGACGTTCATGCCCTTCCGTGTTCCATACCTACGTGCGTCTAGTCCAATCTGTAGTTTTCTGAACACCGCATGCTTACACCGCGCCGATTGTGGCACTCCCGCCGGATCGCTCGGTTGCGGAGCACGATGGCAGTACGCCAGAGTGGACTTCCGAAGGTAGTATAGTGGGTTGAACGTGGTTTCTGCTGTGTTGTACCCTCATGGCCATGAATACAGCACGGCTACATGCGGGTGCCCTTCTCGGTTCTGCCCAACCACACGCCCCGTGTTTAGCAATTTTCCTGATCATGCCCCACTCACCACACACCTTGAAAGCTCGGAATACGGCTTGCTGCCATGCCCGTCCACAAATCAATACTCCTCTCTTATAGGGACATACAGCGCGCAGGCAGGGCTTGGTTTCGAGAGCGAGTGTACCGCGTGTACTCCGGGGTACTTCTGCGCCGAAACGGGCCTCACCGCTGTTGAGGGACCCTGCGCCGAAGGCTACTATTGCCCCGCGGGATCGGAGGTGTGTACTGAGGTCGTCGTAGGAGGGGGGTGGTGTGGGTGGTACCGGGGTGTTTGAGATTAAAGGGGATGAACGGGAAGGCTTAGTTCAATGCCACGGGTGTTTTTCTAAACGGAGCCCTGTACGTGGATGTAGGGAGGACTTGAGAACACCACAACCTCTGTGGCGGGCGGATGTTGTTACAACGGGGCACCGTAAATGCTACGTATGCAGCGGACATTCCCGACGAAATCGAATAGCGCGTCGCGCCCAACGCCCGACCCCTCAAGATTTCCGAAAATCAATACTGTCTCCTCGTGGTAGTCCTTCTTCTCCTCCTGCCTCATCCAGATCACCTCAGGTTGTTTAACATTCCCACCTCCAAATGAGACAAATGTCGCATATCGTTCGTGTCGTGTTCCCTAAATGCTGTTGTGCCAGGACTCGCTCGGGAAAATAGGGGAAACCACGAGCCACATCTGCCCAGAAGGTTTCTATTGCCCGGCCGGGGTATCTACGCCGGAAGCATGTATAGTGGGGACATACAACCCTTCAACGCAGAAGAGAGCGGTAGAGGTACGTGACTGTTCCGACGGATTTTGCCCGGGGTCAGGCTAGCTGTTGGGTTCAGGTTAGGTTCAAATGATACCTCTGAGCGATGTTTCCGCCTCCTGCTACCCTCATCTGCTCGTGAACTCGGTCGTGGAATCGTTCAGTCCGACGCCCCGACCACATAGACCATACCAACCTCTCACATCATCAGGATTGCACGGCCTGTTCCGAGGGCTACTACTGCGAGACCACCGGGCTTGTCGAGCCAACCGGTCCGTGTCACAGCGGGCACTACTGCAAGCGAAAGGTCGACACGGCCGCTCCAACTACCGGCATCACCATCGAGTCCGGGGTGAGTGTTGGGCAATGAACGTGTCGATATGAAGTTAGTTCACCTTGGCTGCCGATGTGGAGTAAAGCGAGGTTGTGCTTTTACTTGTATACACAACAGGTGGAGTACGGAGGAGACCTATGCCCGGTCGGGACGTACTGCGGCAATGGTACCGCGACCCCGCTGCCATGCCTCGCGGGAACGTACAACGATCTAGAGGGGCAGGAGGAGTGCTTTGCTTGTCCCGCCGGGTACTATTGCGAGGCCAATGCGACAGCCTACGACAGCACTCCATGTCCCGCTGGGTGGGTGCAGCTTGTAGAAGCCGAAATCAAACCATTAGACTAAGCTGTCTGACATTTTTCTCGTTGCTGTTCTTGAACTCTGAGCTGTTCATATGAAGATGCCTTGGAAGGCCTATGGTATCCCTACTACATTATCTCGTGCGCCCAAAGATATGCGGAAGTGTACATGCGCGGGATATGCTCAATACGCTCATGTGACTGCCTTTCTACCGTCAAGCACCATGGCAACTAGACCCGAAAGCAAAAAACAACTCGAACATTATTATGACGGCAACTTCTTTCGTCTGTCCAGTCGTATCCGACAACACACCCGTACCTGGCCTACGCACTCCTTAGTCGAAGCACCGCGTTGGGGTGGAGCGTTCGGCGGAGAAACGTTGGAGGAAATTTGTGTGTTGCCTCCTAACACCTTTCATTGTGTACCCATCGCGTTTTGTGCCACGCTTTTAGATACTATTGCACCGAAGGCACGACGTTCGCGACCGAGCATCCTTGCCCCCCCGGGACGTATGCCAACATGACCATGACGTCTTCTGAGGAAAACTGTGTCGATGCTCCCGCGGGGTGGTACGTGGCTGGATCGGCGAGCCAGGCCGTGTCCGGCAGGTGAGAACCGACACACAGTGGAACCCACTCCCACGGGAGGGAGTATCTCGTTCCAGACCGTCCAATAGTGCCTTGACTCCTGCGGTCCTTGTAGAATGTGATTGTGCGTGCGCTGTGAGGAGTCGGCACTTTGGCGAGAAAGGTAGCTCGGAAACAAATGAGATGGCGACATTACTCCTTGGTACAGTTCATATCACCAGAAACTCACCGACGAAAGCAAAAATGAGAAGCCGTTCTACATTGGCAGCGACTAGACAAGGACAAGGCCCAGGGTATGTTAATATCGTTGCGGGTGCGGAAGCAAGAGAAGCGATCACGAACTCCTTCAATACGCTCTGTTCACGTATGCACGCCACTTGGCTTTGACGACTGCTTCGTATCCAATCCCTTGCGGTTGCGTACATGGTGGCGCGGCACGGCAGGTGCAACGAGGGTTTCTATTGCTCGGGCGGGTCATCTTCGGCCACCCCGTCCTGCGTCGAAACCGTGGAGGGGGTATGCGACACAGGTGCGGAGTAGCAGCACCGGTAGCAGCAGGAACAGAGGCAGGAAGGTGCTCATTTTGCGATGGCCGCAGAGCTACATATAGCTCGCGTACCGGAATTCGATCTTGCCCCCCCCACACCGTAGGCGTCAGGATACAAAAAATAGCCACTTCACATCAATCCTGCACACTCCCGTACCAAGAGTCATTGATGAGTGTGCACGCCACTAGGCAAGCACGACGACCCTGCTTCCATTCCTGAATACGCGCAACACCACACTTACGCATCGAGCCTCCAAAAAACCAGGTGGCCCGTGCGTTGCGGGCCAGTATTGTCCCGAGGGTTCCCCGTACTGGCGGGCCTGCCCCGGCGGATCCTACTGCAACGACGCCAGCGGAGTGATCACCGGCGATTGCTACGCAGGGTACTACTGTGTACAGGTGTGTGAACCATGGACGCATTTGCAAAACGTTGGGAGAGCATCACTAGTGGTTGACGCGAACAGCGAACTATCTACTTATCATACGTTTCCTTCGGGCTTTCGCGCCATGTTGTGCGACAGTCCTAGCCACGCCACCCGTGTGAAGAGGTGTTCGTTATGGTTTGTCCACCGCTTAACAGCAACGATGAAATCACTCTATCGCGACGTGGACGACCGCTCGCATCATGACCTGAAAATACTCTTGGGTATAATGCGAGGCTCGGCACGTCATTTCAATACCAGGAGTTCACCCCCAACCGCTTGCACAGATAAACAGCTCGCTTACCAACCAGGACCTCGGCCAAAATATCTACGTCTTATGCAAAATACAACGCGTTTGAGAATAACGCAGGTACTTCTCCCATCCCTCTCTCACAACCGTTTCAATATATACCGCTGGCAGGGCGCAAAGACACCGTCTCCAGAGAACGAGGTCGACGAGGACGGCAACGTGGTAGGGGGCGTCTGTCCGGCGGGGTACTACTGCCCCGTGGGCTCCGAGACCCCGCAAGCCTGCCCCTCCGGGACCTACTCCGGTTCCACGGGAAATACCAACTCCACCGCGTGTCTGCCTTGCACCCCAGGATTCATCTGCCCCAACGCGAGCACCTCGGTTCCCACGGAGCCCTGCCCAGCGGGCTTCTATTGCCCCGCAGGTACAAAATTAGTTACTACCAGTCTGGCTGGGTAGTATTGTTTGACTGTGTAGGTTTTCCTGTACCCGCCGACAAGTACCAGGGTGGATTTTGGATCTGCATAGCTGCCAGCAGACGGGCAAATTTTCCAGAGATCAGAAGGGAGGTGTGCTACAAATAGTGGGTATCCAGTTGAGGTCAAAAGTGAGTGACTTGCTTGTGTCCAGCCTTGCGAGGTTTGACTCAGGCTTCTAGCAGGCATTCTGGCTTCCACCACTGCGGAGATTGTTCTCGTTTGGCGTGTTCGTAGTTGAAAAGTATACTTTGACTTGGCTTGTTGAATGGAAAAAATCCTAATGAAAGTGACAAAGTCACCCCAGTAGCTGACGGCGTGTGCATCCCTCCAAGGGTGTCTCTGCCTGTCCCTCGAAAAATATTTTTATAGCCCCGCCACGGTTGATGACCAAACTGGGTACTGCTTCTTTCCCACGTACAACTCATTATAAGGTACCGCCGAGGCAACCCTCCAGTGCAGCGTCGGGGAGGCGTGTTTGGAATCTTCCGGGGAGCCGGTACCGTGCGCCCCGGGAACCTACCAGAACGAGCTCGGTCAGGAGCTCTGTCTGCCGTGTCCAGAGGGGTGAGAGGGGGCAACGAACGGGGAATAGGAATGTCTGGGCGGGGCGTCGTATCGGCGTTGGAAGTTGGCCTTGATTTTGGAACTGAAGTGCGGGAGGTGGTTCTTTGTCAGGCTTGCACGTAAGTCTCTCATCTCGAGTTGTCTCAAATGGGTGGTGGATTTGGGCAGGTACTTTTGCCTCGAAGGGACGGAGACGCCGACCGACTGTCCTCTCGGGAGCTACTGCCCGGCTGGAACAATGTGGGCAACTCAGCACCGGTGCCCGAGAGGAACGTTCGGGGAAGAAACCAACCTCGTCAACGCCACGATGTGCAGCACATGCACTCCAGGTCAGTCAGTCGGAAGGCTGGCACTGCCGAATGGATTGGCCGTACGCGTGCATATGTTGAGCTGTCGTTGCATTGGAAGCCTCGTATACCGCGTACTGGACGGCTTTGGCGTCGTGTGAACCACATCGAATTAGCAAACCAAGTTACCCGCGCAGCACACAACCCGAAAAAACGACAAGGTCAGCTGAGCTCTCGAACAGCATCACCAACCACGATATTTTACCACTCATCCTAGCCTGCCCCAACCTCCGCGTGTCGTCAAGTTCTAAGCAATAGAAACGGTTTTCGCTTCTATCTTTTGCCAGTCTCTCTTCCCTTCATGTCAACACAACGGAAGCTTGCTTGGAGCATAATGGCTTGGTGAAAGCGCGCCATTGCCGGGCAGCCGATTTGTGTTACGCCTGACACATTGTATTGGCGCTCTCCGATACAATGATAAGCACGGCGCCAGAACATCTGCTACAATACACTTCGCGTATGTACCTCGCAACAACAGCATCAATATCAAGAGCAACCTCAGCTGCAATCGTTCCAGCCACCAACAGCGCCAACGCAGACGCACGAGGAACCCCCTGATGTTGTTCGGAAGATTTGAGCCAGCCCCCGTTTCACGGCCAAACGCGAATCTCCTTGTTTTGCTGGCAGGCTGGTACTGCGCTGTAGAAGGGCTAGACGCGCCTACGGGGCAGTGCAACGCGACCTACTACTGCGGCGGCGGCGCGGTGATAGCCACCCCAGACAGCATGTCGGCAGACGGGTACCAGGGCGACACCTGCGTCGACCGCAGCAACGGGACAACCAACGACATTTGCCCCCCCGGCCACTACTGCCCCCGAGGTACGCTGAGGTTGTGATGGTAAATTATGGATAAAATGAAAACACTCTTTTATGTTCTTTTTTGGGCGCTTCCAGCCACAATGTTTTGGTTGACCGTCGTGATAAGAAGGCGTGGCGGTGCTAAAGGCCCTCGAATCGTTTGTTTCAGCGCTCTGGGTCCCCGCCCCCCCTTACACGGACAAGTATGTGTTTTGTTCTTCATCAGGCCTTGCGTGATGATTGAACCTTCAAATAATTGACCGCAGGGGACTAGTCATGTGTGGTGCGCACTCTTCGTATACACTGGGAAGGATGGATGCATTGGGAGCTAATTACCCAGACAGTGAAAGTTCGTTATTTATTTACGCACTTTTGAAAACAAAGCCTTGTGTGGGCCCTTGAAACCATCGCCAAGTCAAACTCCGGCTGACCGAGCACTCACGCTGCGTGTCGGTGTACCCATCTATCCCAAATTGGTTGGGTTGAATGTCCTCGTTATCGACATACAGGCACTTGCGTGTGGCTCGACCCTCCCTCTCCTCTTCCCGGTGTCCCGTCGTCCACCATTTGTGCCCTCGGAATGCGAATCTGACGACCACTGGTGGGAAAAATGACTTTTTCCGTGTTCTGTCGATAGGATCGGGGGCACCAATTCCATGCCCGGCGGGGACTTCAAGCTCGTCATTCGGCCTGTCCATGGAGGAGCAGTGTCCCGACTGCCAGCCCGGGTTTTATTGTCCTGACGTGGGGACGTACAACGCCACCGTGGAGTGCACAGAGGGGTTTTATTGCCCCGGGAGAGACGCCTCCCCGACCCGGTACGTGTTTGGCCGTCTGGCGAAAGGAGTGCCTTTTGGCTCGACTCACTTGTCCTTTGTGGTGTTCTCTTCCGGCCAACCCCTTTCCCAGCGATAAGAGGGGGGTTAGGAACGGGCAACAACCGTTTCCAGCTACGCTGAAATGGAGCGAAGGGCTGGAAGTGGGGAAGAGTCATAAATTGAGGTTGTTCGGTGGTCGGTATGCGCCTGGGAGGGCCACATAAGAAACCAAATTTCCGCACGCCCTCCCCTCTATTTGTTTTTCCTGAACTACCTGTGTTGTCTTCCGCTTCGCCTCGACGTGTTCGATTCATCGTATCAGGATCTGCCCAGCGGGCCACTACTGTCCGGCTGGGTCTTCCAACCCCAGAGATTGTGTAGCTGGCACCTACCAGAACGACACAAGCGCCGCCAACTGCGACATCTGCCCAGACCGGCACTATTGCGAGGCGACCGCCACCGAGGCTCTGCCGTGCCCTGCAGGCTACTACTGCCCCGAAGGGACGGAGTTTGCCACAGAGTATCCTTGCCCGAATGGGACGTTCTCGAACGTCGAGAGCCTGGCGTCGGCGTCCGAGTGTACCCTATGTTCCGCTGGGAGGTACGCGTCGTAGTGTTGGGAAGGTTATACGTGTTGGTATTCGAGTGGATGGGGGAATTTACTGTCGTGGTGTCTGCACGCTACTATTGCGCTTGGCCTTGATGCTGTTACTATTGTCCTTTCCCGTCGCCTGTACCAATGATCTTGTGGCCAATGCCAGTTGAAGTGATTGCATTCTCACTTGTCGTGTGAGTCCTGCCGTACGACAACCTATCGCACTGCCGACAGATACTGCGGCAGCGAAGGTCTCAACGAACCGGAGGGGTTATGCGGAGCCGGGTATTACTGTGCGCTCGGAGCCATGTCGCCTGTCCCTGCCGACGAGGTCGATCCCGGTGTCGGTGGCTTGTGTTCCGCCGGCTACGCCTGTGTCGAGGCAAGAGATGACGAATTTGTACTTTTTTTTGCCCCACTGTAAAGCAGTGGCGACGTCGTTACAAGAACGTTTTTTCTTTGATTGTGGGGTGAGCCCCGCTAGAACCCTCTTGGCCCCTTGGGAGCTGGCTAGGCCAAAGAGGCATGTTCACATACGCTTCTCTCAAAACAGGCGGAACGGGCCCAAGATGGACATGGGGGCGCAGGAAGTTCTAAACGTGTTTTGGACGGCGTGCGTCAGAAAGGGCTGCACCCAGTACCCCCCTTCTTTCGGCCCTTTCCCACACATGACCGCGGTGACAGCACCATGCGAATCCCATCGTCCTTTCCATTGTGATACGAAGGAAATAACTAGCCCGACTTTTGCGTTTTGCTACGTACGCAACCCACAGGGGGCCGAATCTTCTCAACCTGTAGATGGAGTAACGGGTTACCCGTGCCCTCGAGGCACGTACTGCCCGGCGGGGTCCTCGTTCCCGCACGGGTGCGCTCCGGGGACGTACAACCCTTCAGAGGCGATGGAGGCATGCGTCGACTGCTTGCCGGGCAAGATTTGCCCAGGAAACACGACCACGCCCGAGGAGTGTCCGGAATACCACTACTGTCCAGCCGGTTCGGCGACCGGGATTATTTGTCCGACCGGGACGTACAGCGACAGGGTGAGGAAAATAACAGGTCCTAAGAGCATCGAAAAAGCTCAAGGTCATGGTAACAGGCTTGCATGCGCGTGAGATTGTACACCAGCGTGATTTGCAAAATATTGAAATATGGTCCAGTACCGCCGAGAATCTCGAAAAACCGACTTGACCCGATAGCGGGCGTGCGGTGCAGTAATCTATTTAACATTTTTGGCAGGAGTTTGCTCTATCAAAAAGAAGAACGCGACGTTGATCAGGATCTGTCGCCTGAGCTTCATGCTCGGCCGTGCAACCACTCAGCAACTAATAATGAAGATGGGACACCGATCGATAAGCAGATATCGCAACTTCGAGCACCGTTTGTATTTGGGCGTAGTCGGTGCTGTGACGGGACAGATCTAACCACCTGCCTTTGCCCTACTTGTCCTAACCCGCACCCCCTTGGATCGGTGCTTGACCGGCGTGGTGCACGTGGCCCCTAGAATGACCTGGTGGCGGAGAGCGAGTGTTCGCCGTGTCCGCCGGGACACTATTGCCTCGATGGCAACGTCACGTCCACATGCAGAGCGGGCTACTTCTGCAAGACCGGAATCGGCAATCCAACGCCGAATAGGTGCGCCAGAACCACACACAAAACAATTGGTAGCTTGACCCCCGCCCGCCAGGACACACCTCGGTTGGGGCACCGGTGAAGATGTCGAAAGCAACACAATGCATTGCAATGAACTCCTAACTCGCAGACGAGCTCCCGTGAATCCTCACCTCGCCGCCGATCGACATCGCTTATCACGCTCACACCCATGTACCACGCAGCGAGTACGCCAACGTCACGTACGAAGCCTACAACGAGATATGGGAAGCCTTGGATGCTGGACCCTGCCCGGCAGGTCACTACTGCCCTCCCGGCACGGAAGACCCCGTGCAGTGTGCGAATGCCAGCGTGAGGTCAGTTTGCCAGCCTATCAAGGAGCGGGGCACGTGTGATAGGTCTATACCGTTTATCTCCGCCTGACTCCAATGCTCAATGACCTTGCTCCCTCTTTGGCAGCTTGCAGAACCTGGAAGCAATCGAGTTGATCGAAATTGCACTTCATGCAAGAAATAGCGAGTAAGGGTCCAATTGGCAGAGTTGCTTGCGATGAAGCTCACGCGTCATGCGGCTCGCCGGGTTACCCAGGGCGATTCGCGTTAGCTGCGATGCCAAGTCCGGATGTCGTCTCAGATCTCCGGGGATATGAGGGTCCATGAACAGATGGGCACTTTGACATGTTTGATTGCGAGAGAGAGTTCTCCTGGATGCCTGTATGCCGTGATATGCTTTAGGTGTCTTTGTTTGCGATGCCTGTTTTCGCGTCGGGTCTGTCTATCTGCGTCATGCGTCATTCACAGAGCACAATCATACACGCATTTGAACGCTGACACCAGGCACGCACGGCATGCTGTAGAATCGTACGTTACCACATCACCACCCGGGCCCACCGCCTCTCCCGCCCTTCCGGGGTGCTCCCTGTCCGTTGTAAGTATGAAATTCAGCGTAGCCTCATCCTCGGTGATGGAACTCCTTATCGTGCCCCTGCCCGGAAACAGCGACCAATCGCATCCCCACCTAGACGTTGGTCGAAGTTCAGGTTTTCAACGAAATGCTGAAATAGTACTTGTCATTTGTATTGGCCCAATGTCCTCGCCCCCGCAGGGCTTCCCTCCTGGGAGTGTCTGCGGACGACTGCGGCATCTGCCAAGCTGGCTTCGTCTGTTATCCGGGCGAGCCTATCCCTGAGCAGTGCTACAGGGGGTACTATTGCCCTCAGGTATGCATGGTTGGTGTCTACGCGTGTTCATGTATCACCGAACAGGATCGAGACCATTAAACGGTTTGGTCGGCATTGTTGTTCTCTCATCCGATGTTCCCACGTTTCTTGCAACGAAGACAGTGACTTCATTTGTTTTTCGTCGAGTTGGTGCATATTTACCGATCGATGACCAATCCATTGACTGATGGACATGTAACTAACACATTTCCTTTGTACTTGCGAACGGTGGGGCTGGTGACCGCGTCGGGGATGGCAATGGGTGATGGACTTCTGTGGGCGGTTGGTTGGCGTTCTGTGATCCTCGATGCGCTTGGGCGTTCGCATGTGTGTGGGAACGAAATGCCAGGGGGAAGATCCTATCCCTTGCCCAATCGGCACGTACAACCCGCTCATGGAGCAAGACGATCGAGACGATTGCAACTCGTGTCCGGCGGGGTACTACTGCTTCTCCGAGGTGGGTGACAAGGATTTTTGTTCGTGCTCCCAACCTATGTAACATGCTCGCCCCTCGCCCATGCATCGCTGGGCACAGCTGCTGATTCGCACGTTTCACATACGAAACATAACGCATGACAGGGAATCGGCGATCATGCCCAGTACCCGTGCCCGGCCGGGTCTTTCTGCCTGGTGCGAGAGACTGACCCCGAGCAGTGCCCGGCGGGAACCTACCGCAACACTACGGGAGCGGCCTCCGTCGAGGACTGCCCGTTGTGCCCAGGAGGTTTCCAGTGCCACGAGGGGTCCGTCACGCCAGACGTGAGTTCGTCGCCATCGACGGAAAGAGTGCCAGGCTGGTATACCCTCTGCCTTTATCACGCATGCACGAACAAACAGCACCATTGGAAGAAGGAACTACTTCGCCTCCTCAACCCTCTCGTCCCCACCCCGTCCCCACCCCTCACTCGCACACGTCAGGTATGCCCCGAAAAGACGTACTGCCCCACGGGCTCGTCCAACACGACAACGTGTCCGGCTGGATCCTACTGCCCGGTGGAGACTCCAGAGCCGATCGTGTGCCCCAGGGGATATTATTGCCCGCTTGGGAGCTCCGAACCGGTGGCTTGCGTGCTGGGCACCTACTGCCCGGAAGGGTCCGAGATTTTCACGTCGTGCCCCTTGGGGTGGTACGGCAGCCTGACATCCAACAATACGCTGTGGTCGAGAGATGATGCTTGTGACGAGGTAACTATTGTCTTAAGCTTTGCGTTTTAGGACTGAGCGTCGTGTTTTACTTGATATGTTCTTTGCTGGCGGAAGACTCATACACACTCACGGCGAAAACGGGCTGAAGTGGGAAATTTTGCACTGAAAACGGGAGGATATGGGCGTTGCAGGGTAGGGAGAAGAATAGGGAAACATGGAAGGGAGAGAGGAGTGGGAGGCACGGCCGGAGGGAGGGCCAGGGACTTGACTCGTTGTGGTGTACTTGGTCGGGAACACGAATACGATCGCCTTCATTGCCGACCCAAATATTCGTGTATAAAACCCCCACGAGTGGCGATTACCGCAGGAGACAGAGAGGCGGCATCCCCCATCGATCGGTTTTCAAAGATCCATTGCTCCACAACCAAGATTGTGTCACACCAAAAGTGGTGGTTTAGAAACATGTCGTCGAGGGCTCTGCGTAGAGTTATAAGCCTCGTTCTTCACCCCCTTGGTTGTGGAACAATCGAGCTTTGAAACTCGGCCTTAGGGGGGTTGTCACCTCTCTGCCTTTTGCGGTAGTTCGTCTATATCTATGGCAGCCAACAAACCAATATTTGTAGTTGCCGCGAGTACCTTCTGCCAGTGGTCTCATTTCTCAAGTCGCCTGCTCCCTCTCGTGAGCCTGCGAGCGATCAACACTGAGAGGGTTGTTTGGAGAGGTGCATGACAGTTATTTTCAGCCGTCTGAGTTCATCACGCCGCCGCCAACGAGTATCATACTTTGCGTACGTCGCTCTCACTACACTTATATTTGGGTGGAATTCTGTGGTCACCATCAACGAACCCCAGTGCCCACCGGGTACCTACGGAGCCGACCCGGACAGACTAGTCTGCGATATCTGCCCTGGGGGGTACGTTTGCCTCGGCACCACAATCACCGCCACGCCCACGTCCGCGGAAGAGGAAGGTGGATTCCAGTGCACGGTGGGACACTACTGCCCGGAAGGCTCGTGGGAAGAGATTCCTTGTGCAGCCGGAAGCTACAACCCCGAGGTCGGGTCATCAGCCGCTTCGGAATGCTTCATCTGTCCGGCAGATCACTACCAGGTAAAGACCGCGCTCGTCCTAATCGGACCTTCATCTGTCCCCATCTGGATCCACCTGCAGAAGGTTCTTGACGACGTCCCCGTAGCATGAAACCCGATGACGAGCTATATAGTTTTCGTCGACGTTTCTCCAAAGCTGGCCGGGAAGACCGTGCCCCCGTGGGCATGGACCAATGTGAGGGCCAGCAAGGTTCGACCCTCTTCGTGGCCTGCTCTCCTACACTGCCGTATACCCATTCACCGCTTTGTTGTGATTCTCTTTCATCCCTCACATATTTCAAGCGTCTTGCTCGATTGTGCTCTGTCCCACAATATGCACCCCCCCGCTCCCCATCGGGGTTGGGTTTTCGTCGCTTGGCAACGACGTTGTAAAACAAGCCCCCCTCGGTGTTTGCCATCGGGATTGGGTTTTCGTCGCTTGGTAAGGACATTGTAAAACAAGCCAAATCACTTCGTGAACTCGGCAACCAGGTTACCGGTTTTGTTTTTTACCTTTGTTAGTTTTTTTGCGGTAACCATAATGGTGGTCGAGTAGATCATGTTGTGCGAGGTCGAGAACCCTCACTCCGCGCAACGGGGGATGATCGCACCACGTTGTGCTAAAATGGTAAAGCACCCTCGAGGCAGTTCCACAGTGCTTATAACTGTCTCTGGAAGGGAAAGCACCAGAAAATAAATTACATCATACGCAGCTGTCATCCGTACGCAAGTAAGTAAGCACAAGATGCCGAACACCCTTAGCAGGATGCAGCGCACCCTTCATGCGACTCGCCGAATACCTCACGGCGCTTCGCGCTTGGTGATGTGAGAGACTGGTCCGGTGAGAACCCGGCGTGCTCCGTCCCGGCTTTGTAGGGATGCGAGGTCAATGGTCTAACGACTACGGCATGCACGACTATGAGTACACCCCGCCCCCCGCCCCCTTCGATTGTTTGCACGTTCTTCATAGGACCAAGAAGGGTCGGCCGCTTGTCTCCCTTGCTCTTCCAGCTCAACCAGCGAGGCGAACGCGACCGAGTGCAAATGCCTAGGGCTAAATAGAGCTTTCCAAGTGAGTTTACCCTGCGCTCGCTCCATTGTTTGGAGGATTTTTCTTGCTTATTCATTTCGCGACAAATTGCGTGACTTTGTCACCGACATGTTTGTCGAATCGGAACTGTCCCATGTTATAGTTCATGACCTGTTGAATATCGGAGATCGTATGCTGAGGTGCACACACAACTCCTTGTGGTGGCACGCTGGAGCGGTGGCAGAATGATAGCCGTTGGCACATCATTTCATCAGCGGGGATAGCTTTCCTCCGTCTTTGTGAAAATCGCGCTCCTTGCGGAGTCAGTTGTTTTCATGCCTACAATGCGTTCCCCAAATCACGGACGGCGACTTCAATTGCCGTACGTACAGCTATTGTCTCAGACACCATCCTGCAACAACACCCGTCCGTGTGAATGCGCCCTAGTGCACCTGTTCCAACACACTCGCACGTTCCTGGATTAAACTCTGTCCATTTACACCGAAAATATTATTTTCAGCTGTCGGACGGGCAGTGCATCTGCCGCTCGGGCTACGAGTACTACAACGAAGGAGGCGTGTTGGTGTCCACGGTGGACGGCGCCATCGATTGCCAGCCCATCGTGTACGAACGGTGCTACACAGGAGAGGCCTTGGACGCGGACGGAATTTGTGTTTCGGAAAGGTGGGAGGAGTGCACGGGGAAGTGGGAGTGGTGCTTGCGTTGGAAGCTGGAGGCACTTGTATGGACTTGTACAACTCACCTGATACACTAGCACGCCAGATCATGCCCTGCCGTGAAACTTGTTGCCATACCGTGTGAGGGGGAGCATTCCTTCTCTGAATAATGAAGTCCTGCTTTGATGCCTTCAGGAGCCCTGTGCAATTGTACAGCGAAATTCTATCGAAATCTTACCTATTCTAGACACGACATTATTGACGCGTGATGGTCTACTTCATCCACCCCCTTGAGGATGCAAGAGAGACCAGTTGCGACACAACCGCCGAGGAGGATGGATGCGGTGTTTTTGTTTTGGGCGACGCGCCTGCGTTAGATTGTTGTGTCCTCTCTCTCGTTACGCCTGTCTTCACCTCTGTTTTTGTTGTTTTGCTCGCACTCACGCTTCGATGTGAACCTGACAACAGCGACTGCGACAGCCAGTGCGGTGAGGCTGGCGGCACATTCTACGAACACATCGGTCTGTGCGAGTGCCACGGCCAGCAGGTGAGATGGGACGCACTAGTTGATACGGCATTGATGCCATAGTGCTTGTACTCGAGGGGTGGGATTCGTTGAAGTAATCTATCCGTTGTGACAGCACGGTGTGAAAGCAAGGTCAAGTCAGTAGATTGGGGCTTGATTCAGGAGTGGTCTATCTCTCAATCTGCCATAGGCTTGTCTCGTCTGTGTTCTGTGGGGCCTGAGGAAATGTTCCGTCAACATTCGTCTGCTGGCATGCCGAACACATGCAGAGAACAATACAGGGATACGGGGTCTTGTGGCAGGGCTTTGAAAAATTCGTTGTTGAGGGTGTACGGCAAACATCGGTGTTTCCTTCAATCGGTGATTCCTGTGCGCTTTCTCGTTGTCTCCCTCCTGTGTGTAGTCTTGCCTGCCTCTCCGGTGATAGAGATGAAAGCGCGCCACCTTCGTTGGCCCTTACCTATGCCGTACATTGACTCCCACAACGTATGTTTGCTCTACAATTTGCAACCACAGGATCTCAACGCAGTATGCGACGTGAACTGCAGAGATAACGCGGCGTTGATGTTTGTGGATCCCCTGACGGGACTTATTGTGGTCATCGACGGAAACTCCACAGGTAAGAATTCAAGGGGTGGTTTGTCAAGCTCAGACGACATACGACTTTTTCCTCCCTGTCGATAAACACTCTTGCGTTCAGCAACCACTAGTCAAAACGGGCACTCCCGCCGCTGTGCAAGCTTATGTACCTCAGTCTATCAACTCCCAATCGTTCGACATCGATAGAGTAACGCGCGCCCTCCCATGCATTTGTTTTTACAACATCGATGTTCGTCGAAGCAGAGTATGTGGACCCGGCGAACCTGCCGAGTTTCGCCGGAGCGCTGTACTGCTCGGACGACGCGGGCTGCGGACTTTTCCCAGTTACCGTTTCCACAAACTTCAGCGGAGTCTACGGTACCGGCAATGCGGTGGCGACGGCGACGTCTGTGGCTTTGGCCGCAGCTGATGCTTCCTCGTCTTCGCCATCTGCAGCTTCGAGTCGAAGACACCGCAGCTTGATGACCGAAGCGCAGCAGCGAGAATCCGAAGACGCCAGTGTTGCTGACCCTGTTGAAGCTGACGACCAAGTTGTTAGGGTCAGGAAGGACGGTGGTGATGCCTATTCCTCGGAACAGGACATGGTCTACATGTTCTTGCGCCGCAGGTATGTTACCACGCGCTGATGGCATGCTCCAGCTTGAAAACAGAGGTAGAGTGATGAACGAAGATCCAGCACCTAAACGTTGACATGCCCTCAACGGAACATGTCAAGTCCGGTAACATAGTATTCCCGTTGACCGGCTGCGGGAATCAAAGCACGCGACATCGTTGGTTTGCTTCTGGGCCATGCACAATAGGGACGGCCTTTCTCTTGCCTGGAGACCAATATCTCCAAAACCACTTCCAGACATGGACCGTGTGTAGTCTTGCCTGCCTTGTAGTCTATGCACCATGCACGGAGTGAGTGCGCCAGGAAAATGACAAGCACCTCGCTCAGAAGGTGCCCCCCCCGCCAAGATGTGATAGAATGCGTTTCCTTTGACCACAGCACCCAAACCTTGCTTTCTTTTCATGACTGATTTTGGGTGGAAGACAGTCGACGATAGATTTGTAGGACGTTTTATGCGAGGTATTCCTGAGGCGATCTCTGCGTAGTCCACCAGTTGAATCTGGTGACGCCAGCTCCTGTATCAATTGAATCATAGACTGTTTGTGCATAGCTTGATCTCATAACCGTCGTTTTCTAGGTATCTTTTGAGTTGTTATGTATCCCTGTACTGTGGGGTTTGCAATACGGTGTCAATGAATAGCAAGCTAACACTTTGCTTGGGTTTGTACATGTCAAGCACTCTGCGGACGTACATCGGCCAACATGAAATGTTGTCGATAGCGCAATTCCTGTGACCTCAACTTGAAGTTCGCTTTTATCTTGCCTTTGACGGTCAAACAGATACCGAAAGTGAAGAAACCGAGTACTTGCTGAGTACAATGGTCGGCGATGACTGACAGTGTGTGTTCAGTCTGAAATCAGCTTGGAGTCGCCTCACCCTAATGTATCCCATTTTCCCTCATGTTTCGTTCCTGGGTGGACGTGAAAGGGCCGGGAACTACCGACCGAGGAATCAATACCGGGACCGCTTCTTCACTGAGAACGGCACTCACACTACCATACCCGGAGCGATTCCGAAGTCTCAGCGAGCATATACCTCCCCTCTCTCGTCGAGTCGTCCCGACTTCTATCCATACCCCTCACAAGAGGAGGAAGGATTTTATGCCGAACAGCAAGACAAGCACGTTGTTGATGATTTCGATTATGGTGGGCCTCCCTACGACGGACGACCGCCGTGGGAACGCAAGAGTTGGAGCGTGGGAACCCAAGACGAGGATCGGGTCGACAGGGAAAGGGCGGCAGGGAGGACGGGGAGGAGGAGGCTGGTCGGGGATGAAGCCGAACCCGCCGTCGAGAGCCCCCTTTCGTGCGTCCGCAAGGGCGACTCGGTGCTGTTCGACATCTCGAGCGGCTGCTACCCAGTCTACGACAAAGATTCGCTGCTGAATTCTAATCTCGAGTGAGCGCGTCCTTGTAAAGGTTTCTTTCTCACGGGCATTACTTCATGCAATAGTTTCGCGCACGGTTGCGCATTTGAAACGCTACATTTTTAGCGTTCAAAACATAAACAGGCATACGTACCGGGCCTCGGGAGGGGAGATGTGTCCCAAGTATTCCAACGAATGGAAAATGCCACCGTAGGTTGAGTCAACGAATCGGGTGGCTGGCCTCGCTCTCCGCCCCCTTCAGATGAAACAAATAACTCACCAACCCGATTCTCTCTATCTGTCAATCGAACACATTGGATCCTAGGCTTGACATCTTGACACTCTGTCCTTTTCGTTGTGTCGGGATGCAAGGTTTGACTACGGCGAGTTTCGCACTGTGGCCGAGCTCGCCACCTCGTCAGCCACGTACGACACGTTCGGGTTCGTCTTCGAGGACGCCGGAACGTACGTGTTCAGTTCTAGCTGCAACCCGGGCAGCGTCATCGTCCTGGCCGTCATGGGGGAAGACGTCAGGTTAGCCACACAGCATACCCTGTTTGTAACGCCGCGCAAAGAATCAGAGCCGGTATTTCCTCTCCTGTCCCGGTCCCGATTTTTGTCGTTTCTGATGTCCAAAGTAATACAGCGTGCTGACAATCAAATGGGGCGATCAAGGGTAAACACAATTCGTATGAAATTTCCCGTTGACGGGGATTGATGGCTGCCGGCGAAATAAATAAATGGCGTAGTAAACGGCACACACACTTTTCCCTGTTTTCGAGTCTATCCTGTGCTGCTCCCCACCCTGTAACATACGCCAACGTCAACGTTGTCAAACTGCTTGTTCATCCGGTCGGTTGACGGCGCGCTTCGCATGTGCATCAGCTGCACCACTGAGGCGCACTTCGTGCCCCTCACGGCGGCCAACTTGATCAAGCTCGGCGTAGCCAAGAACAGCGACAACATCACGCTCACGCCAGACTGGGCGCTCATCTGCGGCCTGCTGGCGGGCGTTGCGTTCATGATATTCGGGTGAGACCCGAGCAAGTAAAGTCTGCATGATGTGAACTGTTCATATTGAAATATGCGTGCAGATTGTATGATTTGTGTGCGGGGTTATTTCATTCGCGCGATGAAGAGTGTGCTCTTGTGTTCGTTGAACGGCTATTGATCACCCCGGAAACCCAGTTGTGCCCTCTACCACGTACGTGGAATAGTTTCGAGTGTTCACTAGTCTGACAAGAGTCGCTTTGTTCGGAGTCTTGCCAGCAGCGGGTATCCACGCCACGTGCATGGCGTACGGGTGAAGACCATTGCATCCAGCACCCCCCCTAGGAAAACTCATACATCTCCTTTGCACGTTCTTGCAGAGTTGTTTCCGCGGTTTACTACTTCCGAACCAAGGCGTGGACCACCGGACAAGCGGCCACCCCAGGGTACCGTGCAAAGGCGCAGGGCCGTCACTTTGAGGTGATACACCCTGTGGTTAAACAGTTGTATCCCACCATGACGCCGCCGAACGGGAGAAGATGTGCACACGCTCCCATACACATCTGACAATGCAAAGGGGGGAGATGCTATATTCTCGTGCTTGAGATAGAAGCTGCCGGACAAACTGCATTTTCTGGCTGGTAGTACTGTACCTCAAGCGGCGACCTGGAGAGGTTCAGCTTTTTTTCGATGTATCTAGGCTCAGGTAGAGAGTCGGGTGCCATGCGTTCTCTCTACCGAGGCCAACACAAGCATCTTCCCCGACGGGAATCATGCCCCCGCCATCATGTTGTACCCTCTTGAATGTTTCTTCATCCCCACCCTCTCTTTGTGTCACATATGCAGGTTAACGGTGACGCTTCGACACAGAAAGCTGGCTTCTTCGCTAAGCGACAGAACCAAGTTTCACCGCTGGACCCCGAGTCCACCGCCGGTGGCCGCGGCCGTACCTCGAGGTCGCGACTGTCTGTTAGCTCACGCACCGGCTTTGGCAGCGGTCGAGCCCCAGACATTGAGATGCAGAGGTAAAGAGGAGATGCTGTTCCTGCTGCACTTGCCCAAGCTTCAAGTCCTCCGCCTCGTTCTGTGCAAGATTTAGTCGGTATTATTCATGCGCTGTCTCATTTGACCGACAACAGCAACTTAGTAGCTTGACGTTTTAACTACCTCGCGTGGACACACCGCTTCGACCCCGTCGTTTTTGATCATGGTCGCCCACACACGGAATTTTCGCATCGCCAGCGCGCCGGGCCACAAACAAACGTTGAGCGCTCGTTGCATAAGCCAACGTTTTGACGAGAGGCTCTTAGATCGCTATACTAGTTTTCGTCTGGTGGCCATACTTTGGGCTCCGTCTCTCATTGTAACGTTATGACAAATCTCAGCAGCAGCGGCGACCCTTTCGACGGCCAAGACAACCCCGACGTCCGCGAACTGGTGGAGAGAATGCAGAAGTACCACGACGACGTCGAGAAGGAGTTCACGGGACAGAAGGTGCGGGTTTCCGCAAAGGGGTCGAGCAACGCCACATCATTCGTAAAATTGAGATATGTACACAAACGTGTACAGTGTTGTCGCGGGCATGGGCTCGGGCAAAACCGCTTGTCTCGAGGTTGCGAAGCGCAGACCATCCGGCACCGATCACGCCAACAAGCAGGCAAACCAGCAATGTCAGTGGTATCGAAATCCTTGCCCACCGGCTGGAACATCCCCGACCACCCTCTACGATACCATCTCACCACAGGAACCGAAATGACACACCGAACAACTTAAAACTTGCCATCTCACAACAGGACCTCGTCATGAAGCTCCACCACCTCCTCCAGCAAGAGGCCGACGAGCTCAAGCGCCTCCTCGGGGCAAAGGCGGGCGTGGTCGGCGACCAGCCCGCTGCGGCCGTCGAGAAATCCACCAGAGCGACGCTCGCGCGGCTCAAAACAGACCTCGCGTCCCGACGGCTGCACGAAGCCGGCGTATCGACATCAGAGGTGGGAGAATTGGCCACATAGGAGGAGGCCGAGGCGGTGGAGAGGAGGGGCGGAGAGTGATGCATACTGTTTCGGGCTTGATTTTTCTTTTTCCTATAACCCTAAGGCTCCCGATTGTTTTTTCTGGTCTGCTACAATCGGAAGAATTTTTGTCCATCTTGATTTCCGATTTCTAGAAATGTCTGTCCTTCTTGGGGTAGTTGGCCTGTGACCACGAAAGACGTCCGCGTCAGTTGGAAAGGTAGGGATGTTAGAATTTACCGAATTGAGACCGTCAAGGCTATCATGCGAAAACTTTTGTTTGTGTGCTTGTGGAAACGGCGTTGTTAAACTATCGTTCGTGTGTGCTGCATGGCGTGAACAGGTGATGCAGTGGTTTCAAAGAGTCCCTCGCTGCCGCGCCCTTTTCCCTGATCGCAAGCAACGCTCCCTCATCACCCCCCGATTCACACTGCAGTCCTCAGACATTGCTTACCCCTCAAAGCCCCTCGGGGGATCGGGAAGTTCCACGCAGATTATCCTGCCACCCAATACTGCATGCACCTAGGCACATAATTAATAAACATGAATTAGTGCCCTAAATCGTGGTCACTTCTTGACGCCATGACTACAAAACAACACACAAGGTGGAGGCCCTGTCAGCTCTGAAACGGCTGCAAGAGCTCCTCCAGGAGGGAGCCGAGCCCTTTGCCAAGCGTGTCATGCTGGAGATTTCGAACGCGGACGCTGCAGAGAGAGGGTCGTCCCACGACGACGCCCACGCCGCCACCCCTCTTCTGCGTGAGATGCAGGAAGGGGCTGAGCTCATCCGGGTTGAGGTACGTCGAACGAGTGTTATCCAGATATTCAACGTCAGGCCGTCTGTGTATGAAGGTCGAGAGCCTGCCGTCGAGGCATTAATGGAACGAATGACACATGTTCTAATCGGAACGGGCCGCGCCGCCACCTCTGTGGCATAGACCCTCAACAAATTCGATGCAAATGTTGAACATGAGCACGAGAGACATACGCGACGTTGGCTGCACACTCGATGGATTTCACTCCTCTCTGACCTCTCGTGGTGTGCGGGCCAAACCGCTAGGTTGGAATCAATTATTTTCCTTCAGATTGGCTTGGTAGAGGTTTCGATGTGCAATTACGTCGGTCTCGGTTCGATGGATGAGCCAGGCATACTACCACTGAAATTCGACTTGGTGCGGCATAGACGGTGTATTTCCCTGTGCCGATGGTGTTCGGCCTGTTCAATGGAAATCTAACATGTGTTGGTTGCGATTTGTTTTCCTGACTTTGGCGAATTCGAAGGTTGTGAACGAGCTGGGAGAGAGCCTGGAGCACGAACGGCAAAGGGAACACGCAGCTAGGGCGGTACTGGAGGGGGCTGTTTCCAGGGGCGGAGTTGTCCTGCCGGAGGTAGGGTTGACCAAGAGAACCCGCTGAAAATCTCTCTACTTCGTACCTAACGACGATTATTGCGTTGATGGCGGTCGAGTGTCAAGTTCAAAATGCACTCTATGAAGTGTGTATTGCTGGGATGGTGCCAGGATCAAACTGCGTCCTGCTGCTGGGGGAAGCTAAGGCCAGGTTTCCAACAAGCAATTGAAACATTTACATTCTGCGGATAATCCGGTGAAATACTCATTCGGCACACATGTAGTCGATGGAAACGTGACCAACACATGATCGCGCAACTGGGACCCTTTCGTGTCCGGAACGTCCTTAAGCATGATGTGCACGCTCGGTCCATTGGGCATTTAAGCACAACGAGCATCATTACTGATCCAGGGAGATGGGACACGGATATGTTGCGTTGGTTCGGAGACCCTGGATTTTTTATGTTTGAACGCCGATTACCGGTTCGAACACGGTTCGACAGGATATCGTGCGAACCTTGAAGACCGTGAGCGAGATGGACGCGAAGACGGACGCCGGCGAGCGGGGGGTGGCGGCGACTCTGAAACGCCTCGCCGATCGCCTCCCTGCGTGCACGCAAGAGCTCTGCGCGTCGGAGGTGTGTGTCTTCACCCCAAAGACGGGGACACTGACCTCTCAAGTAGCAGTGTTGGGAAGGCTGCCGTGTTGTCTGCGTTTGTACCTTCGTGACGGTGTGTGGATTCTTTGAGAAGCTCGGTTCACGAACAATATCCCTGGTATTCAATTGGCGATCGAATTTGCGTGCCCACCCCGTGTGACTAGCTGTACATGCGGGTAGAGAATGGAAATCGGTAGGTGTTGGTAACTTACACGCAGCCGTAGTCATTGGCACGTAAATATTGGCACACGATTCGTTCCGCCAAATGCGATCGCCCCACCCTTCTTTGGATCTCTCCGCCTTTCGCGTTGCTTCGCTTCACCTCCTACTTCCACATACACGTCTGTGTGTCTTTGTCGTGTAACGCCTTCACCTTCTATTTGTTGCTCCAGGGATTGATCTTGCGCAACCTTGTGCGAATCCGAGCGATGGGGAACACCTCTCTCGAGACCGCCGAGAGACAAAGGGGGGAGAGCGTCATTTCCAAGGTGCTGGACCAGCTCATCCAGGCGCTGGCTATCGTCGGCGCTCGGGCGGAGACGGAGAAGGCGGCGGTCGACACGGCCAGGATCGATGCGGAGGTTTGAATGCATGAAAAAAACGTGTAAATAGTCGTTGCTTGTCGGGTTTTTTTTTTCTGTTGCTGTTGATGGTAGTGGTAATGATAAAAGTTCGCGCTCCTGTAGTCGTTCATTTGTCTGCGATCATATTACACGCGCAAGTACTACGGTACAAGCGTGTAGTGGATGCTTCATGATACAGATGTTGGTCTGCACATCGAACAAATCATGACACAATGCATCGTGATTGCCTGTACAAAAGGTGGAACGGCGCCACTTGGAGGCGGCGGTGGACGAGAGCATCAAGACGATGACCATCGCCGGGTCTGCAGACGGTGTTCCGCCCACATCCGACGACCTTCAGGTGAAAGCTACCCTATGCTTGCTGGAACCGTAATTGTCGGTGCAAAACATGTTGGTGTTGCGTGCTGCAGTTCGCCAGTCTTTTAGGCCGCTGTGTTCGCTTGACACCATCTGTCACCGTTCCTCTCTCGCCTTCCGTTTTTCCCTCACCGATTAGTTTTCCCTCGTCCTCGGACCTCATATCTTGTCGTCTTCTCAATGCTGACGCGAGGTTCAACTAGATCCCCCTCTATCAAGGGCTATTTCGCGTCGAAAAAACACGACACCCTCGGACCCACATCAAAGCGTCTTAACGCCTTTGACATTCTGTGTTGGGATTCTAAAACAACGAAATGACAGGGCATGCTGAAGGAAATCCGGACGTTGGTTTCTTCCTCCGGCTCTGCTTCCGCCGCTAGTGCGGCCGTCGTGGCCCCGACTCGCCGCGCTAGCGCTCTCTTCTCACAAGTCGCCGAGAACGAGTACCGGCGGCACTCCATTTTGCCCGGCGATGCTGTGGACACCAGGTGGGCACGCACGACCGGAAAGGGTTTGTGTGCCGATGCCTGGTGTCACCGAAACCACGGGCGCCTCAGGCGTCTGTGTGCTTCATCCCATCGTGCCTTATTCTTGTATACAATCGTATCAACGGCGTTTACGTTGTTGCCACCATTCTCAAAATTTCCTTTATGGCAGCATTCGACGTTCTATCGCCGACTAAGCAGCTTGTTGGGTTCATGCAACGCAGCACGAGTGTGATTTATACATTAGGCAGTGTTCAAAAGAAGGAACGTCTAACACAACATACCAGTTGCGAACGCGCACTCACTTCAAGCTCTTGTTCGTCGCTCGCGTTGTCGGGCTTGGCAATATTTATATTTCTGGCGCCAACATCGCCGAACTCGCCGAAAAAGCCTGCTTGCCGAAGAAGAGGCGGAGGAAGAAGCCCGCCGGTCCGAGATTGAGGCCAATTTGCTGGCGGAGCAGGAGGCCGGCGTCGCGGCGGTGTCGGCGGTGGCAGACAGCCAGAAGAGGAGCCTCCAAGAGCAGCTCGACAACGCGGGGGCGACGGTGGAGGAGAAACAGGTGTTTCAGAAATGCCATAGCTTTATTGTAGCGCGTGCTCGTGGGAGTATGTCATGTCCGCACGTACATGTATTTACGCGGATGAAAGGTGGGCGTGAATGGACCCACGATGCAGCGTCCACTATGATCGAATAGAAACGAATGTATCGTTCACCATGTACTCTACCAAAAACCCACGAACAGGCTATGATGAACGCCCTAACCGAAGACCAAAAGACGATCGAGGGCATCCTAGAAGGCGAGCGGGTGAGGATGGAAGAGAGCTTCAAGAGCGCCGCGGCGGCGCGTAAGGCGAGGGACGAGAAGCACGCTGAAGAAGATGCCGTCGAAGAATGGTGCGACAAATCAACAGACGTCATTTGTAGACCACAAATGAAACGGCAGTATCCTCTCTCACTCTCCCTGTATAACCCATATCGAATTTCGCTGCGTGGCAAGTGGCTTGGTCGTTGCTCGTGTCGCTAGTCAGGTGTTCAATGCGAGTGGGAAACTTGTTTTATCAGATTTTCGCATCAATAATTATGTCTCGCCCTTGTTGGTTCCACCATCGTTGCTGGTCACTATTTGGATTTTCTTAAGAGCGTTCACATGCTGAGGCGGGGAAACCACTTCGTGTTGAAGACAATCGTTTTGGAAAGTGGATTCGCTACAGAAAAAAACGAAGAACTTAAGGCCGTCACACCTCGCCGTTTCTTTACTGGCACTTGTACGTGCGTTCTCTGAGATTCATACCGTAGTGGGTGCATTACACTTCTCCGCCTACCCCCTTGTACCCTACCTGCCTCTCCATCTGTTTCTGGCAAATGTTCGTGTCTCAGCCAAACCAAGGCAGAACTCCTGCACAAGCAAAACGCGCAGATCAAAGAGCTGCGGCGCAAGCACGAAGCGGCGCAACTGGTGGTTACCGGAGCGGCGTCCGCCGCGGATGACGATGGCGATCAGGATCCACAAGGGCAAGACAAGACCGACGGCAGCGGGGACGAAACGGACGGCGAAGACGAAAGAGGAGTGATCGCGGCGTTGAGGAAGGTATGACAAGATGCCTCTTCGCCTTGCCCACGACACTCGAAGTGGCAGTTATGCTTCAGCGGTTTTTGTGCGGATGGACACGTCCTGACAAACAGGCCAACTCCCTCATAATGCTGTTTCCTCACGCGCTGACTAACACGCCACCTCCCCGATAAATGCTGCTTCCTTTCCGGTCCAGACGATAGACGGCTTGTTGGCGTCAAATGAACCTCCCTCTCAATGTGTTACGCTTCTAATTAAAACATCGAACGCTTGTGCTGGACTACGTTGAACAGGCACATGCGGAGCAAGTTGCACTGCTGGAATCAAGCCTGACTGCCAAGGCCAAGAGCGCAAAACACGCTCTCCGAGAGCGACTGGCCGCACAGAGGTAAGAAAATCGGCCCCGTCTACTCTCTTTCACAAAGGAACAAGGCAAGCTATACTGCATGGGCACGCGCAGAACATCAGGGTGGCGAGAGACCGACACACTAGGGCAAAGAACCAGAGGATGGCGGCTCTTCCTGATGCTTATTTCGCTCAGCAATAACGTGTATCCAAAGTTCCTCTAGTATTTGGTAGCAGCTGCCTACTGGTCACGAAGTAGACGCAATCTGAGTCTTCTGATCCAGCTTCCAAGCTCTCAGGCAGGCTTTCGCCGAACCGAATTCACTCACAGTCAATCATCTCTTTGACCATTGCCCTCATAGACGCCTCAGCAATGTGCCCTCGTACTACTTTCCGCGTCTGGCTATGCCGCTTGTCTGCGCCGGCCACGATAGAGCCAAGCGCGAAGCAGAGCTTGTAGAGGGTGGGGCCTCTTGGTCGGAGGCGGCCATCAAAGCGGACAAGGAGCTCGCGGCCAAGGAGGAATCGCAACAGAAGGAGCTAGCGGCCACACTTGCGTCAGAGAAGTAAGCCACGACGCAAGGTTCATACCCAGAGATTGTCGAGTCGGAAATGAAGAGCTCATGCGGCATGGGTTTCGCAGTGATACTTGTCGAACGTGCAGCCCACTTATTGTACTCACTTCGTGTGACTGTGCGGAGGAAATAGGGCGTCGGTATGACCTGTCATATCGACATAATAATCTGCGATTGAAGCACCCGTGGGTGGAGCTTTGACAACAGGAAAGCAGTGGCTCCTGAACATATCGAAAGTTGTCGGTTCGGGACGGGCAGGGTCCAAGTTGTGAGGTTCACCGCAATAATACTTGAACATTGAAGCAAAAGCATGACTTTGGTGTGACTCAAATCACCCTGTTTTGCCATGCCAGGAGTCACGCCCTGAAAACGGAGTTGTCTACTCAGCGGCAAGTGCGCGACGAGGCCCGCGCGGTAGTAAATGAAAACCAGGACCCCGACGCCGGGCAGGCGGCCGCTGCGGAAGATGCTCACCGCATGCGCGAGGAGGCGGTCGAAGCAATCCAGGTTCTGGAGGTGATACTAGGCCCTATGGTTTCTCTTTCGATCCTCCCAACCTATTGGGAACGCATATGTGTTCTTCCGTTGATCTCCTGCAAGGTCTTGGACGCAAACGTTGAATTTTGGAGTGGATTTGTGCGCTTTCTCATTCTGACTTACAGAGTGCTCATGACGCGTCACATTTCCTTTCTCCCCACCGGCTCCTTCACCCTGACATATCTCGTCGGACTACTGTGCTTCTCGGTTGCAAAATGATATTTCCGAACAGGATGCCATGGCGGAAGAGGGGAGGGTCAGGCGCAAGGCACTGGTAGAGCGGTTGAAGGCAACGCGTCGGGCCAAGGAAGCCGAGCTGGAAAGGCATGGGGCTGGAGAGATGGAGCGGTGCAAGCAAGACGCGGACCTGACCCGCCTCGAGGAGCTACAGATTGAGGTGCATTTGTTGGTCACGCGCGCCATCACCATGACGACCGTTTTATTCCCTATCGCTGTCATTCAAGAGGATTTATTGGGAGGGTTCGCATCCGAGCCGCTGTGTAGCAGCGGGTGCTAGCCATGCTATGCCTAGTGGCTGCCTCCTCAGCAACTGGCACGTGTATGTGTCATCCAGATGAAGTACCGGGGAGGCGAAGCCATCGACTGCGGCATGTGCTCCAGGTGTATTGCCATGTAACTCCTACAATATCATCAAGGACTAACAAGGATGCAACCCGAATCTTCAGTCGAGTCTCACGACCGATGACATGCTCTCACCCTCTCCGTTTTCTCAAGTGTTACGGATTTTCCCCTGCCTGGCCTCACCTATTTTTGCCCCCGATGCGGGAAAACCGATTTCGCGCTATTGATCGTGGCGTTTGCGGCTGCCTCAGGCCTTGGAGGAAGAACTTCTACACGAGAGAGAGATTGGTCTCAAGGACGCGAGGGCTTGTGCCGCTGCTGCGGAAGTGGCCGCTACAGTGGCCAGCAGCCGTGCCGCCGAAGGCGGTGAGGTGGATCCGCGGGCGGCCGTTTTGGCAAGCAAGATGAAGGTGAGATGATAACTCTGATGGAGCGGCAAGGGGGGCATACGCGCTTGTTCGGTGCTACACAATGACCCCTGGTGCTCCACAGGAAATATGTGTACGTGTATACATCACGGGTTAACAGTACCAACCTGCATGACAACCTTATACTTGCAGAGTTTGGTGGTAGGCCTTGTTCGACCAACAGTGCTTTTCTTTCTTCGCCGCGGGTTTGTGGAGTGGAAGTGCTCGAAGAATCGATTTCGGTAAACCCAACGACGATGCCTGCAGCGTCTTCGGTTGACTGACAGTACTCAAGGTACAGCTGTACTGGTCACCTTTGCGACGACGTGCGATTCGTTTTCAACACTATGCACAGTCGAGCACAAGTGCGAGATGTACCGCATAGAAACCATATCTCTTCGTTGCAAAAAAAAAGAGGCGCTTACTGCGAGGCCGATTCCGTTGGCATCTGCGTATCCACACATTTGCAGGAACTCCACCTTACCGCCATGGAGCAACTGGAGAATGACATGAGCAGGAACGAGAAGAACGCCTCGAGGGCTTTAAGGGAGCGTCTTCAGGCGGCTAGAGCAGCTCGAGAAGCGACGTAAGTAGTGCTTAAAGTGCACAGCACGATTCACTTGTAGTAGCAATGGTGGGGGTATTCTAGTTAGACTGTCACCCTCCTCAAACTCAAGGTTCGATGGAAAAGCGGAGGCACACTTAGTTGTAGCTTTCGAATGGAACGTTGACTAGTGTACAGCATTGCGCCCCCCCTCAACATCGCTAACCTGCCGTTCGAAAACAGTTGTATATATGCCCCACCGTCCTGCGCTGTGTCTCACGCAGACTTGATTCGCTTTTGCCCGTCCTGTGTATTCTGGCGCCAGTCTACACCTTACGCTATATGTGTGACGCACCAGCCTGGGTCACGCAGGAGGAATCCTCCTGCGGTGACTGCCCTGAGTATGGTAACGCTAGAGTGATCTGTAGATCTCTCCCTCGTTGCTTGTACTCCTGCCCAAATTTTGGTTTGTTTTCAATACCTGGAGACCTGGACCCACATCCTGTAAAGCAATAACCACGACGTTATCAACTCCACCACTCAGCCGTTGTTGCGTGACCGTGATATTGAGATGAAAGAAATCGGACGTTGAACACCCTCCAACAGAACCCCCCCCCTCCGGTTCATATCGTCATATGAATGATTTCGGTTAACACAACGGATCAGATTGCAAGACAAAGAGTCTCTCTCCGCCTCAGAGGCGGCCAGGAAAGCCAGAACAGAGCTGGAAGACGGCGAGGAAAGGGCCATTGAAGAGCTGGTGAGAAACCGGTGTAGATCACGTTTCGGCTGCCCCGTTGCCACAGATGAGCAATAAGACAAACCAAGCGAGCCTCAGATGTACTGGACGGCTCGGTCCGGTCACTCTTGAACGGATGGTGATCGTACGCTGACCAATTGGGGCGCTTTCCCCTCCCGAACTCAAGTGGGAGCACCTTGTCAACTCGGGGTGGTGACTATTCTTCCATCATCCAAGCATGTCCTATGGGTGGGACGCATCTCATATGCACTATATCGCCCGTCTTGACCGCACCAATCTGCGTTAGCGTTTTGTAGCCGGGTAGCACGATATCGTTGTCCTCGATACATGTTCGCATTTGGCGGGCATATTCTATCCATTTCCGGTGCCGAAAGCGCTATTTTTTACCAACTCATGTAGCCTTAACTACGCACACACTTAACAAAAAGATGGAGGATCTGCGCAACGACCGTGTCGAGGCTATCGGTCGGGCGAACCTGGAGGCGGAGGCAGCCGGAACGGATTCGCTGCGGGCGGAAGCAGACCGTCTTCTCGCAGAACACCGCAACCGGATGGCTCAGCTGCAAGAAGCCATGAAGGTACCACAGTATACGGCAACGGTGGCACAATCGCGCCCCGGTTAAGCTAGATTGTGAACGCGCCGATGGTGCCAGCACCAAAATTCCACAGCGAGCCTGTTTCGAGGATGCTGCCAACAGCGCAGAAGCACCATTAGCGTGTGAGCTAGAGCGTGGTCCATGAACTAAGGCAATGGGTTATTTTGAACTCATGTTTTGTGTCGATCGTTGTCTCCAAACGCAGTACACAAACTCGCGTGACGAGGTCATTCTGGCAGATGCGCCTGCAAGATGTAGCACTATTGTGGCTGCCCCGATACTTGATTATTTTCTAACCAACCATTCCGTCATGCTGTACCCCCCTCCCCCTCTTTACCATGCTATCCGACATGCTATTCTCTCGCCCGTCATTGGTGCGACGATCACATGCTAACACAAACGACCCAAACCAACCACAGGTCGATGCGCAGCGCCAAAAGACCAACCTCCAGAAGCGTCTTGCTGCTCGGCGCAAGGGCACCGACGCTGTCGTAGCCGCCGCCCAGCCCGTGTCGCTTCAGGCCGCCGCGAAGGCCGCCACCCTCGCCGACTCCGCCGAGGAGGCCGAGCGCATCAACCTCGAGCGGAGCCTCCTCGACGAGGCGAACCGCTTGCAAAGCGACGCCGAAGGGTACGAGCGATCCGTCCAGAACATCCTGACCTCTGCCGAACATGCTGCCGCGTCAGGAGTGTACGGAGCGTCACCGAGAGCCGCAGAAGCAGAGATGGTTCATGAGGAGAGAAATCAGTCTCTGCGAGCGATTCACGAGAGGGCGATGGCCGCGATGGAAACGCAGAACGAGAATAAGCGGCGGGCGGTGGCGGCGAGACTGGGGCAGAGGCGAGCCGCGGCCAGGGCGGCGAGGGCGGAGGCCATGCGTGCGGCAGGGAAAAGCGAAGAAGAGATCGCCAAGGATCTTGCAGAGGTAAGGCACAATCGCACAGCCAGGGGTGGAGAAAGATGTACTACTGTTAGAGGGGAGAGAGGCCGCTCGGCGGGAGGGGGGACGGCCAAGAGAGTATGGGGGCAGGTTGGAAGTCGGGTTCTGAAACCTAATATTGTCCTGTTACCTCACAGTGTGCAATCCCAGCTTCTCGAAGTCGACGATAGGAGGGGGGAAACCGCTCGACCACTTGCAGGCGAGGGTCCACGGTCGGTTTGGCTGCAAGACCCACCACCCGACACACTGGTTTCTGATGGGTCCACCTCCATTGTTTTCTCTCCGCCCCCCAGGTTTTCGCCCCCCCCCCCGGTGTTTGCCATCGAGGTTGGGTTTTCGTCGCTTGGCAACGACGTTGTAAAACAAGCCGCCCCCTCCGGTGTTTGCCATCGAGGTTGAATTTTCGTCGCTTGGCAACGACGTTGTAAAACAAGCCAATTCACTTCGTGAACTCGGCAACCAGGTTGCCGTCTTTTTTTTACCTCTGTTTTTTTTTGCGGTAACCATGAATGATGGTTGAGTAGATCATGTTGTGCGGGGTCGAGAACCCTCACTCCGCGCAAAGGGGATGATCGCACCACGTTGTGTTAAATTGGTAAAGCACCCTCGAGGCAGTTACACAGTGCTTACAACTGTCTCTGGAAGGGAAAGCACCAGAAAATAAACTAAGTCATGCGCAGCTGTCATCCGTACGCAAGGAAGTACGCACAAGATGCCGAACACCCTTAGCAGGATGCAGCGCACCCTTCATGTGACTCGCCGAATATCTCACGGCGCTTCGCGCTGGGTGATGTGAGAGCCTGGTCCCGTGACGGTGAGAACCCGGCGTGCTCCGTCCCGGCTTTGTAGGGATGCGAGGTCAATGGTCTAACGACTACGGCATGCACGACTATGAGTACACCTCCCCCCCACTCGCTCCGCCTTGTTCTTGAATCCCTTTTCCACACAAAGGTGAACGCCCACGACTCGCAAGAGGCAGCACAGGAAGATGCGATACTGCAGGCGGAAGGCGTCGCTGCAATTGAGGAGGAACGATCGACGCAAATCGCCGCTGTCACGGATGGCATTGCTCCGAAGAAAGAAGCTGCCAGGATCCGCGAACGACACATCCGCGATGCCGTGAGTTGCTTAGGGTCGACGAGTTGATGGTCTTCTTGGTACAACAGTTCGGCTTTTGTGATGCTCGTGCTGCGAGTGGATACTGTAGCGGACAAAGCATCGGTGAGGTATCTGGACGGTGGGGGTGTTGAACAGGTTCGAGTGGAACAACCGCAATGTCATGACGGCGTATCGAATGCGAGAAATACTGAGCCTAGGCGTATCTATTGGACACAAGCAAGACGATTACGACAGTTGAGGGTATGAACGGCGCCTGGACGTTGTGTTTGTGGATCAGGGGTAGGTATTCATTCTTGGTTACATTCAAGCGAGCTTGATTGATGCTTGTACATGCTTTCCTTCCGACGCTGTATGCCAACAAATGCTTCTCTCCTGTCGGGGTTCGTTTGTTCGACTCGAGTCAAGGCAACTAGTTTTTCCTCCGAACAGGTAGCTCCACGTTAGCGGTCATGGGCAGTTGTCGAAGATGCACGCTAACCTACATGTGAAACATTACTGGCTGTTGATGCGTCAATGTACATCTTTGTTCTTGCAACGACTTTCTTTCAGGCTGCACTCGAGAAAGAGTTGAAGCAGCACTGCAGAGACCAGAGGGCGGCGCTGGCCAGCCGGCTCCGAAAGCGAAAAGCGGCCAAGGAAGAATCCCTCCGCCGCGCCGGTGCGGGGGAGGAAGAGACGGCTGCAGCGTTGCAAACTCTGGAATTCGAGGCGGAAAGGTGACGACCGGGAATGGGAGCCTGAACCAAAGCCTGGATGTTGTATGTTCAGGGGCAACCGAGGAAAATGCTGAGCCTGTATATGTGTTCCAGCTAAGAACTGAAATCAAGAACCGCATTCAACATCATCACAGAATGACAAGTTTCCTGTGCAGGGGAAGCCGCCTGGGCTGCATGAACATAACGGCAACTCAAGAACTACAGCACACACAAGGGCAACCTAACAGTGGACGCCTGTCTCAAAATTTATAACATTGCTTGCTCTTGAAAAACTCCTCAACTCTTCACTGCTGCAGCATCTACAGGTTATGGTACAACACAGGAGCGGATTAACATAAACATGGAACCAGCAGAACGATTGCGCCGTCTATGTGCACGGATTTGCAGTATGAAAACGTCGGGCAGTGAGTCCTCTTCACGGCCATGGCACCCATCTCCGACTGTCCACGAATTCTTTCACTTCCCCTCGTCTCCCCTAATTAATCTCCTCTCGTGCACAGAGATGTCGTCCAGCTCGAGCAAGCCCTGAGTGGTTTGAAGGACACCGAGGCCACCAGCCAGAAGCAAGCAGCGGCGTTAGCGTCAGGCGAGGATGAGCACCCTCAATCCGGGCTCGCCGAGCTGCGCGCTCGGCACCAGGTGCGTCGTGCTGCTTTTCGTCGTTGCGGCCAACATCCTACCAATGAGTTACTCTTTCTGAATGGCAACGGCAACAGGGACCCTCGGGCACCTGTTGGGACTAGTTTGTTCCCGCCAAGGGTTCGCCAGGGTAGGAATAGGGTTGAATGGGCGCTCGGCAGCCACTGCAAACATATTTGTGACGCGATGACCCCTGGAGATTTTCCCGCTAAATAACCTCATCCAATCGTATCTAGGGGAGTTATGGGAGTAGGTGCCGTGTACCCAAAGTCAGCCTGCCTGAGGTACAGCCAGCTTCCAGGGCGAGTTCGTATATATGCTTGTTTCCCCCCACCTTGTCGCGTGTAATCGATCCTCTGACTGCTGTGCACTGCTACAGGAAAGCGAAAACTTCCTTAAGGATTCTCTCCGAGCGGAGGCCGGGGCGAGGCGGGCGCGTATGCGTCAGAGGATCGCCGCGCGCACCGCCGAGCGCGTCAAAGAGCTCACGGCGCAACGCCGCAGCAAGGATGAGATCCACGCGGAGGTAGCTGCCATTCGAGACGCTGGTGAAGCCGAGGAGAACCGATTTGAGGCGGTGAGTGTTGTTTTGTGTGAACTTAGCATTAGGCTCGTGAGAAGCGTGGGAGTAAGTGAGGTCGTGGTTGTTCGTACGACAATCACTGCGCCGGTGAGTGGTGTTTCTGTGAACTCAACATTTGAAAATGTGAGTTTTTGTTTGTTCGTACGGCGATCACTTGACCGGAAAATGCGAGGGGCGCAGAGGGCACGGGACCGTATGGCGGTTACCGGTGCTGGCGGACGTGACGGGCGATGCCGGTGTTCACCGTAATTCCTAGAGGAGTGGAGCGAAATGATGACTGGATTCGTTTGCTCCAACTTGCGGCAAACGAATTCACACCTGCGGGACAGCAGCACGCCGTTCAACAACCCGTAGTACCCCTCGTTCCCCAAACCCTACCTCATGTATACTCAACGATCCTCTTGCTGCCCGCCCGCCGGCCCTGATTCCTACCAATGACGTCCTTGCATTTTTTCGGAAAAATTGACAGGTCCTCGCCACTGAGGCCGAGGCTCGCATCCACGCCGCTCGCGAAACTGCCCTTGCCGCGGAGACAAGTCTAGAGGTGACGCAGGAAGAAGCGCGCGACCTCCGCAAGAACCACGAGAATGCCATGATCGCGCTTGCCGCTGAAATGGCCGAGAAGCAGCGGCGAGGCAAGGAAGGCGTAGGGGCCAGGCTACAGGTAAAGCAACGCGAGGCTGAAGTATCGTTGCACTGGGGCATGGGCCGTTCAATCCACGTGTAATTTCCAAGATATACCCGACATATCGACGTTTACAGAGTTCTTCAAAGTGTTCACCGTACGATGGGGTAGGGTATGAAGATGCCCGAGGAATAGCATCATGGCTAGATTCGTAGCAGTCAGAGCTGGTTGTGCTGGAGTATTGTCGTAGCTCTGGTGGACAGGATTGCAACGGTAAGGTGCGGATTCTTCGGTCCCGGTAAACGCTGACAACCTCTGATACAATTCGTGTGCATCCGATGACCTACGTGCACCTTTGCTCTCAGCATGCACCCCATGTCCTGACTACTGCGAGGTTCGTTTTTCTGATCACCTCGTTTGACAATCGATCGGTTATTTTCCCCTTTGTCTCTGCCGAAATAGGAAAAGAAGGCTAAGCGCCTGGCAGAGTTGAAGAAAGTCAAGGCGAAAGATGACGAGGTGCAGGACGAGCTCGCCCGACTGGAGCAAGAAGCGGAGAGAGAGCAGAAACAGGTTGAGGTAAGCACGTGATTTTCAGACTTGCGTTCGCAGATAGTCGGGGATCAATCTGGACTCGCTTGCGGCTTGTTGTTTTCCATCGCTAACCGCCGCGCACGCGACTTTTGTATGGCATGCGAATTACTTTGCACTTAAGAAGAACAAGTGTCAAGATTGTTTAGGCTGCGGTGGAGAAACATAACGTACAAGCTGGATACTCTCACATCATTCGTTCGTTCGGCTTCTTGCAGCGTTTCGCCCCCCAGCTTCGTGCTCTCTGACCTTGGGTATCGAGCACCAGGAGGTTTAATGCAACGGGGCATGTATCCGTTGTCAAGTTAGTTGGTGAATCTTACTGGGAAGGTTGTACATCAATCCACCATGAAACTGTCTACTTGGCAACCACGCGTTTGCTGCTAACAGGCGGACATCGAGCAGGAGGCCGCGATTCTTGAGCAGGCTGAAGCGAAGATGCTCGCCAAGCGAGCAGCCGAGGTAAGTGAACAGCGAAGAAATTCGATCTGAACAGGCAAACTCTCCTCTAACAAGGCTGCCGAGAAACTGCAATTTCAGGCATTCAGAGGTCGCCGATCAACGTATGTCTCTGGCGCTCTCTCCCGCTCCGTGCTCGACGTTTTCCTTGCTCTTCGTCTAATACCTTCGAATCTAGGGTTCACTCGTTGTACTGAAATATTCTCATCAGTCAACCAAAACTGTCTCTTGCCCAACTCTTTGTTGTAGGCTCGTGCCACCCGACTGACGGCCGAAAGTTCTAGACGAGCAGGCGAGCTAGAGCTCCAGAAGATACGTCAGGCGCACGAAGAGAATCAGGTGAAAATTCGGGATGAATACGAGGAGGAGAGGAAGGAGTGTAGGCAGTGCTTTCCACGTGTCCAATTCAACAAGAGAGAGAGACGTACTTCATACACAACGTGTCGTGATACTAATATACGCTGCAGAATGCGAAACATGCCAAAGCGCCGAAATGTTGCACGCACGAACTGTCTCGAGTTAGTACATGCAGGTCACTGGCGAGCCGGGCATTCAGACGTACAAACCTTATTCCACCACCCCCCTGCAGTGCTAGTCTGGTCACGCAGTTCAGTACTTCGGATCGATCCAACATACTCCGTAGATGGCGTTACGAATCTCAAGGGACAAACACGTACAGCGGCTTAACACGGCTGCACGCTACACTTGCTCAACTTTCAAGAGCGAAATTAAATCAAACCAACAATCTGACACTGTGCAGAGGATTCTAGAAGAAGCTCAGGAGAGCAAGCGGAAGCTTCGTCAGCGGACGCTGGCGGAGAGGCTGGAGCGCCGACGCCAGGAGAAGATGAACGCCTCCATCGCTGCTTTAGAAAGCGCCGAAGCTCAGCAGAAGGTGAATACTGGTACTCCATGTGTTTTGTGTCGGGAAATGGTGTATAGAGGATCGTTTGTTAAGGGGTTCGGGATACTGAGTGAATCTCACAGCGGTGGAACGTCTGAAAACTGTGTGGCCTGACGTCACACAATCCCCCGGTTTCCGCCCGCGTTCTGTCTCTTCCTTCGGTATGCTGCGTCATGTTTTATTTTCCTGTCTCTCGGCTTCGTGAAGCGAGGTATCAAACATGGACGATGGTCGCAGAAATCTTGCCGGGTGGAATGTACTTGTCTCTACCCGTCCCGTCTTGAGGTTGTCTGTATCATCTACTCCATCCTACCGCGTATCTCGTTATAAACACCAACCAGTTGGCTGCTTCCTTGGAGAAAGAAAGGGTTGAAGCTAGGGCGGAGTTGGAGGAAGAATTGGTCAAGGAAGCATGCCAAGAGCTGGAAGTGCATGCGCAACGACAAGCAAGGTGATTCGCTGATTGTCGCGGTGCCTATCACAACTTCACCTCTTCTGAAAATGTCTTCGTAGACAGCTTCGTTACTTATTGTTGGAGAATGTAAAAGGGCTAGAAATTGATGGTTGGAGGTGATCCGATGGTTTGACATCATGTTGATGCACGACATGATGTGCGCAGAGCCGAGCATGCCGTCCGGATGTCGGCCAAAAATGCGATCGACGAGGCTGAGAAGAGGGCAAAGCTCGCCAGGGAGGAGCATGAGGAGTCTACCAAGGAACTCGACATGCAACTGGCGGCGGCAAGGGTAAGATTGGCTGTCCAAATCCAAGTTTAATGCGAACGGGCGAAGTAGCACCAACCGCGCCTCAGCAACGACGAGCGCTCATCATGTTCTAGGTTTCAACTTTAGTTCCGAATCTTCCGTTCGTTCTCATGATCAAACTTTCCTATCTAGTCAGTTTTGAGGACTAACCAAGCGAATGCTATCAAATACCCTAGGGATTTGTTGACACCGTTCGTTTCCCACACGACCCAAGAGACCAGTCTCGTGCATGAGAACCACGCTGTAGGCAGGGAAGCACCTGATCCTACCAAATAGTTCCAGCCGCCAAATCTGTTATTTTCCCCACATTTTTGTCGACGACATTGTACTCTGATACTCGGCCGGATCGATCTTCTATTACGCCAGATTACCCAGGGGAACAAGCTCAAAGATAGGCTTGCCAAGAAGCGCAAGGAACGCGAGAAACAGCTCACCAGGGAGAGCGCCGATGCCGAGGCTGTCAAGGTATTTCTCGTCTTCCGAAGTTTTTCTCCTATGCGAGCAGACTGCCCGGAGCACCGTCGTTGCCGTTTCGTTCTTACGTCGTTATTGTTGCGCATGCTGCCGCTGGTGCTGGTGCCGGTGCTGGCGCAGCTATTGCTGTCGTTGTTTTTTCTGTAGCTGTGAAAATTGACGATATCAGCAAGTTCAGACACTGTTCGGTATCATGAACCTGCAATCATCCTTCGGCTTTCGGTCCCGGCTCGGCCAACGCGATAACATTGGCTTGCTTTGCGTATCGCAGGAGGCGAGGCGGATCATGGAAGAGGAAGAGCAGAGAGAAGTGGCCAGGCTCGAAAACCACCTTGCGAGAGAAAGGGTAAGTTCTTGTCTCGACTGGTTTCTGGAGGCTCACAGGAGAGACAAATGAGCAACCTTGCATAAGGCCCGAAAACATGTCGTACGTGTCGTTCTTAGATAGTCCAGCTCACACCGGGTCGCTGTAGGGAACCTCACAGTGTACGGTAGCCCTGTGTCGTCATCCCATACGAACGGCCACCAATGTGTGGGCTGTTTTTATCACAAACAAGCTCGACGTGATTCTCGAGCCGTGGACTCCTTGATGCGTTGAGGATTGGTATTGCGGTGTTGAAACCACTCAAATCTTCGTACTCGTTGGAATGTTGAATGGGAAATCGACAACGCCCTGACTTGCGATCGCCCATAGCTCGAGGCGTTTTATTGCAAAGATTGTCTCACCGCCATTGCTGTGTCACACATACATACCTCAACGTCTGGTGTGGGCCAACAAAACAAACAATAAAAAACAGGAGCGTCTCCACGAAGAAAACCTCGCTCGTGCTAAGGCGAGGCGCACGAGAGAAGAGGCGGAGGAACGCGACAGGGCGATCGCCGCGGCCCAAGCGGCCGACCTGGCCAAGCAAGAAGCGGTCGGCTGTCTTCAGAGGCTCCAGAAACAACATGCGGAGCAGGTGATACAGCCTCTGGAGCGATGCTGGCAATGGCTACGAAGGATAGGGGATGTCCTAATGTGTTCGTGTAGGGTGTGCTTGACCATGAGCCAGTTATTCCTGTCGGGAAGAGTGTGCATAGGGCGTTGAGCACGCGGAAATTTACTTCAGAATAAGTGAACGGCCGGAGGTGTCGAGCGAGTTTGTCGCACGACAGCCGCATTCGACGATGGGCCACAACCGTCCACAGTTTTTGCGAAAGAAATCCGAGCGTAAGAATATGTAGTGTTTCCATTCAAGATGCGGTGGTGGGTTTATCGTTAGCCCTACCGTACGGAAAGTGGCCACAAGCCTCTCCGCGGTCCTTCCCATGCCTTCTGCGTGATCGAATCCCTTCGTGGTGCCTACGACTATGGCACACGAACCAACGGTACGCGTGTTGACTCCACCACAGGCCCCTTGCCTCCTCCTGCCGACTTGACCCCGAAGACCTAAAGATTGGTCGACCATTCCTTTGTTCAATACCGTGATGCATGGCGCAGCACGCCGCGCTCGAGCACCAAATGGAGGAGGAAAAACGGTCTCGAGAGGCCAAGCTCCGCGATCGGCTGGCCAAGAAGCGTAAGGCTAAGGAGGAAGAGATGCAGCAGGCCGCCTTGTCTGAGCGGGTGAGTGGAATTCCTACGCGACCAGACTCGACGAATCATCGTTCTACCGTAAACCATGTCGTGCGCAGAAGCCCATCAGCTGTGCCTTTGATGGGCACACCAACAAGTCAAATTTGCATGCACGCCTGCCGCGTTCTCGCCCTAGAGCTTTGGCTGGAGTCCGACTTCAAAACCTCGCGAGAAGTTTATTGCACTCCTCGGCAGATTCTTCTCTGGTGTAACGGTGAACAACCGGCTTCTCATTAGGCAAACCACACCGTCTGTTAAATACCTCCACACCCTGTCTGGACAACTTGTAAAACGTGCCACAGGAGAAGCAGATTGAACAAAAGAATCTGGAGGACGAAGAGCGAGCTGAGCGACAGCGATTCCACGATCAGGCAAGGATAGCACAACATATGTTGGCTGAAGCAACGGCATGCGCAGCCCATTTTCCTCTCTAAACTCGCGAGTGGCAAAACGAAGGGCAAAAAGCTAAGGCATCGACTTACTTTGTGTTTAGACATCGACCTTTCAATCCTGATAGAACAATCGAACTCTATCAACAATGCGCGAAGTAGCGCTCATACCCTGCCACCATCTTCACTCTGCCAAAGCTGACAAAAAACAATCTTTCGCGATGCTACCCCAGCTGGAAGAGGAAATAAAGAAGAGCGCCGACGCGCAGAGGCGGCATCAAGAAGAGGCCCTGGCAGAAGCCACGGCGGAAGCCGCTAGGACTACGGAGCTTGCAGCAGCAGCGGCGGCGAGGGCGGCGGCTACGGACGCCGTGCGAGAAGCGGTCGAGGCCGCGGAACAGGAAGATTTCAAGCGGAAGGCACAGAAGCTGAAGGTCCGTCGTTATGATGGTGGTCACCGTGCATGGGAGTCAGTTTGTTCGGTTGCCTATTCCTTTTGGGCACGGCCCAGACGGAACTGAGGCGTGAATCGAGCTCCCGAAACCAATGCTACACTCTTCAGTGCTATTTTGCTCTCATGAATTAGCATCGCTGTTGATGGCACGTAAGATGATATTGTTGGCGTTGTATCGGGCTCCGCAATCAACCATATCAGATCCCAAGCTCCAGTCTTTGTGGGTAGAGTAGGTTGTTGGGGAAATGAGCGCCACCCCATTCCGACTGGCTCTGTACACAGGAGCTCAGCCTGGCCAACGAGGAGAAAGAAAAGGCCGCACTTGCTGGATCTTCCGCGACGAGCAAGTCTAGGCTCATGGACAGGCAAGAAGACACATTTATAGTTGGAGACGTTCCGGCGTCTAGTTGAAAAGAAACGACAACGTTATTGCCACTCAGCGGTTGCTGGAGTTTTATGCCATCAATGAAGAACACGACCTTGTGTGTAACACGATGAGTGGGGAAAAGCCATCTTGTTGTGTTGACATAATTGACGGGTTTGAAGGGGTCTATCACGGTGAGAACGGAGAGACAGATGCGGCCGCTTTGACCACGTCTGCCCACGCGCCGTACGATGTTTGGTGTTGATATTCAGGCTGGCGAAGAAGAAAGCGAAGGCTGAAGCCAAGAAGCGCGAACTCGAGGCCGCTCAAAAAGTGGAAGAGGAGAGGCTTTTGGCCAAGCACAAGGTATATTCTACTGCAAAAGGTGCCGGCCTGACGCCATTGCTGACCGCACGGCCAGAAAGAGTGCTGCCCCGATAATGGATATTCGTGTTGTGCCTTTGCGACGAAGGGTGTTGCACCTCCTGACATACTGGCTTGACCAAACACACTTGGAGGATCGCGTTCTTCTGGGTCTCGCCTCCTGGCCTGGACAGTTGCAGGACACGTTGCTCGACTTGCAAGAAAAAAGCGATACACTGGCTGTCGACATATACGTTTTCGCGGCATGCCAAACCCAACTCTCCATCTCGTACGACCGCGTCGGCCCTCTCAGAACCCACCACATCTTCCCACGAAACGACCCACGAACTCGAAGGTAGGTAGAAAAGCTAATTTCGGTTGTCTGCTGCAACACTAGTCTATATCTCTGATAGCCTCTACCACCATGTGCGTTTGCTCTTGTCGTTCGCAGGAAGAAGTGGAGGCTGCGAGAGCGGCGGCGGCGCCCGGATGGACCGGTGATATCGCGTGGGACGAGGCTGTCATGGTGGCGATGGCGGAGGAGCCTAGAGCTGGAGAGACGCAATCCGATCGCGAGGCGCGGGTTTTGAAGTCGGTGCTCGAAGCGGGGATCGTACCTGAGAAGAAGCTCGGGAAGGTGGGTCCAGGGCGGGCGGGGTGGCGGCTTGGTGGAACGGACTATCGGATCATGGTACGGTCGGTAGTTGATGCTCTCTTCCTCCTTCGTCCCTCCTTTCGGACCCTTGAACGCCTCTATTCACGAATCTGTTTTTCTCTTGTCTTCCAACCGGCCAAATGCACTTGCTGTGGCGTCATCAACCTGCTCGATGGTGTGCCGCCCGTCGGTGACTCGTACAGTGCGTGGAGCTCGTCATGTCGGGCAGACACGACAAGGAAACTGCCGAGTTGCTGACGACCCAGGTGCGAAACATCAGAGTACCATGCATTCAAAATGCGAGTTGGAGAACTTCCCCAGTCGTACTTCGGTAGGTTTGAAGTATTGCGCAACGGACTGGCATCCCACGGAGTTACGTTCGGTGATGCCGATGGTGCGGTCGCTTTGTACACCCTCCAGCGGATGCGCAGCATCTCTTTTGAGTGTTCACCATGGACTCATCATACGAGGAGTCCATGGTGAACGTCGAGAGCAAGTGATGCGCACCTGATGGAGGGTGTACGAAGCGGCCGTACCATCGTCATCACCGAACGTAACTCCGTGGGATGCCAGCAGCAGCTCATCGGGAACATCGCAACGTTCCCCTATCTTAATGAGACAAATGCGAGTTGGAGAACCTCCCCAGTCTTCGGTAGGTTTGAATTATTGCGCAACAGGACTTGGCATCCCACGGAGTTACGTTCGGTGATGCCGATGGTGCGGTCGCTTTGTACACCCTCCAGCGGGTGCGCAGCATCTTTTTTGAGCGTTCGCCATGGACTCATCATACGAGGAGTCCATGGTGAACGTCGAGAGCAAGCGCTGTGCACCCGCTGGAGGGTGTACGAAGCGGCCGTACCATCGTCATCACCGAACGTAACTCCGTGGGATGCCAGCAGCAGCTCATCGGGAACATCGCAACGTTCCCCTATCTCTTTAATGAGACACCCGCGCGACGCCCTGCCATAGAAAATAAAACGGGTAGCAGTAAGATCTTCGCTTTTGAAGCGCCCTACGATATCTGGGTGTGCAGAGAGAAGACCCACAGCTCTCGGGTCGACCTACCCTTGTGACCTTACTGCTGACGAAACGGGGTGCGACAAACAAGGTGCCGACTTTCGTTACCGTTCAACTGTATTCGCTCTAGTGAATGTTCACCATGGGAACACAAGCTCTTTTCGGCTGTCCAAGAAAGCAACCACGAGTCACTGCATTCTTATTTCTCTGCACGTGTGGCGCTTGGACGTTGTCAATAAGACGGACGTTCTCTTGGTCCAAATGACTTAACGAAACTCGCCTCATGCCCGTACATTCCAAATTCTGCATGTATGTCCTTGCTCTTATCTTCCAGTACAAACAACGGGCATCCAGGTTGGCCACCTCTTTGGGCGAGCTTCTTGTCGAGAAGAATACAGCACGCGCAGAGGCCATGCAACGGTTAGCCAAGGTGAGCTGGACACACGGGAACTTCGCCTGATCCACTGTCTGACGCTCGCGCAGTGTGGATCAACTTTCCGGCAGAGGATGGGGTTGCCGTCTTCGTGAAAACATTACGGAGTAGGTCGAAAGACACACGAAAGGGACAAATGGGCACAAAGAAGTACCTCACTCTTGGGTGTTGGAGGCGGGTTCTTCAGAGTCGGGGTACAGCCACAATCGCACACACGCTCCGCACGCCTTTGCACGAGAGGCCAGGCACAACGAATTGATATGAAACTTTTCCGACAGCTTCTCGTATGTCACTCAGAGGACATACAGTGGCGGGTGGGGAGAAAATGATGAGCCTTTTAAGTGTTCTAGTAGAATATTTCTCACAGCGGTCGAAACGATGACAATAAAAACATCGTCGTATGCTCAGATGAACGCCACCGACGAAGAGAGGGCCGATGCAGCAGCCGACGTCGACGATGACTTCGCCGGGCGTCAGCAACAGATGGAGACGTCGATCATACAGGTTGAGACAAAAGTTTTCGCCTACTTTAGCATGCAGCAGTCAACAAGATGTGGCGCGCAGCGAAGGGTTGCAGAGTAATGCACAGTTGTCACTGAGCATTCATGGTAAGCGGTAGCTTTGGAAGGTAGAATGTATTCCCTGACTACGATGTGGAGAAGATTTTTTTTTGTTTTTCCACACTAACACTATGGGCGCTGAAATTCCGTTTCTCCGAAATCCCCAGCAAATGGAGCCTCCTCATCTCGAGCAACAGCTGGAGCTACGCCAACGCCAGCTTCAAGAGATCGCCGGAACGTTTAGGGTAAGCAACACTGTGTTTCTTACCAAGCCAGTGTTGCTCAGCATTAGTCGATTCTCATTCACCTAAAGAAGTCGCGCGGCACCTTGGAGCCTCTCCCTTGTTGTTGTTTGTGTTGTTGCCGTCGTCGACCTCTGTCCAAGGCCATGATTTGTTCGTCTTTGAAACCAAGGAATTAGCTGTCGTGGTCATGGGGTATGTGAGTCCAAACGTTTACGAACAAGAGAATGTTCTGCAATGACCACGGACGAAGGAAACGATCCCCAGAACTAAAAGTCGAGCAACCGACAACATGGCAAGGAAAGTACCCAAACATACGAACCCATTTTGGAAGTCTTCTCCAAACATATACATTCTTTTGTTCTGGCCGGATACACGAGGTTGTAGCAATAGTGTACAAATCTTCGTTTTGATGAAAGAACAACCAACCCTTTTAAACATCAACAACAGGCCATCGCACCCGAATCCGCCCTGGAGCGGCTGCAAGAGATCAATGCCACCAGGCACGAAGAGGAGCTCGAGAATTTCCATGCTGCCATGGAGCGGGAGAAGGAGGAGCGTCTCAAGCGCCTTCAAGAAGAGAGGAGCAAGTGAGTCGAGCTTGCCTATTGCTAGCTACGTGCCCGTCGGTGGAACACTCGCCATAGCCATATTCGCTGGTGACAACATTGCTGGGGACGGTCTCATACGTTTTGGCGGAGCCAAGGGCATGGCACGGAACTTTACGCATTGTGTCGCGCGTTGTACCGCCTGTGGACGTACCCAGTCTTGAGCGGTCCATCACAGCCAAGCGCGCGAGTGAGTGAGAACCTTCCGGTACGATGAACAACAACTCGTGCACGTGGAAGTGCGTCCCTGTATGCTGTATCGCGTGGCACTGACCAGGCGACATGTGCGGGTCGGGTGGTTAAGAGAGATGCGTTCGTCTCTTCACAAGGTTTGAAGTCATGGCCCATTTGCCCTGTGGCAGGTTCGAGGAGCAACTTCGTCAGCGTCACGACGCCGAGATGCAGAGATTGCAGGCGGAGGAGCAAAAGGTCTTGGATGTCGAGAGAGAGGCACAGGAGGCACGCCTCAAAGAAAAACAGGTAAAAGGTGGAGGTTGCGAAATTGTGACCGCAAAATGTAAGCATGCAAGGGGCTTTATCGTCGGCGACAGTCATGGGAGAAAGTCTTGTAGCGTCGGGTTTAAAGGAGAAACATGAAGAGAGAACTGCGCGATAAAAAACTGAATCGAGCGAGCACAGACAGAGACAAGAATTGTACATCAAGGTTAGCCCATCGCTCTTTCTGCACGAAATTTCCGAAGCGTTCCTGAACCTGAACATTCTCTCCTGTTCGCAATGGGAGGGGGAGATTTGATCAAACAGTGTGACTGGAACTGCTTCAGTGTGCAACCCACGAAGTACTTATCTACTTGATTCGCACGCTTTGCGTAAACGCGCCCAGGCGGAGCTCGAGAGGCAACGAGAAGAGGAAAAGCGCAAGATGGAGGAGAGGAGCGACCAGCTCAATGCCAGCCAAAAAGAAGCTCTTCTGGAGCAGTTCAAGCTTGACCAGGTAACAAGTTGGTCCAGGCGCATCATTGCCTTTTCGATACGAGGGACGTACTCGAAACGTCTGGTCGCCAAGGAACGCTGCTTCGTTGCAGCTGTTTGTGTTTGGGATTGGAAGGTTCTTGTCTTAAGGTATTCGGCGCTCCGTCGAACCTTTGTCTCCCGCGTGTGCGGTTCTTCCCTAACCCTCGTTATAACTACTCGATCTCATGAAGGCGGCCGAACTCGGCGCACTCAAGGCCGAGGAACAGTCTTCCAAGAGCAAGCTCGAGCAGAAGCTGGCCGCTCGACGGCAGAAGAAGACGGAGGAAATGAGGAAAAGGGAGGAGAGGCAGCTCAAGGAGAAAGAGACCAGGGATGCGCAGAGGCTGCAGGTGTGGGAAAATAGTGTCACGCACAGCACCGCCCGCACTACATAAGAGCGAATTCTACAGATCGTCAATGACATGTCGTAAGTTGGCCCTGACGTTCTCCAAAGAGCAACGATGCGCATTCCCGTGTAGACCAATACGCATATCGATGTGCAGACGTTGTGCCAGCACCAGGAGCTAACCTGCACATTCGTGGCAGCTGGTTGAAACAAGCAGAGCGACCACGATCATCGCGATTCCTCACACTCTTTCGCAAATCACGGATGTATTCCGTTGTGGGACTGCAAACGCCACGACAACCGAGAGCAGGAAATCGAGAGGCAGACCCAACTGGAGGATGCCGCAGAGGTCGGAGCACTGTCCGCTTCGGGAAGCGTCAGCGCACTGAAGGTGGACATCGACCAGGCAGCGATTCAACTAGCACGGAAGGTAAATGAGTGTTTTGGGCCTCTGCGTTCTTTGCTGCGCTCTCGTTTCAAACCTTGCCGCCACGTGTTTGCAGTGGCCGATTTTTTGGTTTGAGGAAGACATGCAATCGGTGGTTTTTCGTGCGGTGCGTGTTATCCCAGCGAGCGAGTGATGCTGAGCGAAAACGAAGAAATCCGTGCGCGTAGGGTGCACCATCGACACGACACCTCCGAAATGTTGCTAAAAAAGTGTGTTTGGGCTGAGTACGAGACTTATTCCATGCATAACGACACTCCATGAGAACATGTTTTTGTCTCGCCCACCATCCAACCCTATGTACATTCCATTCGTACCCGAACTAAACTCATCGTGGATGCTTCTCCCCCCCCCCTCCCCCCGTCCAATGACGACGCTTAACCGAACAACCAGAGAGGTGGCCCGAACGAGGCCAAAGAAAGGCTGAAGGAGACACTCGCCGCCAACGAGACGAGGTAAGCTTGAACAACCCAAAGTTTGTGTACTCAAATATGTGTCCCAGCTTTTGGGCTCAACGATTCCACACTACAAGCGTAATGAGTCAACAAACTAAACCACGATGCATTCAATGTAGAGCAGAAGGGGCACACGGGAAGAGACCATGCCGTTGTGTACACTTTCTGGTGCCAACAACGGGGGCTAACTCAATGGGGTCACAACCTAGTCACAACATGACTCTGACTGTTGTCAGAGCTGGGGCCTCAAGGGGAGACGGAGAACAAGGTGGTGCCAAGATCGCGTAGTAATGATCAGGTCAATACCCATGCAAGCGCCACCTGATTTTGTCAGGCGCTTTGCACGTGTAGCGGCGAGAATCGGTCCCTACTACCAGGTGTTGTTGATACAAGGGTAAGTCGCCTGGAATACTAGAAAAATTCAGCTATTGTTCTGTGCCTGATGACACTTTTCTGATTACAATACAAGTCGGTCGTGTAGCGCAAATACAGAGATGACACGTATGGGAGCTCATTGGTACCATATTGTCTAAAAGGGAAACTTCAATTCCCTGAGGTCGCATGACCACCAGTTTCGAATGGACCTAGTCGCTTTTCGGTCTTCACCCCTGTTGCTGGCATCCAATGAAAACAACGTGCACAGGTTGAGTCCATCAACCAGCATTCCCCGGGACCCCCTGCGAGTCTCAGACTACACACAATCAAACCCACGATCTCGAAAGCCCTGAACACTGGCGACTCATTCTCGTGAAGCTCCCCCGTTGGGGTCCACTCCACATGCCTATCGCCTTTCATCCTCCCGAAGAACCACCGCAACACGTCGGCTTTCCTGGGTTCACGTCAACTTGCAGGAAAATGGTCCAAAGGCACAACAGTGTCAGCGGCAGGGGATCTTTGTCCGGGGCCGGCGGGGGAGCCTCTGCGGCGGCCGCTGCCGCCGCCGCCACGGCCGCCACGGCGACGGCGTACACGCACATATCGTCCAAGTTGGAGGGAATCGAGGGCCTGATCTCGGCACTAAAGGTGCGACTCATCTGCTGCACTACGGTGGTAAATCACTTGGAATCGATTCATGATCCCATTCACACCATCGACCGCATATATTCCCTGGATGCATTTATTTACCCACACTTCCTAATGTTTGCGAGAAAATTGGATACAGATGTTAAAATTTGGTTGTAACATTACCTATTGCGCTGGTGTTGTTTGTTGGACCTAGATATTTACTTCGCTAATGAACTTGTACAGCTTTTCAAGGCTTGTTTTCACCGTGTGCAGTATATGTAGGGGGGTTTTTACATTGCACTAGAGGACGAAGCGGGACTCACGCGGTTGGGAACGAACACGCGAGTTGCCGAGCGAGTGTAGGTCCGCAACGGTGAACAGAGATCATTGACTTCGGGGGGAAGGGCGGGGTTGAGTCTGTTGCATTAACTTGATCACCGAGCCCCGGGCACCTTGTGCTGATTGCGGTTGGCCTCTATGAAATCAGGCTGCCCAAGGGAACAGGCTGTTGGGGCCCGGCATTTCCGCGGGTGGTGACGGGTCGACACAGGTGTACAGAGACGCCGAGGATGAGGCCACAATTCCGGAGGGCAACGACTTGCAAGTGAGAGCCAGACAAGCACAAGATACATGTAAACATATTGTGCCAAAATGGCCGCAGAGTTGTTCGAAGCGATAAGCATAAGTTGGCTCTCGCATTCGGACACACACGAGCGGGAGCATTGAGCGACGTGTACGGCGAGAAAGCCACTCGCTGAACTAAAATTTCGCTGTGTGGTCGTCACCGTTGGTAGATGTAGAAGAAGTACAAAGGGTGGGCACTCCTCAACCAATACGCACCAAACCTCCGCAGAGAACCCACCACCAAAACCATACCCGTGGTCTCCACGACATCGTTTCACTCTTTCCCGGTCTTGAACAAGGTTATCCCAAGAGACAAGCTCCCGGTGCAAGCGGTCGCCCGGCTGGAGTTCGGGGAGCACCTGCTGTCGGTGCTCGGCCTTGCCGACACTGTTAGGCTTCAGGTCGCCAAGAACCTACCCCCGACGGACGTTCCTAGTCAAGGCAGCGGTACCGGTGGTAGGCTCAACGCCAACGCGTTCCGCAACTCCTACCTTTGGGAGGCTTCAACGGGCGTGCTCAATCTACACGGTTAGTGTAACCGGCGGAGATGCAACCATATTGCTAGAGTGTATTTGCAAACAGCGGTACGATCAATAATGCTGAGGGGTTTCGAATACGGCGGAATTTCTGTACGGCGATGAAGTATGAACTGCCGAAGTACTTCGGCAGGTTGTTTCGTGGATGCACTGAAGTACTTGAGGGACTTGAGATTATTGCCTTCTAGCATTTGTGGCTGCCTCGACATAACTACGTGGGTCTGATTGGCGAAAAAAAAGTTGTCAACCGTCATGCCCGTTCCATCGCCTTGTCCCTTCCTCGATATTGCCGCTATTCGGGCACAGTTCGGCGCCTTTCGAGCAGTGGAGACTTCGGGTTGGTTCTCGTGCACGCGGCGGCTCATATCCACGTCGACCCGTCGGACATGACTAATGACCTAGACCCGCGATTCACGCAGCACTTCCACCGCTCGCTCAAGGTGTTGACACAAGGTGAGGGGGGGACTACGAAAAGTCTGCACGATCTTCGGGCGAAACGGCCAAACCAGTATGTGTCGGGGGTAAAAGTCCTCGAGGTACATACCCTCTGAGATTGTCCTGTCTACGCACGGTTTTATGCTATTTGACTAAAGCACGTTAGAAACATATCGATTGCGTGCCAGGTATTGGAGGAGGCCGTGCTACCTCGTTGACAACATCCGACACTCGTGAACGACAGTGTTGGGGCGTTGTCGCTGTATGGAACGAACAACCATGTTTTGACGGCATGCCTGGTTGTCGTCTCACCTCATTTCACTGTCCCCAAAATTGTTTTGTGTACAGAGCTATTCAAGTATAGAGAATCAGCGGCACCGATGGCTGACGGCGGTTTGGGATCCCCCATCCCCAGCCCCCGCCTTGCCGGCTCTGTTCCGGGAAGCAGCGCAAAAACTGACATGGTGCTTGGGCCAGGCGGAGCAAAGTCGAAAACGACAGGGGCGGGAAGTGGCGAGTTCGCGCAGGTGAGTGAGGGATCCTTGAAAAGGATTTCAGATGGTGGGGTTGGGGGGCGACAGGACGGGGGTCCGTGTTCAGGAGGTAAATACTCTGGTGTACGTTAGGATGTCCTCCAACTCCCCGGACATTATTTTGACGTTACGGAGGTGTCCGGGCTCATCTAGTCGGTTTATTTCTTCGCTGAAACGTTGGCGTCTACTTGACCCGGCGACCCTAGTTTTCTTTGCTTCATTATCTACGACCATGCGGTATGTCTATCTACCACACATTCATACACCAAGCATTTCGGGTAGCCCTCGACGTTCGTGTTGCAATCAGGGCGATCCTAGCAATGCGAAATGACGGTGGCACCTCTTTGCAAACACCGTCTCCCCTCAATCAATCAATTAGGATCTTCTTGAAGAGAGAATGGAGAAGTACGCCCGGGCTAGTGGGCACCCGCGCTTGGTGGAACTCCTGTCGCGCCACGCCAACGAACAGAAGGATAAATTCACGCTCAGTGACGACGAGGACCAGGTACTGGCGCTATGCTGTCCACAACGTTTGGTATTGAAGGCTATTTCCCTACCACGTTGGGGGGTGACGTCTCGAGTTTTGCGGTTGGTTTTCTTTCAAGATACCAAAACCGTTCATGAACTCTACAAAGCCGTACCCCCCGATCAGTATGGTATATTCTTCTCTGAGGCGTACATCGCACGACCCAACAGAAATTCACGGCAATGGTACACGAAGTAGCCAGCATCAACCTGGACCGATACGACAAGCATGCACAAAGCACATGGACAACCATGGAAATGTTACACCAAACAACATGCCCTTCAGGGAATCGTGATTGTTGTTGTCCTTGTCGTTGTTGTCGTTGTTGTCGTTGGCGTCTGTAATTGTTCAATATCTCTGGCTTATATCTATATAGCACCTTTACGGCATTACATTTGATAGGCTACGATTTTACCGTGGTCACAAACCCACCGAAGATCGACTACACGAAGTGTACAGAAACATAATGACAAAGTTCACTTCGACTCTATGTTGTATTGTACATGGAACATATTTTCTGTACTCGTATGAAACAGAGGGACGAGGTATTCCCTTGACCTTTCATCGTGCCAGCTTTCGAAGTTATAGGATACCCTTCCCCAAGTGCAAGAGCCCCCAGCTCATGGGGTGTTTCTGGATCAAAGCAGAACGAAAAAAATCGTGATCTACAAAAAAGTTGTAGGCTATGCCCTCGATTGTTTGGTCCCAGCCCAGCTCTCTCCTTCGTCCTTGCCTTGCGTACCACAACGAAGGTGTCCAATGTGGGCGACGTCGAATACATGGAGAAATTCGACAACAGGGACGCTGATTCTATCTTTCGTTCCCCGGTCGCCAGTATCAACGGACACGAGAGTTTCGATGATGGTGCCAGCGACAACGGAAGGGAGGAGAAGAAGGGGCTATAAATAGAACACTTTTGTCTTGTCTGTTCCAAAACTTTACAACTGTTGTCTATTTTCACGTGCAACATGGTGATATTCGTAAGTCTCGGGTAGGCAGGTGGCAGTAGTGGCGCTGGCGGTGGTGGGGCTTCAATCAAAGAAGATGCCTATGAGACAATCGATCGTTCGTCGCTCGTCTCACTCAGCAATTTCACCTGTTCAAATGATTGAAGCCTCGGGTGCATACCTCCGGTGCACATGTTTCTAAGTCCAAGTGATGTCAGGGGATGCTCCACTGCTGTGTTTCTGGCCAGGCATCAAGGAACAGTGTGAGATAATAGAGAGAAACTCTGCAATAACGTTCGGTAGCAGTCGATTGAATATGTGTGATGCTGAAAGAAGAATAGAAACAGAGACATTGAGGGAAGAAGACTGGAGGGAGAGCGCACTGCCAGCAGCTCCTTCGTCGTGCGGCGCGCGGTTTGCTGGTAAGAGGTAGGTTAACGTGTAGGAGATGTTAAAAGCTAAACATTTGAGACTTAATTAATTTGTTTTGTGACTCACGGAGACCTTGGAACTCTGTGTTGGATTGGTATTCGGGAGATGATCTGGAAGGAAGACTAGTTCCACGCTGATTCGTAAATATATTACGAGATGGTGTTTCGCGTTGAGTTGGGTGCGCGCGGGGGTGGGGGGTGGGGGCGTTATGTAGATGCTTTTCTTAAAATTGAGAGAAATATGCCAGCAACATTATAGGAGATTGGACAAGGGAGGCATGACGATATATGGAGAGAGCGCTCAACAGCAGCTCCTCAGTCATGCGGCACGTGACGTGAGGTGGTTTATCAGTGAGGGCGGTAGTTCAATGTAGGAGGCCTGATTCGGTGTTAAAACTGGTTTTGGTGACCCTGTTTTCTAAGGCAGAGACACGTTGAAAATCTGTGTTGGAATGAAAGTAGGAAGATGATCTGGAAGGAAGATTGGCTGTGGGTATTTTCCGTGCTGATTGATCAAGCCATCCCGAGGTCATATCTCGCATCGAGTTGGGAGGGAGGCATGATATCGTCAGTCGTGGCAGAGATGTGCGCAGGTTTTGTGATATCTGGGAGTACGATGGTACGACGGAGCCCTTGATGCTCCACGATGCGGTTCACTCCACTCTCCAAATAAGATTTTGGCGTGTGAACCACTTCGGTTATTTGCTCGTGCTCTGGCCACCCGGGTGTTTAAGAGAGTGCACTATTCTGTACTTAGGATATACAGCGAACAGCACACTGAACAAGTACTGGTTTGTTCCGAGGGAACAGCCATCCACAAATGATTGGACGACTGGTTCTATCTGGTATTCACCGCAGCGAGCCTGTCTGCTCTCTACGAAAACGCAAGAGTTGGACCGGTGAGTGTAACGCGGGATGCGTATGAGCAGCAGATTTGCATTTCAAGCAGCACGCGTCGACCAACCAAGCCATTCTCATAGCCGCTGATCGCACAGAGTACCGCAAATCCTCCGAGAACGCCCTGGTCCAGGAGAATGTCCCTCCCCTCACCGAACAAAATACCGCAGGGGGATCACAATATAACTCAAGCTTTTGGTAGTACCTGGGTGATCGTATGGTTTCTACCCGCTGAGGCATACCTGTGACTCTGCGGGGCGTTCAGTTCAATTCACGAATACGAAGAAGGAGGTGCCCTCACTGCAGCGCGTTCAACAATATACGCAAGACATTCATTCCGGCGAACACTACTTCTTTTTTTTTCACCGTTTGTTGATATTGTTTCGTCAAATCAAGCGCTGCTCATCTACTGTATTGTATTTAGTCTACATGTGTTCTCGTCCTCCCTCTGTACGTCTCGCTACAAATAGGTTAGTCACGGCCACACGATCAAAAGACCGTAGAACCTCTCTGCCGTATGTGAACTGAAAACTCACCAAAACTATCAAGCGATACTCTCAGTCTCTCCCATTGTATACGAATCTGCCAGACCAAGAGACTTATACCGAACATGAAAAACAGAGCAATGAAAAGAATGGACGTAAGCGAGAAACAACAACGCACACGCTCTACAGTTCAAACCGTTGGTCGACATCATGGGCTCCGGGGCGAGACGTTCAAGTGTCAAGAAGGTTTTTGTTGTGTTCAGGAGGTGCGTATATCGGAAGAAAGAACGCAACACCCAGCGGGGATTTTGGCCCGAGCGGTGTTTTTTCGTGCATCGATCGCTCGCAGATCGCCGCCCCTTACCTTTGAGAACTACCTTTGAGAACCTCCTTTGAGAACCTCCTTTGAGAGCCACCTTTGAGAACGCCCGTGGGGCGCGTTCTTTCAAACATATCTTACGGCCCGCGCGGGGCGTTCTCAAAGAGGTTTTGAAGACGCTTTCATCCTCAGCAGCTCCATCTTGTGAGCACCACGTACTCCAGTCACTTCAAATTCTGCACAACCATATTGCGTCCCCCGCGACCATGAGCTGTCTACGGGGATGATACTCACCTCCTCTGCGTTCTTGGAAGCCCTCCGCATGGCTTTCCTCCTACAGGAGCGTGACAAGAACACAAGCGTCCTCTGTAGGCATTCGACATGGCCAGCCGTGAGCAGTACTAGCGGAAGCAATAACACCAGCATGATAGGGCTACAGAGCCATGCAGTGCAACATGTCGATAAAAGAACGGTTAGAGGGGGCAATCACCACGACACAGGGTTGAGAGCGCGTACCTGGTTCTCTCCACACGGACATTTCCGCCAGAGTGCTCAAACTTCTTCGTCTCATCCCGTATAGAACTCGGCACCACTTAAGAACCGCTTATGTTGCGTGAGGCTCGACGCTTATTGGTGGCCTCAAACCGAGCAGGCACCCCCTAGGATAAACGGTTATTATTGCTACGCCGATAACCCCATGCTGAAGACACAGACAGGTCGTGCTGATGGACGGGGGATGGGTGAATTTATGAGTACATATAGCGTGTTTAACACCAACAGTATATTCGCCCCCGCCCCCCTCCCCCCACCTCCGCGCAACACGCAAGGAAGATAAAATGGCAGTATGCATGATAGGGGAAAGGAGAGGTTGCCAACCGCAGCTTGGGAGGCGAGATGGCAAACAAGAAGAGGGGAAGACAACCCACGGAGTGGGTTACCGTTGTAGATGACGAACGGAAGGAGTTCGAAATCGATAACGGTGATGAACTGGACACGGCAGATCTAGCGGGGTTCAAGAGGAAGTTATCTCTTTCGTCGCGAGAGAAGATCAGAATCTACCCAAAGAAACCAAAGACAACGAGAGTCTAGATGTGTACGGAATGTTGGAAGAAGGGAATGGGTACCTACATGAACCATTGGATGCAGGGACATTGGCCTTCGAGAACGTAGACCTAAAGATTTAGGAAGGTAGACCTTGACGACGACAAACATCTTCAATGTGCGAAGGCGGCTCCGAGTGCGAAGACCGGGTTCATTCATTTTCAGTAGTTGGGGAATGTCCGTTGTACGACAAGGAGAGAGAAATGTTTATGACTGGTCTGGGAACAGTAGACTAAAGGTACGGGGGGAGATGTTTGAGCCATCGAATAGCCAGGAGAAGACGGCAGCTGTACTGGGGCCAAGCAAGTGGGCTCAAGAGGCGGGAAGTGATATCGATAGGATACAGTAGACAGACTACTGTCAGGAAATAATTTTTGGGGCACCTATGGCGAGTTGGAAGGGACGATTGGCCATCGGTAATCGGCCCTGTGGGAACAGTGCTCCGTCCTCTCGAGGACGTGCGGTCAATGGTCTAACCGCTAAGGCATGCAAGACATGAGACTATGTCCCCCCCCTCCGCGCGTACCGTATTCTTTCACGAGGTGCCTCCCCTCCGCCCCGAATCTGAAACTAATCTGCCGCAGGGTCCCCCCCACCTTCCCCAGTTCCTATCATGCAGCCACCGTGTTTTGGGGCTCCGTTCTTATCTGTATGCACATTGTTACACCCACAAAGGCAGGTTCTTGTCACATCGCAACTGAACACCTGTTCTTATGGCCAAGATCTTCGTTTTTTTTGCTGAAGTTCTTATCTGCTAAGTTCTCAACTGGTGGCGCGTTCTGTACACAAGTTTACAACGTCGAGTCTGTCCCGGCACCGTTCCTTTGCGATAAGCCCAGCAGTCCCTCCCCTTCTCCTACGCCCCCGTGGAAACAGGGTGTGGTCGGTTATTGTATGCTCTTGGACAAGTTTTTGTCTCGCACATAAATACATCTTTGCTTGCGTGGGCTTGCGGCAACCTGTGGCTCAGAAGGGCGACACGGCTGGGGTGTGAGAGCATATGCACGGACCAAACTGCACGGAGTGGAAAAAAGAGTTCGGCTTTCTCGTCACGAAACTCTTGTATATCTGGACGACCACGACGTCGATTCACAAGTGGGTTTCTGCAGTAGATGTTCAAGAGAGCGGGGGGCACCTATCAGTCTGTCCGCACTTTGAATAGATACGCTGTAGTCTACAGGAGGTCTTTTTTGTCGCCTCTTCGTCGATGCAGTTTTTGTATTTACTGCTTCACGCGCACAACTCAGCACTTATGTAGCATCTCACCAGCAAACATCTCTGCCTACATATATCTATGCTTTCAGCAAGCACAAGGCCGTCGCAAAAGCAGAGAAGGCCAGCAGTAGTCAAGGGAAGAGCATCCGGAGGTGTTGGATCAGCAAACACGCAGAGAGAGTCGGTGCTGCCATGAGATCCGCGCTTGCTCGTGATGAAGTGTGCAAGGATCCCTCTTGCGGCTCCCAACGGGAACGCAGAGCGTCTCTTGTTGCACCCAGTCCTTCCTTGCCACGCCACCAACAGCAACAGCAGGAATTAAGAGATATTGAATAGATGACTTGTGCCACATGAGATCCGCGCTGCTGACGTGTGCATGTGTGCCATGAGATGAAGATTCCTTCTATTGCTGCAGATGCTGTATCACCCGACACCCGACATCCGACATCCTCGTCCGGGTTCCGCCGCATTTCTACCGACGGATCCCGTCAACTGAATTGACAGTCCCGGGAGCTCGGCTCGGAAGGCGCCACGTCAGATCTCGGCTGCTTTCAGTACCCGCTACTGCTGTACATCCATAACTTCTACAGCCTTTGCTTAAGTCGTTGTGCTATCCGAGCCGAGAGCCGAGATGCCTCCCAAGCGGAAAAAAGCTGACGAAGCAGCAGCAGCAGCAGCCTCGAAGAAGCCTCGCAAAACGTTACGCAGTAGTAGCAGCAACAGCAGCAGCAACAGCAGCAACAGCAGTAGCTCAAGGAGTGCCGCGGGGAAGGCAAAAGCAGGGGCCAAAGGAAAGGCGAAGACTGCCAAAAAAACTGATGCTGACCGCAAAGCGTCGTCTCCCACAACGTCTTCGGCTGGTGCTACTGACAAAGGTGATGTTAGTGCTTCTGGGAAGGCCCCGCGCCCGAAGAGAAATCAACAAGGGGAGCTCGTCTTTCCTGATTTCCCCAAGTTTCGACCGAACTTGTCGCCCAAGCAAGTTCTTCGCATGGGATCTTTCGGCGGAACGTACTTCAGGCCGATCAAGTCTTCGGTAACTGGAAAGACGTACCGCGACCAGTGGAAGGAGTTTCCCGCGGGTAAGTTGCGGCAGCATCCACGGCGTGAGACTCCTTGAAGAGACAATACAAGATATGTGTATTGTAAGTACTGGCCAGAGTGACGTACTGACCGCGCACTATCTGAATCAGAGCTTTACCCTCTTGTGGCCGTGGTGCTCGCAAGTCTTCAAGTCTTCACAACAAGGTTACATGCAATCCAAGTGTTCCCTTTTCGATCGCGCGTGTCTCGATGACCTTCGGATGTGCTACCATGCTACCATAGACTGGTTCGAGGGATTGGACGTGAAGAGGCAGGTGGCCAGTCCCACCTACTTGAACGCTGTCAACACTTACGGCGTCCACTGTGGTGGGGACTTGCACATGTGGGAGTCGAGCGGATGGATAAAGTGAGCCGGGGACAATTTGTGCCACATTAATCTTGTTCGCATAACTGATCGATGCTGCGTTGTCAACTGAACCTTGCAGCCTATCCGTCGTGCATGAAGAGCGCAGAGGTGGAACGTACCGGATGCATAAGATCTGTCTGTGGAAACCACGGCCTGCGGTCCGGCTGTCAAACAAACATGCTGACATTTCCCTCCTCCTCCTTCAACTCCTCCCCCCCCCCGTCCCATATTTCCGTGTATCTTTGTCCTTTTTCCCATAATCGCACCACTGCTGTACCTGCCGCGAATTACTTTCACACAGGGAGTGCGACCCCTACGGATGGTTCCAGGTGTGTTTCAACGAAGCGATAAAGCCTCTCATTGGGCGTTACGTACACGCCATTCACACCTGTGTTCCCCCCCATCAGCCTTATTGCGTCACAACATGCTGCGTGTGTTCTTGGTCCACATGTATGTGGCTTTCTGTTTGTCGTGTGTGGCCAGCGATCTGCTGCTTGCGCCCTTTGGCCTCCTCCGTGTTTCTGTACACAGAGAGAGTTGGTGACATCTAGCTTTCAAACCAGGGAGGCACGGCGAGATGTTGGCTTCACTTCCCCACCTGGCGACTATCCATCGCACTTTTAATTTGAAAACCTGCGACTCCCTGTCCTTGTTTTCGTGCTTTGGGTGCTGTCCCGGATACTTGTGCCTTGCCACGACAAGTGGTACTGCCGATTTTACCTTGGAAGGCGGTGCTATGATGATGAGCGCCAGATCTCTCGGGGTCTGAAGGTGCGCGATCCACATAAGCCAGTTAGACACTGGTTTGTGCTCAACCTTGTTCCGAAAATAGTCTGGAGGGTTGTAGTCCTATTTTCTTTCCAACGGAGTCTCAGTGGGATTAGGAAAGCCCCCTTTCGGGATATGTACGGTTGGTTTCCTATGATGAAACATTTGTGCATTCGGGGTCCAAGAATGAACGAAACGAAGCTTGAAAAGTGTTCAGATTTCGACCACCCCGACTCCAAGAACCGCTTTACACATCTTCGTGTCCATGAGAAATAGGGAGTTCCCCCAGGGTTAGGGTTAACGGTTAGCAGAATCGTATTTCTACCGGTGTTTCCTGGTTTCCATCCAACGCCGCATCTGAAACCATGCTCTTGTCTAAGGTGACTGTGAACGTGAACAAGTACTGCAGTGGAGACAAGTGATTTGCTTCATCGGCGTATCATACAGCACACGAGCGCGGTCATGGCCATGGGTTATGACCGTCGTTTTCAGGACTTACCGTTAACCGTACCAGGCGCAGCAAATTGTTTTGCGCTTTGTAAATTGCGCGCACTTTATTTAGACACGGAAATACCGTTTGTAGGCTGAAGGATCAATCATCTCTGTGGAGGACTAGATATTTTTCGGGGGTTACGCTGCAAGATGGTAATCAAAGGAATTTTTTGGCGTGAAAAAGTGCAGGAACAGGCTAGACTCGTCAAAGAGTGCTTGGAATACTCACCGTGCTGCCTGTTCTCCGGGTGAAGGTGTCTGTGCCGATTTTCAAGGAAATCGGTAGTGCAGCAGTTCCATTTCCAATGCACGCTTTCTTCTGGTCTACTGTTCCGTTCGTGGCACGGTACTTAAGGTATTCGGCCCCACTGGGAGATGGCGGACACAGCTGTGTAACCGTATCCTCATCAAGGGCAGCGAGGTGGACGACACGACCGTGAGCCCTAAGATTCGCCAGCTCATGCAGGTGCAGAAAAAAAAGTACCATAAGTATTCCCGTACTCCGTCGTTCGTGTAGATAAAATATCACCTTGCGCTTTCAACACATTTTTATTGGAGACAGCAGTTCGGAGCGTCGTGTAACTTTCAACGGTTCCCCCTTCATGTTGCTCGTACGATATACGGAGCATCGGTAAACATGAACATCGCGAGTTTTTTGTTCCGCAATGTGCACTGGTGACTGTCCCCTACCGCGGAGAAAAACTGACTTGACGAAAACCTTGATACACGCGGATTGCTTCCGCGTCTTGCTTTTTCGCCTGTCCGTTCCTCTTTATTGTTCCTATTCAGCACTGGGGGTATAGGATAACCGACCCAGACCTCCAGCGGCATGCCTTCAGGCAAAAGGCCAAGAAAGGTTGACTTGGCTCGTATGCGAGTTGAATTCGTCATTTGTAGTTTTTAGTTATGGCACACGGCTGTGGTGCTTGCAAGCGGGTTGACGGTTGTCGAATTATGGAGTCCGACGATGAGTGATGATGTGTTCTGACTCTAAACACTACACGGCCTGCTGTACCAGAGAAGCACGGAATACGCCAGGTGAACGCGATATGGCCTGATTTGCACAGATGGGAACCACCAAGCCCGCGACGCCTTAGTTGCGGGATCATTGTATACGGGCAGACCCTGCAATTTTGACAAACGATTATTTTGCATCCTCACCGAACTGGACTAATACGCAATTTTAATATTGGAAACCGTTCCCGACACTCACAATCAGCTCGTAAAGTACCTCGACATCCGTGGCTAAACCACCCCCTGGAATCGCGAAGACCCCATGGACTAAAGCCAACGCTCCAGAGAGATGGCGAGCTTCCTCGTATCACGGCCACGGCCGAGCTGTCATGGAAGTTCCCGAGCAGGTTAGAAGAGGGACAGGATTGTCTGAAACAAATTTTCCCTGTCTTCATGGACGCCACACACAATAGAGAGAACGTTGCAGTGCTACCTGCTGGTACAGACCCAACACATCGCCAAGCAGGAGGCCGATTGCCTATTGCGCCGGTGCCACCGATGTTTCTTGTTGGACCGCAGAATATTGGGTGCCAGCAGCCCGTTCGTCTACCCAGGCGTGGGCCAACGCGAGAAGAGCGTTGACAGCCACGTCCGATCTAAGCACTCGGGACCCCAGCGTCACAGCCTGTCGACATATTATTGTTCGTCAAGACGGACGGACGACAAGGGACAGGCACAGCGAAATTTACAGAACAAACACGTTCTTAGGATAGAACATGGGGGCCGTGAGGCGAAAACCGGCGGCGGTGCAAAGCAACTTGGACAAATTGAATCATAGGCGCCAGTCAGTATTGAACGTTGGTGGTGGGTGACTAATGGCAGAGCAGCCGAGATTATCTAGGCCATAACGAGCACTTTGACGAGACTCTCCTCAAAGTCCAAACAGAGGCATGGATATTCGTTGCCCGACAGTACCTCTCACACCACCCGACAATAGGGCAACTTCCTCCAAGATTATTCAATTCTCCAGGCCATGGCCTTTTTTATCACGTACAGTAGGACGAAAGCTCACCTGAAATCCGAAGGACTGCAGGAGCTGAAGCTCGTCCGGTTCTACCCACCCCCCCTCAGGGCCGACGGCAACTAGCACACCAACATCTGCCGGATCGCATCCTTGCCAGACGGAAGAAGCGCAGCAGCACGTCGGATGGGCGTTTCGTTGGTCACGGCCCAAACAACACAGACCAAATATGCATACTCCAGAGTACGTTCAACTCGAAACGACGTGTACTCCAATACCATGTTTGACACGTGGTACATTTGTCAAGTCGCGGGCCTCGAGCAGCTTGTTCCCTCTTCCTCTGCTGCCAACTCTGAAGAGCGATGCAGGCTGCGAGAGCAGCATCACCGCTCCTCTATGGCTCCAGCAGTATGCACGGCGCCAACTCGGGTGACAACTCAGTTTTTCGCCAAAAATGTCGTTTCGCATCGCCACTTGTGCTCGCCCCACTACTTCCTTTTCGTTCAGTACTTGACCTTATTCCTCTATTTCACTGTAGCTCTTTCGCGGTCGTTCAGGGCGACCTCCTGCTGGTCTCTGCCCCGTACGTAGCAGGGTGTCAAAACGACACCACCGTACAGACCCTGCCCTTGGCGTAGTCGCGTAGCACGAAATTTCACAGCAAATCTACCACTGTTCATGCCTTGAGGTGAGCTGGCGATGCTGCCTAACGAGTCCTTTCCACCAGTCTTCCAAGAGGGGCTCGTCCAGCGGCACACGCAGACCCATGCTGTTGGTGTACACGCACAGCCTACGAGAACTGCAACGTCGAACAACCAGCACTCTACGTGTGTCACCTTTTGGGGGCTCGATTTGCGAGAACCTTAGTGCCGGTACCGGTGCCGTCGCAGCACCATCGCTCTCCACGCCATCAACCCGTCCACTTTGCGCGGTAGCGGCAACTACACCCGCTTCTACCCCCACACCCTCTCCCCCGGCTGCTGTTGCCGCCGCGGTCGCCTCCCCTCCAGCACATCGGGATACTTGCGCAGGCAGCCTCGTGGGATGTGCCAAGGCTCTCACCCACCGATCTCGCGGAAAACACCGATCTAAGTCGTCTTCAAGAAAAATCTTGAGGCGACGGGCCACCATGACCTCGGGCATGACTGTGTCGCCCGACTTAAGAGCAATGCAAACCAGCGGCATTGTAGGTTGCATGTGTCCACCACGCGGAGGAACGAGGGCAAGGGAGGGCGATTGCGATGAGGGGAATGTGCCCCATGCTACAGCAGCGTCCTTGGCTGCCCCACTAGGCTGGACTCCTCAACCACAAACACTTGACGCATTAACCCATACGTGACTGGGTCAATTTGATTTTTTTTGTTTTTTTTTCCACAACTGGCTCTCTGTGGTCAAAGATCTTCCAAGCATGCGTATACACCCATAAATCACGGCGGCAAGGATGGTGCAGCAGTGGGTCCATGTGTGGGGCTCACAGGGATAGGGAAGCGGTATATGTAAGGGTGACGAACAGGAGTACAGTAGTACTACTGCTGTACAGCAGTAGCAGCTATGCGGAGAGAAATAGACTGTACAGCAGCAGTAGTTTCTGAGCAGGTGTCCATGCCTGTCTCCGACAGCAACCGTCCGCACAGAGGATGTACCTGTGCAAGCAATACCTGTTGGCACATCTTCTCCACCTCATCCTTGGACAGAGCATACGGCAAGCGCATATGCTAGCGGCGCTAGATGCGAAGACGCTGACGGGAAACCGCCTCACAGAAGCGCCAGATCGACGAAAACAACGGCCCGCTCATCAGAGAATCGAGACCATCATCCACTATTGCACAAAATGCATAACAATCGTGATAAACTTTACTATTATGTACTACAAATAGAGAGCTGTGATCGGAGCTGTGATCGGAGCTGTAGTCCCGAAAACCCTTGCCTTTGAGCGAAATTTAGGCCACAGCAGACGAACCACCCTTCACTCCCAATACTGGGAACCACACGCACCGCAATCACAACAACATCAAGCACCGAGGCAGTACGTTAGCATCGGCTCCGGTGTGGGCTTTCTCTGCTCTCCCCCGCGGATGCGGCACCGGGTTGATCACATGTTCAGGGTGCTGTATGTACCCTCCGGTGGTATTTTGCGTATGAATCTTACAGTACCGGTAGGCAGTAGATTGGATCTGGAAAGGATATCTGCCCCGCGTCAGAGAGATTAGGCATGGGTGAATAGTATTGTACTATGTGAGTCCTGTGCGCATTGCTGATAAGCGTGCTTTGGGGGTGCGCTGCCTGTGTCTCCCTGCTGGTCTCTATGTATGTTTTTGCTCTTAGCCGAGGCACAACGGCGATCTTTCGGCACGCAAAGTGATCGGAGCTGAGAACGGAGCTGAATCGGCCTGTAGTCACGTAAGGGTTAACCCTACGGCACCCTTCTCCGCCATACTGTTGTACCACACACCAATATCTCGGCGGAGGCTGTGCGGTTCCCCATATTATCGAGATGCTCTACTTGACGAAAAACACGACCCTCATCTCTCACCTGCGACAGTCCTTCAATGAGCTTTTCCCTCACGCTCGGCGGGTCTCGAAAAAAGTGCGAGCCAAAGTAGAATTTAGGTACCTGCATTTGCGCGTGCATACCGTCATCGACTTTGGCCTTTTTTCGAAGGAGAGCCGATTCCGTCAAGGAAACGACCAAAAATAACGACGTGCCATTCGAGCTCCGCAGCACAACATACGCCCGGAGCAATACCTATTCACGCTTACAGTTGTGCGCCAGTGGTCAGCACGTGTGGTGGGCACTCGTTGACAGCAAGCTTATCGACAACCGCATTGAAAAGTGAGACTACTGCCAATTTGGAATCCCACCCAACTTCTCCCCACCCCGGCTTACCTTTTTCGCCTGGCACAACACGATTGTGGTCACCCCTAAGCTGGCAACAACTGGCAAGATACGTTCGAGCTGGAGCGGCCGCGGGACGGCCAGCATAAGAGCCACCCTGCACACCAGCAGTTGCGAACGAATAACGGGCGGTGGGAAAGCATGAGAAAAACACGAAGTAGATGGCAGGCTTTCACTCCCTTGGGTGACATTATCTATATTAAAACACATTATCTTCCGAAAGGGAGATACAACGATTTCTTCTCACTTCGGTCGTTGCTCATCCGGGACCGGCTTGAGTAGCTGCCGATCGCTCGGGCCGAGATCTAGGACTAAGTCCATCCACTTAGGGGACGATTTTCGGCCCTTCTGTCTCCCCGGGATGTCTGGGGGCGGTGCACCCTCTGGCGGATCGGTCGGCTCTTCCCAGGCGATAGAAGCGTCATCCATCCTGTTCGAAGAACAAACCCGCGTGTGGCACGGCCGGTCAAACTGCGATGACGGCCTTGCGGATCACAACCCTTCTGACATGCAAAACGCGACCGCGTCGTACGAACAGGCAAGCCTATAGTCTCCATCAGCAGGTTCGAGACGCTGGAAGCGTGGACGAGCGACAGGCCAAAGGGGTCTCACCGTCCCGCGTTAACCACTCCGACGCGAACAGACTCCCCGTTCTCCACCTTCAGCACACCTCTTACGTGGGCGGTTCGACTGTCTGCAGCGGGTAGTGTAGCAGACAGGTTTCCTTCTTCATCCCTCACCACCTCAGACGGCTCAAGCATAATCCTGAACAAGAAAGGATATGGGGAGGGAGTGCATCGTGTCTAGAGGGAATCGCGAGGCGAGGAAACGGGAGTTTACTCGAGATGTATATCTGTTCCATGTTCGAGCCCAATTTCCGGGCGCGTTTTGTCGGGGTTCGATTGCGAAAGGCGAGCATACGCAAGAGGCTTACTGTCGGAGCCCAAACACGTCTATCTTGTCGGTCCGCGAAATTCCTGTACAACCCAAGGATTTCCTCACATCCCAAAAAGGAGCAGAAAACGGGGGGCGTTTCCCATAAACAGCTGAGAGTGAACCTTCGCAAACAGGGCACAGCAGCAGTCATACACATGCGAATCTTTGAACGAGGAACACAAGAACAAAGGCAAGATCACGGCGAGTACGAATCGTCTCCGAGAAAGCTAGTAAGAACAGCCACGCCCTGCGAGTCTAAAACCAACGCCGCAATCGCTGCGGTCTCTGTCCTCCACACGTCGATTCGCGGTGTTCCTCGTTTCTGTGCCCTGCTTTGAAACGTTAAGCTCTGTCCCTGACCATACGCTAAGGGGGGGGGGGCAACCTGTTTTGATGTCGACTGATTTTGAATAAACCGCAAGAGCACCAGAAAATGCACACGAGAATCACAAGACCAGTCAGAAGGCATGGGGACAAACAGAAATCTCTGATTCTCGCACTGGGCGGCAGTACAGTAGAGGCTACTCAAAACATACACATCATGAGTCTACCTCCACACGCCTAATTTGAAGTCAAGATCAAATTTCCAAGGGTATGTTCTGTAGGGTCTGTAACTTTCTGTAGGGTATCCGAAGTTGTCACAGAACTCACAGAACTATCGGGTAGGTATTGGAAGTGTCACAGAACTCCACAGATATAATCGGGTTTGTGAGAAGGTCGTACAGAACCCACAGAACATTTCGGGTAGGTTCACAAATCTCTACAGACGTTTTCTGTACTGTACTGTCGTGTCACAGAACTCGCAGAAGTTTTCTGTAGGGTATTGAAAGTGCAACAGATCTCACAGAAATATCCGGTATTGTAACGCAAGTGCCACAGAACTCAACAGAAAAAATCGGGTTTGTGCCAAGGTCGTACAGAACTCACAGAACCTCGCGGGTAGGTTATCAAATGCTCACAGAAGTTTTCTGTAGGGTATTGGAGCGTCGCCGAAGTCACATTTTCTGTAGGGTATTGTAGCATCACAGACGTCACAGAAGTGTCCGTAGGGTTTTCAAGTGTGACAGAACTCACAGCCACTTTCTGTAGGGTATTGCAAGTGTGACATAACTCGTCTGTAACGTTCTGCAGGGTATTGCAAGTGTCACAGAACAGAAAATAGGGGGTATTTAAGCATGTTGCTCAAATGAATACCCCAGGTATATACCACCACCCCCCGCTCTCTCTGCATCCGGTTGTTCGCCCTGGTAACTCCACAAGGATGTGCTTGACGCGCCGAGAAGAGAGCGCCGGAAAAGGTGTGTCTTGGGCAATGAGCAACCCCGTGAGATCCCGCCAAGTTGTGCCAGATGAGAAAAACTGAAGGGCAAAAACTTTTCCACGACCATCTTCACAGCCAGGAGCTGACGGACTCTGCCAAAGGGAACGAAATAGAAACAGAAATACAATACAATGTACCGTATCGGCACAGCATTGCAAAGGGGAGAACGGGACAAGCGTGAGATACCAACATCAGTCAGTTGGTTACGTGGTTCGCGCAGGTAAGGTTTCCTCACGGAGTACTACTGCAGTACAGCAGTCACACATACATGCATACATGTACACACACAACAAGCAGAGAAACCTGACGCACACACCTGTCCGTCCCGACACCCGAGTTCTTGCTCGCCGCGAAGTTTGCCGTGATGCTCTGCTTCGCTGCCTTTCTCTTCCCTTCTTTCACGACGCCACCCATCCCCTGCACTCCGTGCCCATTCTTGAGGTGCGAGTTGACGTTGCTGCGGTCGCCGCCTTTGCAGGGGATCATCTTGTTCTTGCGGCGGCACAAGGAGTCGGCCATGCAGAAAAACTGGTGCTTGTCGCTGCTCGACGCCTCGATGTACACTCGTAGCGAATACATGTACGACTTCTCGCGGGACCCTTTCCTCACAATGCCTGCTGGCACCGTGAAGTCATCGACTGCCTTCACCACAGCCGCGTCCACGGCATGCGGCTCCCCGTTCTTGTTGTAGACGGCTGCGGGTGCGATTACGGGCACGCCTGCATCACCGCCTCCCGCGTCAACTATCTCTACCGCTCCCTCGCGTTCTGGTGGTGGTGGTGTTGCTGCTGCTGCTGCTGCTGCTGCTGCCTCTGCCCGCGCTTTGACTCCTCTCGCAGCGATCGATGATCCGCTCGGAGGGTCCGCGGTGGTAGAGGTAGAGCTCATGTCCCTCTCCTCCACAGCGATACAGGTGCGTCGTGGTTGTTCACAATGATGTGTATGTGTGTGGTGTATGTATGTGTGTGGTGTATGTATGTGTGTGGTGCATTCTCACCATGATGACTTGTGTGCGAGAACCACGTGATTTGTACTTGTTCTTTTTTGCAAATTGACAAGGTGCGCTTCAAGTTTGGTTGGTGGGCCTGACTCAGAACATAGAGCGTACAGGCGTAGCCCGGTAGGTAGGGTATTGACAGCGTCACAGATCGAACAGAAGTTTCCGGTAGGGTATTGGAAGTGTCACAGATCTCACAGAAGCGTCCGGTACGGTATTTGAAGTGTGACAGAACTCACAGAATAATTATGTAGGGTATCGAAAGGGTTACAGAACCTCACAGAACGGTTCTGTAGGGTATCGGAAGTGCCACAGAACTTACAGAAATATCCGGTGTTGTATCGCCAGTGCCACAGAACTCAACAGAAAAAATCGGGTTTGTGCGAAGGTCGTACAGATCTCACAGAACGTAGCGGGTAGGTTAACAAATGTGTACAGAGGTTTTCTGTAGGGTATTGGAGCGTCACAGAACTCATAGGCGTTTTCTGTAGGGTATTGGAAGTGCCACAGATCTCACAGAAGTATCCAGTAGGGTAGCGAAAGTACCACAGAACTCGTCTGTAACGTTCTGTAGGCTAAATACCCGGAAAAATACCGCCGGTACCTTCTGTGAGTACCCTACAGAACACACCCTTGCAAAATTTCACACCAGCCAAAATTCGAGCCAAAAGAGTCAAAACGGCAGGCGCTCAAATAAGGTTAGTTTAGTTTAGCATTCTAACTGTATCTTGGTACTGATATCACCAGAAGACATCCTATAGCAGCGGGGAGGATGTGTTGGTGCGTTCAAATCTGCCTCTGTGGTGGTGACATCGAGGATCGCAAGGGGCAGGGTACTCCACGGAAAAAAAGAGGTACACGAATACAGTGCGGCCTAAATTTCGAACTCCGCAAATCTCCGCATGAAACCGACACCCTATGTCTTGTACTGCTCGTGATCGCCGCCACTGACCCCATTCTCCTGAACCGCGGGTTGACAGCAGTAGCTGATGTCACTAGCTACTGCTGACAACCCGCCGTTCAGGGTGTTTACGGTTCGTTGCGGTGAGCACAAGCAGTACAAGACACTGGGTCACTGGGTGTCGGTCAAATGTGCCGAGGTTTGCGGAGATTATATTCATAGGCCATTACGACGAACCTCGGTATCACCACACAACAAGCAAACCTGAACGTTCCAGCACACACGACGCCTCTTCATGGTGTCCTCTACTGATATCAGTACTAAGGTGCAGTTATCTAGAAACGGCGGGAAGATTGCTTTCTTTTTGCAATGAGCCGCGGAGCGCGAAGCGTGACCGTTCTTTTCCCTCCGTCCGAGGAGGGAAAAATCAGGCTCTATCTACCAGGGGCCCAAGTTTCAAACGACCGCCTGAGTTTTCCATCCTTTTCGACCCGCACGAGATCTGTAGAACACCGATAGACGATCTGCTGGCATGTGAGAAACAAGAAAAATAGGGCGCTCTTCACCACACCAGTTTGCTCGTGCCCCGACAGAAGATGGCCGGGCCTCACCGGCATTTGTACCCAAAAACCATAGGAGATTGTTACCCCCATCCCCGCGGAGTTGTATAGAAAATGTAAGCCAAGGCATCGCAGATCTCCCACCCAGACATACACACGCAGTTGCTTGGTTCACACCAGGAAAATAGAAGAAACTTTCAGCGAAACACGCAACACCGCCGGGATTGCCAAAACAGCACTGGCGGGGGAAGGGAGCCATACACAGAGCTAGTGGCGATGCCATTGTCATTGCTGTTGCTTAGGTGTGTGTGTGGAGAGGGATCATCAGCAACAACCTGGGGCAATAAGATAGGAACAGATCCCAGCAGACGCGGCGGTTGTTCTTCGGGCAGTCCCACACTCTCCCGCTCGCAAATTCTGAGCGTCCTATATCCTCCCGGTCTGTATCAATCACCACACAAGACGGCGCATGGACACATCGGATACCTTTGCTATTGCTGCTGCTTCGGTGTGCGGGGAGAAGGGTCACCTTGAAACAAACTGCTCTGCTATGAAACGCTCAAGAAGAAGAGCAGAAGAGCCTCCTTTTTTGGCGGGAGGTTTTTTCTCGCATGCATGCACTGTTGTGCCGCCTCTCGCCGCCTCCAATTTCCGTGGGTCCTTGTATGGCCCCGTGGCCTCTATCAGCCGCCACACAAGACGTGGCATAAACACAGGTCGCGGGGAATAGCTTTACAAGTGCTGCTGCGACACTCTGTGCAAAGAAGCCACCGAAAGACCAAATCGATATGGAACGCACGTATGGTACACAGGTCTACCGTCGGTGACAAAAGATACCACACCCACACCCTGTTTGTAAGCTCGAGTATTCCACGACGTAGAGGATGCATAAACCCAGCGAGACGTTGTCGGAAAGCTGTCGACGAGACGGTTCCCCACACCACCATTTTTGGCACCGCCACTCTTGGTGGTGTGGAGCAACCGAGCTTTGGAAGTTGGTCCAGGGTGTGGTATCTTGTGCCATCTACGGACGGTGCTGCTGAATGCGCATGAATCCCAACGGCCTTCGTACGTTGCAAGGAAGAGCCTCTTTTTATGATGTTGGTGATGATGACTCGGATTCAAAATTCAATGATCGGGTGCACTCGACACCGAAAAAAAGCATCGCGGATAGACTACTGTACTGCAAGGTATTGAGTCGGCTACCCCGCGGCTCATTGCCCCGCCGTATCTAGAATATCGGATTAAGTAGAAATAGAGCCAGCGCCAAGAGGGTGTTGAGTTCCCAAGAAAAAGAGGGATGAGAGCATTGCCCCAGAGTTGACTGCTTCCAGCTCGGGTGTCTATGAAATCCTTGCTCTGGGCTTGCATGCAACATCTTTTTGAAATAGACAACGTAGTGCTACATCATATCCTGTCGTCTACATATGATACAGCGGCAGTCATGGACTGTTTGTCTCGACTGCTATGCATACACCTAGACTGTTTCGTTAGTATGCAACCCACGAAAATCAACGACCGCATATTTCTGTTTCCACCCACCGGTTCAAGCAGCGCACCACCAACCGCCGCGGCCCCGCGTTGGGATCGCATAGACCATCGTATCGACGCTCTCGGGTGTTGCACCATCTTTGCGGCTGCCTCCAACGAAGGTGATGGTGGCCGGGGTGGCCGGTCATGGTATGCATACGCGTGTGATGCATATGAAAGCCGCCAGCATGATGAGAGAGCGCTCCTCCTCTAAAGCTCCGTGCAAAAGCAGTGGGCAAAGAAGGCCATGTAACGAAGCTCGCTGCCCGCATCCTCCGCCAGGCGAACTCCTCCCTGACTGCTGTGTTAGCACTCTGCCCTGCCTGTCTGCTGCTGCTGTGTGCGTTGCTCACGCTGCCGTTAGGGGCTCCGCGCCACCACACGCTCATGTCTGACAAACGCAACGTACGTATACGCTGTGATCCTGGGTCCACGGGTGACACGCCGTCACCCCCATCCCATTGCTGATGCTGATGTCTCTCAACTTGATTCGTGAGTGGTGTGTATTGATTTTGCCTCCGCAAGACTCCCCACTCGAATAGCTGACATGGCGACTCGCCGGGGAGATCGCGATGCCGGACGGCTCATACTCACGAACGCGACCCCGTTCTTGTGGAAGAGGAGCCTGAAGACTCCGAAAGGCATGAGGCTTTGGTCTTTTCCCGAAGAGGTCGACGCTGGTGAAAGCGTGGAGGTCGAAATTGCTTTCTCCAGAACAACCAACGTGCACGGACAAGCCAGTTACCAGGTATCAGCGCAAGCTTGACGGTAGGCACCTGAACCACATTTGTGCTAGGATAACTTTGACACCGATGCGCCCTATGAGTATCTATCAGGCAAGAGCAATCGCGACGCGCTGGACATATTTTGCGCGAGAGAAACGGCGATGTGTATTTGGCGCGAAACATAACGGTAGATGATCGGGGACACCTCGCGACAACTCTCGGGTCCTTACAGTAGGCCCCCTGCCAAAGCTCTCTCCTTCAACACCCTGGTGCCCAATGCCTTTGCCGTGGAGGCACCGGTGTTGGCACCGTTTACACTTGGCCGGAGTTTGAGAGCATTTTTGTCGAAGCAAACGACACAAGACACAAGCGGTCACCCAACACAGAACACAAGCAGGAGGTGACATCATCATCTGGAGACTTGTTGCACCCTCCTCGGGCAGCCCGGTCTCCCCGGTCTTATTAGAATATTTTGCCGCCCGGTTAGTTGACCTGGGAATGCCTGCTACGTCTTCCCTGCCCCCGTTGTCCCGCGGTGAAGGTCAGTCGGCCTTTCCTTCCCTGCGAGAGGAAGATGTGTGCTGGTCCGGCTCGAAATTTCTCGTTGTGAGAGGAGCGTCGGAAAATTGCTGCTGGCTGTGCCGGAAACCATGCAGTTGAAGTTTGGTTTTTCTCGGGCCTCCAGGGTCAGCAAAAGGCCGTCAGTCCCGGATTTTTGCTCTTGGTCCCAGGCTGCGCGCGGCGCGTGCATCATGTAAAAATCGAGCTCTCTGTAAATCAAACAGAGGGTCCGGGCCTGCGCCGACAAAATAGACGCTACAGATGGTATACAGCAGTATTTAGTACTGCTGTCGACAGGGGACACTGAGCGGAAGGGTATCGTGAAAGGGCGGTACGATGCACACACCCAAGGACCCAAGGACCACCTCCCAGGGGCAAGATCGCCAAACACCCGAAACATCAACCATCTCTCTCGCACAACCAAAAACAAGATCTCTATCTATGCTACGGTAATAGATACACAACGTGTTCTCGACACGTCGTGGTCTTTTCCATTCGTCGGGCGGGTGCGTGCGGTGCAGTTCTTGGTGGTTTGTTCGCCGACAGATTGGTCTGAAAAAAAAAATACTTTCAAGTATTCAGGATGCACCATCCATCTACATATGTTCGTGGACTACCGTGAGAGGCGGAGATGGCCCCGGTTCGGGGAGATAGATGGCACCGGTGGGAGAGCTCCACCAGCTTGTGCGAAAAAATATAAAGAACGGCATGATTCAATACACCCCCTCTGAGAATTTTCCAGAAAAGTGCCGTAAATTTTTATGTAGCTCCAACAACATGTATCGCCAACGATCGATCGAATCACCCAATGCCCCAAAAGACAAGAGAGGCAAGAACACAGAGAGTACCCCCGGCCCACCAGCCACCCGCTATAGACACAAACAACATGTGTGATGCCATCCCATTTGTTCGGACGATACTAATATTTACACATTACACATTTCGACGCGGCGTTGTTTCTGGACGATGTGTACACTCCAAAACAATTGGTGTCCCGGCCGGATACAGATGGAGCTCGAGGACGGCCAGAGCGGTCCCGGAAACCCTACGTTCACCGTTTCGGCCACCGTGAACGGCCTGAGCGTGGAGCTGCCGGCGGAGATGCGGAAGCCCGGGTGGTTTGCCGTGCCGCCGGCGCCGCACAAGGTGGCCGACACCGGGTGGCAAAAGGGATGCGCTGTCAGGTACATATGTGCGGCGGTAGAGCTTTTTTTGTGTGGCTTGGCTTTGTAATGGGTCCGGAGGAAGGCGGCGTCTTGTCCTTTTGTTTTGCTTCCATCGCTCTCTGTGCTTTCATCGAGCTGGCGCTTTTCGCAGCAGCAGCAGCAGCAGCAGCAGGAGGAGGAAGAGAAGTACTCCTTGGATGATGAGGTTCGATGACCTCGGTCACTCGTCCGGTCTCTTGGCACAACCACAAGACGGTCCAGTACCAGAAGGGCCAGCCGACGACGAGGGTCTGTCCGCGCGCACTCGCCCATGTGGAACATTGCGCCCCTTGATTTTGGAGTTGCCCCTTCCGTCCCCTGCCCCTCTGTTGGGAGGGGTGCTTGCCACTTTGGCGTAAAAAATGGTTGACATAGCAGTCTTCTCAACACGCATTTGTATCCCGATTTGTACATTTGTACATACTACAGCCCTATTCCCTAAAACCATATTTCCTAATCCAAATCGTCACCGATAGTTTACCGTGGATAGCGCTAGGTTGGCGTGCACTGGAGACGTTGCAGGCAGGGTAAGCCAGCGCGTGTGGCAAAAAACTCATTTCGAGATGGATACCACCAAATGTCGTTGGCTCCAACGACAGCAGTTGCGCCAAAGTGCTAAATAGGCTCTACGTACAATCGCTCGGGAAAATTCGTGGCGAAAATGTGACAGTTTCACGATCGGATCTCTGGGAGGACATCACGCGAGCCTTCGAGGCGGACACACGCCTCGGACCTTCCAGGGGGTCAAGATGGCGTCGCTGAGGGGCGCGGCTTCCTTTGGCGGCAACGGCAACAGGGAGGGCCGCGGAGCTGTGAGTGGGTCCCCTGTGTGTTCGTGGGGGTGGGTGGGGTGGGGGGTTTATCAACGCCGATGGTTTTCGTGTCCGAGCCCGCCGGTATCTGCCATATTTTTTTTCTTTATCGGAAGCTAGTAGCTCGTCCTGCTTCTCTTGCGTGGGCGGACAAGACATGGTACACTTGGAACGTGCATTCGCCCTCGTTACCTGCCTACTACCAGCGGCGGCACAGGCGGCAGAGCGGATTACGCCCGTGCTTGCGTATCGTGCCGTGGGCGTGTTCACGTACACTGACCGCGCCGGGTTACCGTGCGTTCGTTCGTTGCTCCAGCTGATCCCCAAGCGCCAATCAAGCGCCCGCGGCAACGGCGGTGGCGGTGGCGGTGGCGGTGTTGGGGGCTTCTTCGGCGGGATCGGTCGACATCTCCAAGCGGTCACGGAGAGCGCGGGCGGCCTGCTCAACGATTGCGGTATCGGCGCCCCGCCTCGCCCGGCCGGCGGCAAGGGAGAGGGGGACTGGACGACGGAGTGGATGAAGACTTACGCCTCCGCTCTGGCTAACCTGAAGCTTTCGGAGATGAGCCTTCCGGGGACGCACGACTCCGGAACGGCTAAGATGGTGAGAGAATATGGGATGGGGAGGTTCTGGTCGTCGCCGCGTTTTTTTTTTTTCCGAGAATGTTTGTGATGGGTTGGTTTTGTCGTCGTTGTTGTCTTGGCCATCTCGTTGCTGGTTGGTGTTGTTGGTGTTGAATGACGATGGATCATCGAAAGTCTTCCTGCGCACTCGCCGTGCTGTATGCACCAACAAGCGAGATCGCCGCGAGTACCCGTCACCTCGCCAACAACCACTTTCGAAGATGACCAACTTGACAGAATTAAGTTCACTGAATGACGCAAAACCATGCGTCGTAACGTTAGGGACCACCGCCGGCTAAGCGCCCCGCCTGCAATCAATACCTGCTTCCCCGCCTCTCTCCCCCGGCCGCCTCCGTCCTCCGCTCCTACATTCTCTCGGTCTTGTCTTGTGTCCGATGGCGTACGTGTTTTCATTTTTGCAATAAAGCATGTTATCCCGCAATAATCTAATGCTTACATATCCTGCTTGTGTTGGATGGTCTACGCGTTGTTTCGTTTCATAACCCAACGCACCTACTAAGCATGCTGCTTGTGTCCCATGGCCTACCTTGCTTTCCCCAAAAAACTTATCCTGCACAACAACGCATATGCAGCACAACCCGGTCGTGAGTCCCTGGGCCACGACCCAAAACCTGGGCGTTCTGGCCCAGCTCAAGGCCGGCGTCCGCGTCCTCGACCTCCGGTGCGGCTACGTGGGCCGAGAAGCCCAGAAGAACGACAGGGTGCAGGACGGCATCGCCGTGGTGCACGACAAGCACAGGACCTCTCTGAGCCTCCGGAAGGCGCTCGAGTGCATCAAGGGCTTCGTCCAGGCGCACCCCAGGTAAGGGAACTTGCTTGTTCTTGAACGCGTGTTGTAGCTGATGCAAAAGGTATGGCACACAGAGGTACTTTCAGGGATCGAAGCTTGCCTCGGTGTGAAGAGAGCGATGTCTTTTTTTGTTTCGTATCTTCTGAAAAATTTCGACTCGTTCGTGTCCTCCGTGTGTATGTTTGTGTGCCGTGTTTATCGAATCTGTGTTGTAGCTGTTTTCGTTCTGCATTCTTGGTTTTGTGGTTACCCCTGTTGCGTCCCTCCCGAAAACTTCGTTCAAGCAGCGCTGCTTCGGGCCTGTTTGGTTTTTCTGGTAGCTTCATGCAAATCGCGGTCGCACCCAATGCCGCTTTGGGCATATAGTAGGGATCACGCCGGGGGGGGGGGAGAGAACGGGCCCACGCGCAAAGCAATATTGTACCACGTTCTCGGTTCAGCACTTGTGTGCTGAGATGGAAAGTGCGCGACCTGTGCACCTGCTGCTGCGTATGCGTTCTTGCGCAACGCGCAAACGTTGTTGGGGACAAATAAAGAGTAGTCTAGACAGTTCGTTCTGCAGCACTAACACCCAATTGCCAATGCGGTGTCGGTCGTAGCCCTTCCCTCCACACGGAACCCATGACTTCATGCTTCAAGTCATGCAGGCCTACGAGCTTTCGGTGCTGGCATAGCTGCCGTACGTAACATTTTGGTGCTTTCCGCTACTGTTGTACGCAATTTCACTTTTTTTTTTTCACGAACGTGCCGCTTGTGATGTTCTGCCCGTCGTCCGTCCGTCCGTCCGCTCGTGCATGCATGCCCGCCGGGGCAACAGTGAACTCGTTCTCCTGGACTTTCATCGCTTCCCGGGCCTTGGGCACGGCGCCCCGCACGAGAAGGTGCGATCAGAAAATGAGGCCGAAGGTGTTGTTGCTGCGTACCATCAGCACCGCGGACTGACAGGCTGCGCCGTTTCGGAAAGCAACACACCAACAGCAGTAGCGGCTATTTCTACGTCTGCCGTTTCTAACACCTAAGAAGAAGAACAAGAAGAAGAAGAAGGAGCAGGATTATACACAGCACTGCCTGCCTGTCTGTGGGCACCAACACGTCTGCTTATTCTTATCGCACACTTTCCTTTTTTTTTCGAATGTCGCTTTCGGTGTGTGTGTTTTGGCTCTCGCACAGGCGGCCGCGGTAGTGCTGAGCGTCCTCGGCGGGGAAGAGCCGGTGATGGTCCACCCCAAGTTCCGCCACTTGCCCTTCGGGCGGATCATGAGCCAGCAGAAGGGGAGGGTTGGCATCTTGTGGAACGCCGTTGAGGTGAGCGTGTGACACCGGTAACAACAGCCCCCCCCCTAAACCCTGCCGCCGAGGCGCCGCAGTAGCACTGGAAACGGGGTGAGCACTGAGAGGACCTAACCAGGTGAAAACCCGCCAACTTTTTACTTTTTTTTTTTTCGTTGCCACGGGGGCAGAAAGAACAGGATCGAAGATGGAAAAGAAAAGGAATGTATGATTGTGTCGGCCGAACTCGTGGATCTTCTTCGCTGTTCTGTTTCGTTCCAAAGGGTCCGATGTCTGTCGTGCTGAGCCGGCGTTGGGTGCAAGACGGAACACACGGCACATAAGCTCCCTATTGAGGACCTTGTTTTTTCCGCCAAAGAATTCTCCGCCCCCGACATTGCAGCCGTTTTGTGTCTTTCGTGACTTACTTAACTCACGATACGAAGACGCGTACAACTAGCAACAAGAGGCGTGAGGGCAAAGAGCCACCACCCTACAAGGATTGGCAGCGTGGAAACCCGCCTCCTTCCCGCCCTCTTCGTAGTCGCCGTCATTGTGATTGCAACCGCTACAACCGCAGGCGCTACTACAAGAAACACGAGTCTATGGAAGGAACATCTGCTGTGTTTTTTTTTTTTCACCCTCTTCCGTTCCAAACGGCACGCACGGCTATATGTATCGACCGCGCCCTTCCCGTCAAAACCGCCGACCGTGTGGCTGCCCGACGCGTCGCGTGCGTATGGAACAACAGGCGAGGGAGCCGCACTTCTGGCCGGGCGTGAGGCAGGCCTGGACCGGGGCGGAGAGCGTTCGGTCCCTCCACGACTTGGCGGAGGCTGAGCTCGGCGACAAGAACGGGCTGCTTTGGTCGCTGCCGCTGGTCCTGCCGGCGGGGGTGCCCCGGCCGGTGCGTCCTTCTTTTTTTTCTGAGGCGGCGGTTGTCGTGGTCGGGGTTCTCACGGAAGTTGTGAGATGTTTGTTGCAGGAGTTCCTCGCTATTGAGCTGCTTGTTGTTGTTGTTGTTGTTGTTGTCGTCTGGCGCGGCATTCTATCCGAGCATGTTGTTTAGGGCAGGCGAGATCGATTTCCTCTTTCCCTTCGCTGTTGTGGTTTTCGAACTCATCCGACGCCGCCGTTTCGCAAGAAGCGCGAGCACATGCCTAAGATCCTCCCGACATGCACAATCTCTCACGCTGTCCCCCTTCCGCTACCCCTGCCTGCTTTCGAAATAGGTGCCCCACATCCCAGAACACTTGGACGACTGGCTTTCTGCTGGCGGGGTGTGGCAAGACCACGTGAGTGCCTCTGTACGTGTCTCGTGCCATAAACGAGGGCGCTACATTAGACCGACTAAATAGAAGTATTGGTTGGCATACTGAAGACAACGAAGAAGTGGTGTGAGACGTTTCGCCGTTTTGGAGAGGTGGAAGAGTCGAGGTGTATGTCTCGTTTCTCGCGCTCTGGCCGTTTGAAGTTCAGCTGTATCAACGGCGACGGTGGTGGTGGTGGTGGTGGTGGTGGTAGTGTACCTGGTGTTGGGAGAAGCTAATCATACGAGGCTTTTTCTGCGCCTGCGTTTGTCGTGGAGTGGTGGTGATCGCGGTGCTCTTTTACGCCGCCGGTGGTTCAGTTCAGGCTATGGTATTCTGGACTCTAAATGGTGTGGGTTGTGATCGGTGGGTGGCGGCTCAGCAAGCCTCCCGAAGGGCGAGCCCTTCAATTCCCTGATCTAGACTCTCGTTGATGTGCATGTTGTATGCGATGCATCACGCCAGTTCGTGCCCTGACGTTTTCCGCCTGGCCACCCCCAATATACCACCAAGACTCCCTTGCAAGGACTCCCTTGCAAGGAGGGAAAAAACGCCACAACAGCATCGAGTTGTACATGATAAAGCGTGCACCCGTACTCCCCTCGGTACTGCGGTTTCATGGGACCCCGCCTGTGTCCCTCGTAGCCAGCTCGCCCGGCGCACACCATGACGCCGCGGCGGTCGACTTGTTCGCCAAGCTGATCTCTGTCCCTCCCGCCTGAAATCGTTTCTTTTTCTTTTTTTTCCCGTCGTTTCTTGGCGTCAGGCGAGCATTGTTGCGTGCGACTTCGTCGAGGAGACGCAGCTCGTTCGCAACTGCGTCGGCGCATGTCTCATGAAGATGGCCAGGGCTAATGCTGAAGGCGACGCGGCCGCCCACGCCGGCGGCGGCAAGCATGGCGGCGGTAAGCATGGTGGCGGCGGTGGTGGCGGTAAACATGGCGGCGGTGGCGGTAAGCATGGCGGCGGCGGTGGCGGTAAGCATGGCGGCGGCGGTGGCGGCAAGCACGGCGGGGGCAAACAAGGCGGGGGCGGCGGTGGCGGTGGCGGTGGCGGCGGCGGCGGCGGTGGCGGTCACAAGAAGCAAGGTGGCGGCGGCAAGAAGTGAAGTGCCGCCGCATAACGCAACCCCCGAGATACGGTGGTTGTCGTTCCAAGACAGCGGCCGCGTGTGAAAATACGACCCCCGCAAGACGTGATGCATGCCGCACGCATACAGCTGTCATCTGACGAAAAAGGAGTGTTACGTTTGAGCCCAACAATGGGCTGTCTCGGCACGTGTTAAAAAATTAGAAACCGCCCGGTGTAGAGTAGTACGTGGACATGCTGTGCATAAAACGGTTGGGGCCATGGCGATACATGTTCACAGAGCAAATAGAGCCTCTGGGTGTGTCTCTGTGTTGCGATCGGTAGACAGCTTCCACAAGATCTTTGCACAGTAGTTTTTGGAAGCTTTCTTGTGTGTGTGTGTAAGAGCCCGACATATCAATATTTTATCCAGAGCTGGGTCCCGGGAGAGTGTCCCTTTCTTTTGCTCTAGGTGATGGCTCTCCAATCCCCAACGTTTCCCTTCAAGCGTGTGTAGTCACTACATATATAGTTGTATGGGGATTGCGGGTTAGGGAGAACGATGCTTGCGACGTAGCAGGGGGCGGTTACATTTTTCTTGTCGCTCGCGAACACCCGTTGCCAACACCCGTTGCCGCTTCAAGGTGCGGGTTCCGAAGCCGCCCTCTCTCCTGCTAACGGTTGAACTCGGACAAACGTTGAGCAATAGTGAAATCCTGTAGCGCAACGGGTGCGCTAGCTGCCCTAGTGTATGTAAGACGTGGCAGCGATCGCGATTATTTTGGTGGGCGTTTCTTTATTCTGGGTTCATACAGACGACGCGCACAAACCCGAAGGTCACGAGCCGAGTTTGGCGACAAGCAATCTCAACGTCGATGCTGCTTGAAAGGGTTGGCGCTGGGTGCGCTGTTTCGGGTTGAGCGTTTACCCCCGTCTCGCCCCCTGCCTGCATGACTTGCGTACTAACGACGTCATTTAGAGTTTTCATTCCAGTGTTTCGCAGACTTCGGGTGCGTAGAACATCTCCACAGTGCAGTGGTTAGGCACCCTTTCGACTAGGTGATTAGAAACTTTGTGCTACCCGCATGTGCGGTTGTTTTTTTGTCTCCTGGTTTCAATGGTTTTCACCCCTTTATTCGATGTCTCTTTCGTTTCCTATCTCGAGTCCTGTTACACAGTTATCTTATTTTAGTCTACCTATGTATTATATGACACCCTTTTTGCTGTAACTTTCTTTGTAGGAAGATGAAGGCTGGCTTTGAGACGTGTATTCTTGTTTTTTTCCTCAGGCTTTCGCGAATTCAAGTATGCCGTACTGGGGTGCAGCTTCCAACGCGATATTGTTAGTCAAATAATTACGAATATACGTGTGGCGGGATGGCTTGCTGAGGAATATTCGTAGGGGCTGAATGGAGGGCACTGGCTTCGGGGAAAATATCACTGCTCTTGTCGAGCGCACATCCCACTTTTTTTTCATCTGTTTCGTGGCTCACTGCACCAGCTTCGGTGGTCTCTGCACCTCGTACACGGGCAGCACCCTCGTTCCAGAAACGTAGTCGCGTTGTAACAGCTGACAATGTGTTATACTTGGTACTTCGAAGTAGTTCAATTGGGGTAGAAACAATACGACCGAGGAGATCTCACCGAATTATGAGTAGGCGATGCATGTGGCGTTCTCTTGCCCCCTAAGTCCAAAATGATCGGCAACAAACGACCACAACTACGAAGCAGACATTGGACCAATGTGACCGCTCATTGCAGAGGCTGCATGCAAGCGAAAGGCTACACATGGCCGACGAAGCGACGGCAGCGGTAGCATCGACCACATCAGCAACACCACCACCAACCACAACCACCACTACTCAACACCACCAGTACCATCACAACCACCACCACCAAAACAACAAGACACCGAGTGCACCGCCTCTTCGGAACCTCTGTCACTCTGCCGGGGACTCGAATTTCTGTTCGTGCGTGGGATACGACCGCCGCAATGTGTCAAACGTTTAGGATGGGCACCGGCGTTGTTTTCGGGGTGTCAATAATGTACATGCACCGTATCATTTAGGGCTCCGCGCTACCAAAATCCGATGTGGTGGTGGTACGGATTTATCGCTCTTTTCCTGAGACTCCTTGCATGCCTAAGCAAACCAATACGCTACCACACAACAACCATTAGCGACATCGTGGGTATCGGTTTTCAAACCAACCACCCAAGGCGTGGCACCGCCCGTCTTGCCAATCCTGCGTCGTCGGTGGTCTACGCGGCATCATGGCACACGCACGCTACGGCGCCAGTTGCGACTCGAACCTGGAGAATATGGCGCAAGTCTCTCCGAACCTCATGTGCTCCCCCCAATCGATAGCCGTCATGCCCCGCTTGTCCTTGTGGTCCGTGTCCGCGCCGTGCATCAGCAGGTAGTGCACGATGTTGGACTCGTTGTGGTAAGTGGCGTAGAAAAGGCAGGTCCAACCGGCCTGCCAAAGAGCATATCGGTGAAAACGGGGCGAAAAGAAAAAGAAACGGCTTCTTGTAGCCGCCGATGGCGCGGGCAGGTGGACTTTGAACGTTTTAGTTATCTCCATGGGGGCTGCTGGAGTTCTTAGCCCCTCGAATTAATATCTTGCCTTGTCTGCTGGGTCGATCTCAGCGCCGAACACGTCCACGAGCATGTCCACAATCGCCTCGTGCCCCAATCGGCACCCGAGCATAAGCGGAGTCATCCCGACCTGCCGTGTTTAGCGTCGTGTGGCGCCGTGTCAAGCAGTATCGTCGACACGGAAGGAGACGCATTCGAGTGTCGCACGTCTCGTTTAGAGACGTGGGAACGGCCCGTCAACAACGTTTATTGACTCGGACATCATGTCTTGCGCTCTCCTGTGCCTCGCCACCATGACCCTTTAGCGGTTACAAGGCCGTGGATGCTTCTGACCTTGTCAGTAGCGTTTATGTTGGCCCCTCTGAACGCCAGCTTCTGTGCCGAAGATCCCAAGTCAAGGAGCACGGTTTTGTGGAGCGGACTCAAGCCTGTCTGCGCGGCATATTCATCGCGGAACGACAGAGCGTTCGTCGCCGGAGAATCGATTGCGGCGGGAGGCAATGGACACATCGAACATTTGCTGAGGTGTCTTCAATGTGTTCCCGAGATGTGGCGTTGAAGCGTTTCTGTCGTTTCCCTTAACAAACCCTGACGCGCCTTCCGATTGTAAAAACCCACACACAAAGTTACGTTGTATTTCACCAGCAGGTGGCTTCTTGCAGTGCTCCACATTGCGACTCCCTTTGTGTCTGAACACTGTTGCTCACCAGGCTTGACTCTTACACCGCGTTTCGCTCGACGACAAGACTAGATGTCATTGTTCCCTGTCAAAGCTTCGACAAGGCTTTCAAGTCGAAGCTGGCCGAAAAAGAGTACGAAATAGATCGTTGAAAAGTTCGCCCAGCGTGGATCCTAGGTGATTTGAACAACCCACGACGTCAAGGGCGGTCTTGACTGGCACCCGATGAGTATGTAGATGTTCCTCACACGCGGACTATTCGTGCCCCTTCCAGGACCGTAACCGATGGACGGAGCTTCCATCGTCAAGAAAGCGGAGGTTTTGATATTTTGGAGTCGTTATCCCGTGCCGTCAGCTTAAGAAACAAACGGACGAAAAGAAACACTACACTGAGGCGTGTATTCCCCGTAATACAGCGCTCACGATCGTGTCCGGAGCGTTGATGTCGGTGTCGTCGATGGAGATGATCAGATCCGCGATGTCTTCTCGCTGTTCCATGAGCGCGAGCGAGAGTGCTGTCCTTCCTTCCTCCTGTTTTTGAACCGAGAGGAAAAGGAGGGTCGCAAGACACGTATGTCTTTGATCTCTAGATTGCTCGGAGTGTATGAGCGAGTATGGCTGGTGTCAAGGTGGTGAGTGTTCACCGCAAAGTCCACACAGGCCATTCCATCCTCCCCACACACCTTCAAATGAGTATGGGGCTTAGATCAAGACAGATTGACAACTTATCTCCCACCTCCCTACAATGCCGATAGATTTGATGCCGGCGAATGGCCCGCCGCTGCCGTACGCAGGTATAAAACACACGGAAGCAGCCGCATGGGAAATATGCATGGCATGGAGTATGCCAGAGGAAAGGGTGCGAAACGCTGAACTGCACACGAGGTATTCGTCGGGTAGGCCTAGTGTGACAACCAACAACGCTCAACACCCCAATCTGGACATCGTGGGCGAACGTTTTGTACTTACGTCATAGTCGTTGATCTTCGAAGGACACTTGCGAATATATCGCAATAGGGTGGCCTTCACAATGTCGATGTTCCCGTCCAAAACCGCGTCGTGAAGTTCAACGTGCGCCCATCCCCTAGGCACCGAAGCAATGCAATAATTAAGAGGAAGATCAGGTGCACGTGGCGCGGCCGTTGCGACGCCGTTTATGGTGCAATTGTTTGCGACTGCTTTCGATGAAGTCCGCCTTCCGTGTCGCTTGCTTGAACGAGGGAATGGTTTCTATTTTTTGTGACGCATCAGAGGGAAAATACGTTGCTGCAGCCAATCGAGACTGCATGAAACGACCAGTGTCATACTGTGCGCAGTGCTTGCATGTCGTCCAACGTTCCTGCATCGGCTGCGTTACCGTGATCCACATCTGATTATTTGCTACGTCTACACGGGAAGCCCAACCCAATACGTACAGTAGCCTCCGAAGACGGTACAGTGGCCAGACGAACTGTTGGTGATGAACTTTAGCCTCAACGACGGGCTTGGTGCGGTAGTCTTGGAGTACCTGAAAATTGACCCCGACACCCGTGAAAAACACGAACCCAGGGCAATCAAATTTGGCTCCAGTCGAGCTGTGCGTGGTTTCGTTGAAGACCTTGTTCACCGAGAGTGAATCACGTTCAAACGCTTCATTGGTCACAGGAGAACGGCAAATTAAACTGAGTCTTCAACCGTCAGGTTGTCGTCCCGATTTATTATCCACATACATACAATATTACTCTCCTGAATACTGTACATATAATCTCTTCCGATTTGGACACCCATTGGGGTGTGTGGTTTGTGGTCCTGGTATAACTAGACTCTTTATGTACCAACGTTATTTTGGGTGGAAAAGGGTTCACCTGCTGCGGGCACACTGTTGTCTATTTCGAACGTAGTAAGAAATGCTACGCAACAACCGGCGACACGAACATCATGGAGCTGGGTGCACGGCGACCTGTCTTGCACACCGTGTGGGAGGGGATCCCACTTGGATTGTATAGGTTTGAAAGTGTTATTCGAAGTTCGGTTGGGACCAGAATGTACATCCTCGGGTACATGAGAGGTTTTCGGGTTTCGACACTCGGGGTGTCATATCTTGTACTACCTGCGGTAGATTCGTTTGTGTGCCTAACTTCGGTAAGCATACATCCTTCGTGTCTTCCATGTTGCACGCTCACACAGCACAGTTATACTACCGTACCGCGGCGAGGTGTCTCTTGAGGACAGGAAACGCCTATCGACGAACACAGGGAGCTCCAAAATACGTCGATTTACAGTGCAATACGTTGTTGGTTCTGACCACACGAGAACCCCTGGGTACCTGCGTCATGACTTCTTCCCGCAGGACATCCCTAGTATTCCTCGTTGGTGCCTCTGTCGATCCCCCGTCTTGTTCGAAATCGACGTCATCAAGGGCTTCAATATTCTTGGCAGCTTTCGCCGACTCCCTCTGCTTCTTCTTCTTCGCGCTGCCCTTGTCAACCTTTTTTTTTGCTGAAGCTCCTTTCGTTCTCTCGCCTCCGTCTTCCATCTTTCCTTGGTTTAGTTTGTCGACTCTCTCGTCGTCGTCGGCGGGCGCAACGGCCTTCAATCGAGGCATTGGCCATGTAGCACGTCGCGCTATCAATGCTGTTGCTGGTGCTGGTGCTGTTACTACTGGTTCGTAGCTTTCTCTCCCACTGCAATGCCTGTTATTATTTGGCGTTCGCTACACTTGCCGCCTCTTGATACTTTCGTTTTCGCATACACACACAGATACGAGGTACGATCGGAATGAAGAACCTCGCAAACGAAAATAAGAATCTGAAACCGACGACGAAACGGCACCGATTCCACCGACCCCTGATCGCTCATACAGCGGACTTGGTTCGCTGCTCTCTTGGAACCGCTCGAACTCTAGACTATGTAGTACTTCGTACGTGTGCTCCCGGCTTGCTTTGGACCGTGCTGGACAAGACCATGTCGACGACGGTAAATCATTCATTGAATCAAGCATATCTGCTGTATGCATCCACAGCGGTCGTACATGCGCATCAGACCTTTGGCGCTGTACTGCACGTTGGCATCCGCAGCAATCATGCGCAGAAGAACCTGACATCACGACGGAACGTTAAGTCCCGACCGAGAAAGATGCGGATGTCCTGCGCGCCCGCTGTTGTGTGTTATGCTGACACTTGCGCCATGTGCGGCGCATCTCTCTCTCTGCAGGCTCATGGAGGCGTCGATGACGAAGCATTCCTCGAATCGCAACTAGGAGAGGAGGTACTGAGCGGAGAGGGGAAGGTCGCAGATCTTTGGTCAGTTCGTACTGCGGAGGAGGCTGTGGGGAAGTTTGGGTAAGGGATTCGCCACGGCCGAACAACACAGCAGCGAATTCATTGTCATTTTGAATTCACGCGCTGGTTCGCTTTCGGTTGTCATGTTACTCTCGGTGGGTCCGCATACAGGTAGGTGTGTCTGCGTTGTCCTGCATGGCCTATGGCGGCACGTTGTGCTTACACCGGTATTGTTTTTTCTTCTTTTGTCTTCACTTCCAATCAGCACTCACAGCGCTTGTGCCATTTACTCCTACCTGTGGTCACACAGAAGGGTTTCTCCCTACCCACCCCCTCCTGCGGTACTGTGCCTTCGATTTTCATGCGAGAAGAGTGCAGCACTCTCTTCCCTCTGTGTACACACGACCTACCGCCGTAGCGCTTTCTACCCAGGCCAGGAACGGTAGAAATCTATGTAATAATAGAGTATTACAGTAGGCCCCTCTAAAGTGCAGTGGATTATGCACCCGGTATTTACTAAAATATAGTTTCCCCGTCCGTTGTCGACGTACTTGCTCATGTACCGAACAACAGATACGCCCCCGGGGATCGTATTCCGCGCCGGGATCAGATCAAGATATTCGAGCGCGTTCAGGAGGCCATTAGTTTGAGAAAGCTCAACCTGGTCGGTGAGAGAAAATGGGGGATTCGCTTGGTGTTTGTACGGGTGTTCCTCATAGGCGGCCTATTTCAAGTCGACTGCTTGCCGGTCACCTCCAATTCGTTTGCAAGTAACGCCATTTCAGAGATGTGACGGGCACGGGATACAGCTCGACTCAGAAGAGAGCACGGCATGCAGCAGCACACACACAGTCAGTTTTAACCTTCGGGGGCATTTCCCGTTAACATGCGGCATACCTTGCCACTTGCGCTCCGCATCGCGGGTCAATAATATTGCGGTTTCGGCAGCTGATGGACGCTATGAAGAAGTGGTGAAGCTGCAGGAAACACTTTGTGTTCTCAAGGCCCAGTTTCAGAAGCTTCAGCTCACTGATGTCGGCAATGACCAGACGCAGCAGCGCGCCCTCTACAACAAGGCCCAAAAGGTATAGTCTATGACTGTCAGCATTCATTGGTGTGGTTTCTAAGTACCCACGATGTGGAAAGAGCAGCAACAAGAATTGCATCGGCTCAGCCGCCGGCTGATGAGGGCAAGACTGTGTGTTTTTTTTATGAATCGCTCCGTGTGATATCGGTTCTTCATTCGATGGGCCATTTAAGTGTTGATTGAATGTGTGGATACGCAACGCACGTTTCTGCTTCCAGCTTGTACATCTCCACGCGATCATTGGACGTCAGATCTTTCCACTTCGATCATCTCATTCTCTCTCTCTCGCATTCCTTGCTTGGTTGTCTCACGAAGAAACGCATAGGAAACTGTGCTCGCACAATGAACTCGGCGGGGGCGCGAGTCGAAGACGTCTGTACCATGCGAGAAGAGGAGCTTGAGCAGTTGCACCGTGCTCAAAAGGAAACACTCGAGCTGGAGCTCAGCTGGCTCCCAAAACCACGCCTAAAGTACACCAAACGATTTCTCGAACTACAGAAGACCAAAGCCGGGTGAGAGAGTCGTAGCTTGGTGAAAAAGTACGCACTTTTACGGATGATCTCCGTGTCCAACGCGATGATGCCGATAATATCGTTCTTGCAAGATCGGTCGTCGGTCCGTGGCTGAAGACGATTGGCTACGGTGTTACAACAGCTTCGCTTCTGCCTCTGTCCCTTCGCTTCGCGGAACACCGACCTGATTTAGTTTCGTGGTGCTTTCGCGTATCCATCGTGCATCTTAACCTGCACGACAAGTCTCGTGAGGCTTCACCAATACCATGACGCCCACACGGTTCACAAGGCTCTGGTCAAGCTGCAACCAGTGGAAGAAAAAGCCTTCCTCGCCGAGTACAACGCCCAGGTAGGTCTCTAGGCTTACTACGACGGCCCCCACGTGTGCTTCTGCCAGAATTCAGCTGTCGTGCTCGCAAGCTAAAACCTATCCAACGGGGAAATAAAATTGGGATGATCCGTGCCCGCTTCCAAATCCTTCGGCGTGTAAATCTCTACAGCCCGATGGTGCCGTATCTTATTTTTTTCGGGTAATATATACATACACGTATGGCCACTATGCTTTGCTGCTTTGTTGAAGTCGGACACAAAACGTACTTCGGTAAAAACAGATTGCCCTGAAGCGGCAAGCATTGGAGAAGCGCCAGGCACACGACCGGGAAAAGCTGCGTGAGTCTCTGACCGACTTTCGCCTTCGTGAGGAGAGAGAACGGAACAAGGTCACAGAGAAGTGAGAACGAGTGAGGCGTGTTGGAGTGACGTAAAAGATGGTCTATTGTGGGAATATGTGGTGGCAGGGAAAAATCGCTGTGTAGGTTGTCAGCGTTAGTCATACATGGGTGGAAGTTGTCCGGACACAAAAGTCTCCCCGCGTTCATTGGGGTCAGATGTCGCGGCGTAAGCGTTGCACCCGCGTCATACCCAAGGGCTTCGGGCGTGTCGTTGACCATTGTTTTTGGACAAAGGCACTAAACCGCCTAGGCACTACCTACGGCCCGTTCCACCTCGCGCCGCAGGTTCATGTGATGTTGGGTTTGAAGATTCTACATTTCGTGACTCTGCTCACGTGGTTGCATGTCGTGCTTGCGGCTGCTCCTGTTTGTTACGGTAGCGTGAAGAGCAAACTGAAGCACAGCGAGAGAAGCATGGGCCACGCGCATGTCATGGCTCTCAAGCGTCGGCCGGAACTCGCCCAGAAACCATCAGCCCACTGGCAGCAGCGCGCGCACTTTGCCTCGTCGGCGGCGGCGTTGCGAGGGGAACAGTTGGCGCAAGCTGTTAAGGTAACAACATAGCACTATTGCTTTTTAACCTTGCCGCCTATCTCTGCCCAAGCCTCTCTTCTGCATCCGCTCTGATGGCATCCTGCTTCCAAAATCGCACCACCAGTGTACAAGTTCGGTTCTGGTAAATCTGGTCACCCACCCAAACAGCGCGACATGTGCATATGAGAGGCAATTGAAGCGCGTCGCCCGCTCTGTGATGTAGTACCAAGGATCGTTCGATGGAGCACTAATTTTGTTGTTTTTCGTATTTTCCGCTGTGGTTGTTGAACAGGGAAAGGCCAGCGGCAGCGCCATCAAAGTTGCCGACCTTACCAGCATTCATGACTTCGGGAAGGGCCTGAGCGGGACGGTCTCGACGTATGAAGACACCGCCACTGTATCATGACGGCTGTGATAGGCCCCGTGGGAGGGGGGGGGGGGGGGGGTTCATGTCAATTGCTGTCGCAGTCGGTGATGGAAAGCTTTCCGCAAGTCTGTCACGCCTTCCATCTTGCTTCATGGCTAGCCTATCGCGTTTTTCATGTCGTAGTGAGAACACCAAATCACGTTTTTGTAGATCGGTAGGTTGCGGTACCTGCGTTTTTCCCGTGCATGTGTTCGGTTTGCTGTGGTGTAGTCTATATAAGTCTTCTGCCGAAGTCAATGAAAATAAAAAAATCTCTTACCTTTTTGACTTCAACACGATCAAACACACACATAGGTAGCCAGTGCACCCCCCGGATAGCAACGTTTAGCGAATGTAGAAGCACAGCAAAGCAGCAGCGTTGTCTGGTGTGCAGTTCATAGAGTTTGAAACTCGAAGTGGGTGTGGTGGCTCTGAACGGGAGAAACAACGAACCCCGTACGAGCTCTCTGGTCCACGTGCGAAGGTCATTGAAGCTCTGTAATCGCTACCGTTTACTATTTCACCTCGTGAGTTTCGATCGCGTTTTCAATCGCGCGTTGGTGCCATCTCTCTGTTCTTGCCAGCTCTCTCACCCCGCCCACTCTCGGTAATGACATTTTTTCGGTGTTTTTTTTTTTTCCGGCTGGAGTGATAACGCCCCCCCCTCCGTGGGCGCGGAGCGACTTTAAATAAAGTACCGCAGGTGTGGAGGTCAGGATATGGAGATTCAGGGAACACAGATACACGTACATAAAGAGTAGGATCTGAGAGGATATGTGATAATAGATTACCGTTCTTCGAGGGTCTATGACTCTTACGATTCCCAACGGCTGCGAAGAGTTGATGAATCTTTAGGAGAATGGGAAAAGGGTCCACGAAGGCTCGCCCACTCTCCTCGCTTCCGGGCAGGAGGCATTCGTGTCCAGTGGTGGAGCGTACAGCACGCAACGCGGTGGGCGTCCTCAGCGGGGGGCCGACAAACGGGATCGAGACAACTCCAAATCCCGGGGCCCTCCTGCGAGGGCGAAAGCGAAAGTATCGTTTGCTGGGACTACCAAGTCCGACACTGACAACACTCGCAAAGAGTGTGACTTTATTGGCTGCCGATTCAGTAGCATTCGCTTCACGCACACCCGTGCCGAGTGTAAAAATGAAGAAGCAGCGAAAAAAGAGGGGTACAAAGTTACCAAAGACTAGGGTCGCCCGAGTAGGCAGCGTCCTTCGGCCAACGTGGGACACCAATCATTTGGTTCTGTCAAACCAGTATGTACAAACTGGGATAGACTGCAAAGTAAGAGCAAGCAGAAGAGAGCCAAAGTAGATGAGAGGGATTCAAAACACTGTAAAAATGGTGTACGATCTCTGGTGGGAACAAAGAAGAAAGCAATCAGAGAGCAACGCTGTAGCAAGACAGTTGAAGTACATGTACCACGAGAATATTCTCGCGAAGGTTGTAGCAACAAGCAGACGCGAGGGGTTCCGAAGTCAAGTACCAGCACAGCTGATGCAGTAGCCTCTGTAGATCCAGCACTAAGGGATAGCACCCGAGTAGGGCCAGTAGCCGCCTGTTTAGCGCCGCAAGCCTTGCACGTAGCTACCGTAGCTGGGGACTTCAGGTCGAAACATAGGTCCAACCTAATGAGAACTGACCGTAATGAAGAATTTCAAGCTTTTTACATGTCGGCACTCGCTGGATATCCCGTGTGTCCATCGGTATTGCGATCGACATCCAAGCGAGTACGCGTACCCGCCAGAATAAATAATGAATCGGTTGATGAAATAACAATCGACACGGCGTGTGACATACCATGCATATCACGGAAGTTCATGAGAAGTCACAAAACGTTAAAAAACACGGAAATATTTCCGGTACCCCCTGGAGCAATCAATCTGCGAAGCGCTGATGGTTCGCCCCTAAAAATTGCAGGGTACACTCGATTTGAACTGACACTAGGCGAAATCACATTACCTGTTGAAGCTCTAGTGCTGCCGTCGTTGGGACCAGACAATATGCTACTCGACAATAGCATAATGGGCGCATTTGGTGGTGTTCTTGACTGGCAAGCGGAAGAACTGTCGTTTAAAACAGCAGCAACCAAAATTCCAGCAGTCCACCGCAAAACACGCTATCCCACGACTGATCAGGGAAACAGTTTGAACTGTTCTGTGGTAGCAGTAGAGAGGGACACGCTTACGATGCCTGTATACACTACAAGGAAATGCAGCATACCTGCACAACATGAGATAGCTGTTGAAATTCATTCGCTTGAGGCACCAGATGAAACCACAGCTGCCGTAGTTGAACCGCGCATCGTTACGTCCGATGATGTGGGCAAGCAGGATACACCAGATGCATTCCGCAGAGTGATAGTGGCACGCACGGTCTGTCACTGGTATCAGCACAACAAAAGTGCAATGGTCCAACTGGCCAACCCTTCTCACAGACCGGTAACCTTAAAGAGGAATACGCTTATAGGCTATATTTCTCCAGTGAAAACAGTACTGCCGCAAACAATGAGCAGCGTTCAATCGAGTCCTGCAGAAACGGAAAAAATTCGTGCAGGTCTCACAAAAGCATTAGCCAAAGCTTTCCGAGATACAACTTTTTCGCCCGACCAGTGTGAAGAAATGCTTAAACTGTGTACCAAATACCGTTCAGTGTTCTCCCTGAGTCCTAAAGAACTGGGCAAATGTACTCTTACAGAGGCTGATTTTCCATTACAACCGGGGACAAAACCAGTCAACCGAGCTCCATATCGTGCTAATCCACGAATGCAAGAGGTCATTGACAAATGTGTTGGTGAAATGGAAGAAGCCGGGATAATCGAACAAAGAGCGAGCCCATGGGGGTCAGCAGTAACGTTGGTAGCAAAAGCTGACGGCAGTCCCCGATTCTGTGTAGACTACAGAGCGACGATCAACAAGAATTTAATTCGTAAATCGTGGCCAATGCCTGAAATGGCAAGTCATACCGACACCGTAGCAGGTGCTAAATACATCACAGTCTGCGATGTACAAAGTGCATACCACCAAATACCAATTGCCGAAGCAGAACAAGACAAGACTGCATTCGTTACTCGGGATGGAAAATGGGTTTTCAAACGACTCCCCTTTGGCATCGCCAATGCGCCTTTTCTGTTTCAACGTACGATGGCATTGACTTTCGCACATTTTGGTCCAAAGTCTGGTCTTCTGGTGTACATGGATGGATGATCTTATTTGTTGTTCATCTACATGGGAGGGTCATATATCTCTTTTGGAAAATACCTTTCAAGCGCTACAAGCCGCAGGTCTTACATTAAAACCATCGAAGGTACAATTTGGGCCAAAGGAAGTGAAGTATTTGGGGCATGTTCTTTCCGCAGATGGCATACGATTAGGTGACGATCGGATAAAATCGATACTGGAGTTGCCAACGCCAACGAACATCAAAAGTTTGCGATCAGTCTTAGGAACGGTCAACTATGTCAGGAAATTCATCCCAGACTTAGCCGCCGTTACCGCACCAATGGTTGACCTTACGAAGAAAGACGCAGTGAAGTCGGTAGCGAAACGCTGGGGTCCGAAACATGATGAAGCATTTGCTGAAGTGAAACGATTACTCACCAACGCCCCTGTTTTGCATTTTCCGGACTTTTCTAAGGAGTTTGTTATCCATGTCGACGCATCTGAAGTGGGAGCAGGAGCATTCCTGGCACAACAGAATGGCGATGACGTGAATATCATAGCATACTTTAGCCAGCGATTCAACAAAAGCCAACAACACTACTCTGCCACCATGAAAGAATGCTACGCTGTTGTTCTAGCAATTCAACACTGGCGTCCTTATTTATGGGGTAGACATTTTACGTGCGTGACTGATCATGCGGCATTGCGATATCTTTACACGATGCAAGACACGTCAAATATGCTCACCAGATGGGCAATAGCACTGCAATCCTTCGATTTCACGGTAAAACATAAACCGGGAAAGTTGCATGTAGTGCCGGATACGTTATCGCGACTTTTCGTGTTTGAAAATGAACAAGAACGAACTGCGCCGAATCTTGCACCGATTTGCCGAAATGTACCGGACGACCCAAAGCTGCAACAACACATACATGCCAAACAGACCATACCAAGTCTCGATTGACAAATTGGACGATGTGCAACCAGTTCTTAGTGATAGGGAACTGTTCACAGTCAAGTCAAATTTCGTCAGCGCCATGAAAGTATTTGAATCTGTTGATCATGAGAAATTGCGCGAGAAACAAGCCGAAGAATACGGCCAATATGTCCAATACATTTTAGACGCCAAAGCACCGCTACCGGACAACGAAACGACAACATCAATGTCGTACTATTCCATACAAGACGGTTTACTGTTTAAATCGTATCTGCCAGGACACCTACGAAAACGAAGCACTTTTAGTGATCAACTTGTAGTCCCACATGACCTCACAGGTTTAGTGATGCACGCATACCATGATCACGCTCTTTCGGGTGGACATCTTGCATTTCGTCCAACGTACGAAAAAATACGACAAAAATATTGGTGGCAGTCAATGAACCGTGACATACGGACTTGGTGCCTAGAATGCCAGGCCTGTCAACGGAGAAAAACACCCCACCGCCGTCCGAAACTGCCGACAGGTCACGTACCTGTACAGCGGCCATTTGAAAGAGTATCAGTCGACCTAGTCGAGTACAAATCGCTCTCAACATCAGCAGTCGGAATGAGATGTAAATACGTGCTTTCCATGATGGATCACTTAACGCGTTATGCAATTCTCACACCAGTTCCGAACAAAACTGCTGAAACCATAGCACGTGTAATCATTGATCGGATTATCAGTATCTTTGGCCCGCCAGAAATGCTACACTCTGATCAAGGCACTGAATTTGAAAACAAGATCATCTATCAGTTGCAAACAATCTTGGGCTACAAGAAAACACGCACGACGCCGTATCGTCCGCAAGGTAATTCGGTCTCTGAGCGTGTGCATTCAACGATGCATTCCATGCTCGCAATGCATAGTTCCATGGATCGTGACAACTGGGCGGAACTCTTGCCAATGGTTCAACTAGCGTATAATACATCGTTTAATAAAACCATGCATGAGACACCGTACTTCTTGATGTTTGGTCGCCAAGCACGGTTACCAGTAGATGTAATTCTCGGAATCCCACATGTAGGTTCAACTGCAGATACCGAGAGTTTTGCTCAAAACACACGAGAAAATCTACAAATTGCTTTCGAACTAGCGCGAAGAAACCTAACGGAACGTGCAGAGAAGCAAGCTGCGAAAAACGAAAAGTTACCGCAGTACCCCGTCTTTAAACCTGGTCAACAAGTACTAGTATACCGACCACACCAGGATTCAGATGGGCCAAATCCGAAGCTGTTCTTACCGTGGCGAGGACCGTATGTCATCTGTTCACAACTGTCACCGGTTGTGTATAGGGTGCAGCGAGTAAATGAAACACGAGAAATATCCGTGCACCTTGCCCATCTAAAACAGTACCATGAAAAGGAAAAACCACCAGCACCACAGTTTGAAAAACTGGCTGAATATTTCCTTGGGAAACAAATTCCCTTACCTGCCCTGACAGCAAACGACGAAAATCAACCGAAAATTGAAAGATACGTCGTACTGAAAGTGGTAGGGCATCGAAGTGGTCAAGGCCGAAGAGGTCCGCACAACTATCGATATCGTCTAAGACTGAAAGGATACGGTCCTGAATCAGATCTGATGTATCGTGCCGACGAAGTGCCGCAATGCCACGAAATGATTTCCGCATACCGATCAAAACATGATCTGGACATCGCGCCCGCCAAGAAATCGTCTGAAGCGCCGCAGAAAATAGCGAAGCGCAAACGTGACGAAGGTAGGGATCCGAGTACAAACAAACGCGCAAGGCACAAAGCAAAGCCAACCAAGGCATGTACTAAGCCAACAAAATGCGTGAACAAGGAAAGTGCTCAGCGGAAAAGTAAACGAAGTCCGAAGGCAAACAAAAGATACATTTCCAAAGTGTCTAAACGGTGAAAGGAATAGCATCCAAACAATAAGGTTGCTATCCAGCATTTGATTGGGTCAAATGCTGGTGAGGAAATGTCAAGTTAACCGGTCTCTAGTGAAATTGAGGGTCGCAACTCGATGACACTACATGAGTCACAGAAACAGTCTTTAGACTGTCGAACACCGTATGTATGCCTATCGTACTCAATAAGCAAAACGATTGCTTACACCCAGCGGTATGGTTACGCGAACCAGAACCCGCACAAAGTACAAATTCTTGATACTTAACAAGAATAAACTTTGACATATCATCATTGATTGACATCAATAACTGGTAGCTTGTACAAGCCTTGGAGAGATTAAATCTGTACGGTGTTGCTTTCAACACGTGTGTTTTCCACACGGCACTGTCAGCTGTCTTTGGATAGTGAGGGAGAAATTTAATTTTCGAAAAGCTGTATCTGGATCCAATGATACATCCATACCTGCTCCACTACAATTAACATGCAAACATGCATGAGCGCCAAAACCCAACTTCAACAAGCTGAGCTTTCGGCGAAGAAAAAGGGGGGCTATGTGGAGGTCAGGATATGGAGATTCAGGGAACACAGATACACGTACATAAAGAGTAGGATCTGAGAGGATATGTGATAATAGATTACCGTTCTTCGAGGGTCTATGACTCTTACGATTCCCAACGGCTGCGAAGAGTTGATGAATCTTTAGGAGAATGGGAAAAGGGTCCACGAAGGCTCGCCCACTCTCCTCGCCACCCTAGCTTGACTGAGTTCGCTCGGTCACGCTTGGCATTCCTCGCCACATTGCACGAAAGGAAATAGCCAACCTCCAGTGGCAGGACATAGCCACCACACTCCCGGACTCTCTGCTCAGCCAGAGTAGAGGGCTTCCATACAGGTGACAGAAGATACCACACCCCATGGACCGATTTTCAAAGCTCGATTACCTACTCCGCGACGAAGAAGATACATACATCAATCGTACATTTTCAAAAATCTCTCCATACAATGGTTCGAACGCCGCCATTTTCGGCATCACACCACTATTTCTTCTGTGGAGCAGTCGAGCTTTGGAACTCGGCCCAGGGGGGGGTGGTATCTTGTGTCACCCGCGGTCTGGAGGTGTCACCTACATATATATGCAAGAGACTCAAGCCTTGCAGCAACAGGGCTTCAAGGATTGAACGCAAGCTACCGCTACCTAAGTACCGTGTGGTACAGGAGTAGCTGTGGCAGAGCGCGGTGCCATCGGCCGAGGTTACACACTCGGCATATAGATACCTACTTCTGTAGCAGTACTTCGGAGAAGTAACATCTTGTGGGAATCTGAACCTCGATATCTTGCAAGGATATTTAGTGTCGGCGAGCCGACACTATACCGTAGCTGCTGTTGACAATTGAGCTTCGTGAGACCAAGCTAGTGCATCAACATCTATGTCAACCAACGGCAGTACAGGCGTCCAGACTACCGTCGTTGTTTTCGCGCGACTTGCTTTTAGACGGAAGTCTACAAACCATGACAGTGGCATCCTACAGTAGATCGATTGTACTGCCGTAGATGGTGACCGACCGATTACGCATGGATGTAGACCGTACACTACACTACTCAAAGCTGGTGTGCGTTGAGTGAAGGTAGGGTTTTCACCCCTCCCCGTTGCACCCCAGCTCGACGGAACCTCTTTCCGCGGAGGCGCTTTCAGTATGCGCGCAACGGTCGGTCTGGTGGTGCCTCGTTGCGGCTACAGATCTGCAGGTCTCCAGCATCCATTCCATTTCCCAAAGTGGGACTGATTGGCGGGAGTGGAGTGTGGCGTTTGCGCCCACACAGTCCCGTCGCCGGGGGAAGTCGGGAGAGGACGGAGAGGAGCACTCACGCACCTCCCTCAGGAGCAAGGAAGACGAGAGCGAAGAGCGAGGGGGGCATAATGCAGCAGCAGGCCGGTGACGCCCGGCGCATATCCAAAGGTGTGCGGGAACGATGATGGCCTTGAATTGAAGTGTTGTAGCGGCGGATCGCTCGTGGTTCGTGGGCTGACCGCATCTTTTCTCACATTTTTCGAGACAACAAACTCGGGGCGGATACCCGCACCAATCCTCGTAGATCTTTGATCCTGTGCGTAACACACGCGGCGGCTGCGTGCGCAAGCACGGCTCCACCGGCAGAAGGTTCGCTGGCCAGCCTGGAGATTTCGCGGAGATACTTCACGTACCAAAGCACTTTCGGCTTTCGGGCACGTGCGCAACTTGCGACGTGTAGCATGTCTGCTTGGATGTCCGTCTACCGCGTATGCTGTTGGAGTCACAAGTCGAACGTTTACTGTCCAGCACCATTCTCAGTTCTTGTAGCAACCGTTCCACACGCTGTTGCGATTGTTGTTTTGGTCTCCACGTTCTGGCCTCCCTCCTGTGCCTCCTTGTGTCTCTGATGATGTGCCTGACAAGCTGTTGAACAAGCGGATGAAAATTTGCGATCTCCGCTACTGATAGGCTTGTTAGTATAGCAGATACTGTTCTACTTTCCCGTGGCCGCGAGCTTCTCAGCACACGCCCCTCAAAAAAACGCAACAGACCCGGAACGTGTATGTATGCATAGCCACACGCGGATGACAAGTGTTCGTATGGTATGATACGTAATATGTATCATAGCGCGCCAGACGAATACGGAAAGAGGCGGTTGTACCTTTTTTTCGTCATCCCATTTTTTCGGGACGTCGGTACATTTCTTGACGCACCGGCCGGGGTCGCTCGAGAGGAAGGTCACACCGCACTATAATAATATTCTCCGGTGTATTCCGCCTTCCTTCTGCCGTGACTGATAGGTTCAAAACTACTCCAAGAAATTTCGTTTAAAAAAAATGCCTCTTCTTGCCCACTCCATCTATACCTGCTCCTGTGTACTAGCCTGTTAGATTATCGACACACATCACCAGAGAAAAATCATAAATCGGTTTGTTGTGCTTGTCAAGACTTGTACTCAAGGGGGCACACGTAAAAAGTCATCCCGCACACCAACACTGCTGTAGGTAACCCCCCCCCCC